AATTTAGAACACTTTGATAGTCGATAAACTCACATTTGAACGGGATTTCGATGTGAGGGTGCCTACTGTACATACATAACTAAAAAACCCTAAATTCTCCAATAGGTTTCATTCCATATTTCCGACGTGGGGTGCCTACTGTACATATACATAACAAAATCGCCCTCTTGTCGAGAGATTGGGACCTCGAGAAAGGCTACGCACCTCGGAGGACCGGTTATACCGGCCGAGTCGACCTCCTGGGCTTCGAAATCGTCGACCGCGAGACCCCCGAAGCCCCTCCCCTTTTCGCCGGAACCTCCGGGATTTCATTCGGGAATCTAGCTCACGCGAGGACGTCGCAGCCAACGGCCGATAACCGCCTCGTTCGCTCCTAAACTCCCTCCCACTCCCATAAAAAGGTAGGAATAAAAATTCACGGCCACGATCCAAAAACCCGGGATATCCTTGCCCAACGGGTGACCCACATCCAGGAAAGGCGATTTCTAACCTAGAAACGATCACCTTCTACCGGAGGACGACGCGTTTCTAACCTCATCGAACGTATCGAGTCCAATGGCGATCCCAGATAAATTCCTTTCTACGAGGTCTTATCCTCCTAAAACCCACGCGACGTAAACGGGAACGCGTACCTAAGCGCGACCGAGAAGACCCCCCTCAAGGCTAGGGGAAAAAGGAACGGTCCGCGTAATCGTAATCCTCGCCATGGATAAAAAGATCACGTGACGCCGGGGCGATTAAATCGCCGAAGGTGCGCGTCCGCAGGCCCCTGCATCGTAATGCGCTCTGGTATTACGTAATAACCCAGAACGGAGAATTCCGAGAGCGTTGCAAAGTACATATCCGCATGATTCCTGGCAGGCATTCTCCCCGACGCGGCTCCCGCGGACCGTTATAGGTTATGTTCCGGAACGGCGCGCTCTTCGCGTCGGGCGCCTCGGTACGGTTTGGAGGTTAGGACCGCCCTTCGAGACTCACCTTCTCTTTTGCTCGACCCGCGTGTTTTTGCACTGTCTTCGCGATCAACGCCCCCTTACTCTCTGCCATTTTCGGTTTGTGGGTTGCTGGTGGGTAGACCTCTCGAGACACTAACTCGTTCGCACGATCTTTCCTTCACGAAGCGCGGACAGTGCGTACCGACGGACGTACGGCGAGACACTGAAGCGCCGCTCCGCGGGCCGCGGCCACCTCGTCGAGTTTGCCCGAGCCGCCGCTGGAGCGCGCCACCGTCGCGACGCGCGGTATTTTTGAATCCTTCGCCTCGTCCAGGATTGCGGGTTCGCACGTTTTTTAAATAATTGCCCAAGCACGCGAGGTTTATCTTGGTTTCAAGCGATATCGCGTGAACGTGCAAACTCGATTGAGAGGATCTGTTTCTATTACAACAATTTATTAGGAACAAAAGGGGATAAAAAATGCATACAAAAACATAATTCTGCGCACGACATACACGATACAGTCACTTAAACAGTAGGTACCCCTGACATACAATTACAACGAGTGGTTGTAAGTACGCGACATGAAAAAGACCGACGAGACCCGAGATAGAAAAAAGCGTGGATATCAATTACTAACAGACACCAAGGTATTGATTTGTAAATGGTTTTATTAATAAATTATTTCTTCTTATTTTGTGATGAGGATCGCTCAAAATAAACAAACGCCACGATAAAAAGTTCACGTTAACAACAGAACGGACAGGCAATATACGGTTATAATGTATCAAGTAGTATATAAGGTTGGACAAAACTGTTTCTCCTTAATTAAACGGTCTACCAAAAATCACAATTGACAGAAGAGCTCGCGTGGTCGCGGAGCGCGCGGAATTGCTTAATTTCTCATTTTTTTACGTTTAATTTCGACATCTCCCCCTTTTTTATTCCTCCATTTATTTATATACCTGAATAATCGACAACGGTCGTCGTTTCCGCACGAGCCGCAATTACGACTTGCAATTTCTCCGGGAATTTACAGACATGGACCTGTACACTCATCGTTTACTCATTGTACCTAATATAAATTTGCTTTTTTTTAAAGTCTTGGAAAAATTGGATAAGGCCATAACCAATCTGGCGGCAAGGTGGCGCCAGGTCCTCGACTCTATCGTGATTGTTCTTTTTTTCCTCTTTATTTTTATTACAAAACCAATCCTCTCTCTCTCTCTCACTCTATCTCACTCCATTCGTACTCTCGTTACAGTCGAATTCAAAGTCGGTCCGTCCATCGGTCGCAGTCCCGCCGTCAGCTGTCAGCTGTCATCTTAACCGTCACCAGACCTGCCATGGGTTGTTCGCACTCTTGACATTAACTCTCTCATACGTCGCTCCTCCCTAATCTACGGTTTCCATCCTGACTTTAACATTACTTTAATCGTGCGAAAGCACAGGTGCGAATATCTGATGTTTCTTTAAATCATAGTAATCGTAATTTAATAGTAATTATAATGATCGTTATCCATTATCTTTATGCGTTTTCTTTTTCTCTTTTCGCTTTTTCTTTCTTTTTCCACGGTGAGACGTGCCAGCGCTTTGGGTGACTTCGGGCACAGAAACTAAAGGGAAACTGTTCTCCGTCGAATGTTCAATTTTCTCCAGCCATTCACTTTTTAGTTCTCCATCGAGTCTTCTCTTCACTTCGGAGGAATTAATGCGTTAAGTACGACGAGATCTTTCTAACCGATAAAATTACACTCGACACTCACATCGTAGACCCAAAATAAATCAGAATCAACTTTTTGTTTTTTAATCTCAGGATATTTCTCACTTAACGTCATGGTAGAGCCTGCCAGAATTTAATACAAATAGTGTCATCGATCGATACTTTTGACACTTTCCAACCGTTCGATTGAACTCTTCGGCTTTGTTCCTCTACTTTCTGCCCCAAAAGTCAGGCTGACTTCGACGCATATCATTGTATGGTGTAAACCTGTACAAAAGTTGTTCCTCGTTTACTCTATACTTATTAATGGTACAATAATAATGTATTTAAAATGTAACTTATGTAACCTTAGTACTGATTAACGACGGCTGCATTCCAGCATGACCAGCCTTTGGCCGACCGGAGCTAACAGACAAATACGCTCCTTCGAGTGTAAAACCCCGCTATCTCCATCCGCGTCCTTTAATATTCCGATTTCCCTTGCACACACTCTATGCAACACCTCTAATTCTCTAACTATATACTCTATATAAAATATTGTTAGTATAACTAAAACGTGTTGGGTCTAGCTGGAATGCGGCCCTATTTATGCCATCTTTAATTCATTTCCCATTCATTGTCCCACGTCATCTTCCTCCCTCCTTCTATACTTAATCGATTGTTGCTCCACAGACAATTTTCTCAGTCAATGATTTACTGATAAGTTTCACACCACTAACTGCAGTCTGTCATTGGTCGGTCAATTAGTTTGATTCCCAGCTGTTCACTCGGCGGCGCAATTATTGTTATTATTTATACGAATTTTACACTCATTCAACAGCGTCAAAAAATCGTGCGAGGACTCTCTAATTCCCCGATTCACCGCCATCCTCGTGTTTTCTCTTCTTGCCTCGTGCAGGGGACGATTCTGCTCGATATAGAAATAATACTTTTACAATATCGTAGTTTATAAACAAAACTGTATCATTAAAAAGGTGGCATGGAGGTTAACTCACCCTCTTCCTCTTCTTCCTGTTCGTCGTCGTCGTTATCGTCATCGTCGTCTTCTTCCTCCTCCTCGCCTAAATAATCTGCCTCATCGCTGTCGTCCTATAAAAGTACACGCGAAATTGTTGGAACGGCATCCTAATTAAATGATTCATCCAGCAATTTGATTAATAAAGCCGGGGAAATGTTTTAACTTACTTCAAGATCATCTTTATATACGGTCTCTAAGCAAACTCTTCCGTCATCCATATCGTCTTCATCCTCTTCGTCTGAAACTGCAGAAATTGTTCTCATTGTTCCTTGCTCATTAAATTTTTTTATTAAAAACAGAATAAATTTCGTGAAACTTAGTGTACCTTCTTCACTGTCCTCGTCGTTTGCAATATCTTCTTCGTCCTCGTTTCCATTTACTTCGTCGTCCTCGCCTTCGCTGTCTTCCAGCTCGCAGTCATCCATGTCGAATCTATAAGTAAAAGAGTAACAATTACGTGAATACATATTTTTCAAGCAATATTAATTGGAAAAAAAATCTGTAAACTCACCCGTCGAGGTATCGTAAGCTGGGAATGAGACTGAACACCTTCTCTCTGTAATTGTCCATACTTGTAGCTTCATTGTTGAACAGGTCCAAGCACTTTAAATTCTTAAATTCATTCTGCAGAAATAATTAAATCACATGTAACGGTTTGATACGTTGTACATAACACGTATTAAATTTCAACCACAATCTCACCAAGGGTTGTAACGTAACAAGATCCTTGATTTTGTTTCCACTGAGGTTGAGAGTAGTTAGTTTAGGGCTCGTGTGAAGTAAATTTAAGCCACCGGAGATTCGGTTGTCGCTTAACTCCAACTACAAATGGACAAGTAAAAAAATTCCTCGATATACAAAATACACCACGGTGTGCTAAACCTATTAATTCGAAAATCAACAAACCTTCTTGAGATTTGGTAGTTTAGGAAATCCTTTCAGACTGGTAAGACCCACGTTGATTAAACTCAGCACTTCCAATGAGACGAACTCATCCGTCAGGCCCACAATGTTCGTACTCCGACAGTTGTCCAATACGAATTCTCTGATCTGAAATATATAAAAAGTTTTGTAAACAAATCAGCCCACAAAAAGTATGCTCTAAACCTTCAACATTCCATGAAATCTCTAAATCTTACATTCTACATACGAATTGAATTTCCATCGGGACATTTCCTAGTCGCGGTGGATATTTTAAGGTTAATTCGCGTTAACGTTCAAACGAGGGATGATCTTTCGCTGTAGATGGGCTATTTTATTGATCGAGGGAAGAGAAAGACAGCGATACGCTGGGCAAGATGACGATATACATGAGAAAGAGAGAGACAGAGAGCAGGGGGAGATGAGAGTACGCGCATCTTGTTTAACAGCATCGGAAGGGCCGGCAAGCGACGAATACCGACTGTGGAAAGCGCGGCACGCGACAGGAAAGCCGAGCGTTCCCGAGGTTTGCCGAGTCGGCCCGAGCTCGCATCGCTCTCGAACAAGCCGGTTTCACACGATTCCCGAATCTTGGATCTGTCCGAAAATGCGGCCACCTGATTGGTCGACTCGGAACCGTGCACGCACCTCCAGACCCTAGAAAATCAATGGCGTCGGTAACCGAGAAACCGTTACCGCGAAGAACGGAACTTTTCTCCATCTGGGATGAACTTCCTACGTCAAATGAATTTTTCAACGACACGTAAGCCATTAAATATACGTCCATGTGTATTTAATCTATTGCACGACCGCCGATTAATTCTCCGGCGTTAACCGGTGATTAATCGTTCGGTCAAGTGCTAATCCATCCGTTGGCCGGTATTATTGTAAACCGTATCGCCATTTCACCGAGTTGGCAGATCTTTTCGCAGGATCAGTTTATACCACGGTTGCCGAAGCGGCAGTTCGGTCTCGTGATCCAACCTGGGAAATCTAGACAGGGCGATCGTTCGGTATAATCTCGGGGAAGCTAAACTTTTCCCGGCCTATATGGAGGTTATAATCCGCGGTCGGCGGGACTTGGCTCTCGCATCCGTTTCTGTATTTCTTTCGAGGTCTTTCCGCATTGCAGGTAGGCCCCTTCCGCACAATGTGCCAATAAATTCCAATACCTATTCCCTCTCCCAGGGTATCTCCTAAAGATAAATAAACTCCAAGTCTCACGACACATGGAAATTCGATTTTCAAGAATTCAATTTACCCCCGTATCGGCTATAAGCTCGAAAAGTGTACCAAAAGGTGTAAAGATGTTTAACACCCCGCTGCCAGTCATTTCCAGGGGCGAAAGAAGTAGAAAAACGCAAAAACCGTTACCCCGCACTTGAGATTATTTTTATATCCGGCAACCCAAGATGGCCGCCACTCGTCCTCCCTCCTTCCGCGTGTCTACAACCCATCGTTCTACATAATCAGTGGCAGAGTTGTGCCTTCTTATTAAATGATCAACCAGGTCACCATAGCGCATCGGTCCGGCACTGGGAAGATTCGAGCTGACGCCCACGCGGCGCCACGACGCGATCTCCGAGTCCGAAACCGCAAGGTGCGTTTCCAACGGAACGGGTTTAGCGTCCGTCGCCCCGGCGCGAAATGGACTCGCCCAAGATGGCGGCCGGGCGCGTACGCCTCGAGATGCGCGGACCCGGCGTCGCAGTAGACCCCCGAGACCCACGCCAGCCCTCGCATCGACGTTACTATGTTTCCACGATGTAAGTCGAAGCAACCAGTGGGATGCACTGGGATTTTCCCGAATCAAATCGAGCGTTTACCCCGTCTCCCACCTCGAACTTACCCGCGAATGATCTCTCTCTCTTTCTCAAGATAACCTCCGTATACCGAAAATCCCGCCGCGTTGGAATTTCCTCCATAGATTAAATTTCACGTCTACGTGACACTGGAAGATGGTAACGAGTGATCGATCGTAGGACCAGGTTAATCAATGTATGGTCGTCTATAACGTATCTTTTTTTTTTCCCATGGCCGTAATTAGACAAGGGGAAGGAACGCGAGTCTCCTCGAAAACCCGTAACCGATGAATATTGATCAATCGAGAGGGAATTAAGACGAAGCGACTTGCGTAACGGCGTCACGAGATGTTCGACGTCTAACGTCGAAGGCTAGAAATCCCCTTTTGGGATGGAAATATATTAATGCGAGTAATAAAAACAGGGATCTTATCCATGGAGAGACGTTAAGCGCCGTCCAGGACGCGTCGCGACGCAACGTGTCGGTACGCCGCCGCGTCGCCGGCAATGGCGGCGTGTCGACGACGCGCTCGCGACTGCTGCGTCGTCTCGTCGAACAGCCGAAGCAGAAAGAAGAAATTAGTTTCACTAGGTACAACCTAAATAATGAATTACGCAATTCGGGAAGGGGATATGTGCCCATAATTATGAAAGTGGTCTAAGTCAAAATTAAAAAAAAAAAAATGAGTTTATCAGTTATTTCACGCCATATTATTTCAAACGAAATTAATTCAATGTAATTTCGAAACAAACAATATATGACGGGCACATATGTGCCCATAATTATGAAAGTGGTCTAAGTGAAAATTTAAAAAAAAAATGAGTTTATCAGTTATTTCACGCCATATTATTTCAAACGAAATTAATTCAATGTAATTTCGAAACAAAAAATATATGACGGGCACATATGTGTCCATAATTATGAAAGTGGTCTAAGTGAAAATTAAAAAAAAAATGAGTTTATCAGTTATTTCACGCCGTATTATTTCAAACGAAATTAATTCAATGTAACTTCGAAACAAAAAATATATGACTTAGACCACTTTCATAATTATGGGCACATATGTGTTATGAAAGTGGTCTAAGTGAAAATTAAAAAAAAAAAAATTAGTTTATCAGTTATTTCACGCCATATTATTTCAAACGAAATTAATTCAATGTAATTTCGCAACAAAAAATATATGACTTAGACCACTTTCATAATTATGGGCACATATATCGAATGCCACAAATCAAATGCATCCGTCACACGGAAGGGTCGCGTCCCGACTTTCTGCGACACGTCCGCATAATCCGGTTTAATCCCACCGTAATTCTCAAATTAAACCTGCGCTATTATTAAGAAAAAAAAAATTCATAAATCCACGTATTGGAAATGGCAAATATTTAACATCTAAAGATAGAGCACCTGGTGAATCTTTCCCATCTTGGAAGACGAAAAAAAAAATCTTGGGTCGGGTTAGGGCTACTCCCGTCGCGCGGTTTCCTATGCCGCGACGCCGCGCTCGGTGTGACTCGGTGTGACGCTCGTTCGGCTCGGCGCAACATGTCCGCCCTCGTGCGAGTCTCGCCGGCTCGCAATGGCGGCGCGTCGGCGCGCGCTCGCCGCTCCCGCCACGAGGGCCGACGCGGCCGGACCGCGGCGAGGGCCGAGAGAGAGGTGTCAGCCTCTTTCGGGTGCGCGCATCGCCGATCGATCTTATTATCCGCGTCCCGAGATGACCGTAATGGCGCTTTTCACCCGCGAAAAACATTAATGGCGCAGTACGTCGGCACGGCCTTGGGCCTTGAGATGTATCGGCGTCGCGCGATATGTCGAGAAAAGCGCGCGCGCGCGCGCGCCGCCCGCGGACGCGTACGAGAAACATCGTCCCGAGTGCCCCTCTTCCTACATTTCATTCCCCGTTCCTAAGAAGCCTCGAAAAATTCCAGCCGAGCATTCGAGTTTGCGAGCTCGCATTTAACGAGGGAAAGAAAAAAAATGGCGTCCCTTCCGAGGGACGACGAGAAATTAGCCGAGTTGGAGATGGGTTTTTGAAGCCGAAGCCGGAACTTTCTGGAAAATCGCAACCCAGCCGAGGGTGGTGGAGCTCGTTGACCTTCGACCGCGGAGATACGAGACGGTAAGACCCGTCGAGTATGCCCGATTCGTTCGGATTCGAGCACGTCGGTAAATACCGAGAGAAACGGAGCGTCGGTAACACGTGGGGCCCGAGTCGAGTCTTGGTACGTTACATTGCTTGGGTAATATACCAGTGATTAAACTCTCCGGGAATTTATGGGAACTGAATTTTTAAGAACATTCGACATATTTTCAGTCAGTGGAAATTTTACCGGTATTTCTGAACCTCCAATAGTCGAACGAGTCAGGATTACTCCGGTAACCTTTTCTGCGTCTTGATATTATTATTGATAAGAGCGACAACAAACCGCGGAAAGGAACCACGCATTAAAGGGACGCTACCTTCGGCTAAAAGTTTCCTCAGAGTTCTCTAAAAATTCTCTGGGGTTTTTAAACAACCATAAGACTCTCGGTGACATTCCTGGAATTTAAAAACACTACTCGCGAGTCTCTCTCTCGTTTGTCAAGGTTCCCCGATGCATTTATTGGGGAGGCGGGACGTCCCTTGGGAGCCTTGACCCAATTACCGATCCGCAGGCGTTAAATCGACTCTTTATCCCGGAACGTCTTACCGGGCCTGACCTCCCCTACCAGAAGGCGATTAAATAATTATTAGCGCACGAGCCCCTCGCCGGGACGAGCGCGACCGCCATTGCCCGGCGACCTGACCCGGGTGCATCCATGCGACCAAGACCCTCCCCCCCAGGAAAACTAAAAACTCATCGCCTACGACATAAAAGAAATCCCGCCGAGGACACATTTCCACTATATATGCAGTCTAGGAAAAAGAAACACACAATACCTTCCACTAACTCTCTACCGGAATTTTCATGATCTCAGGCGAAACAGAAACAGCGACACGTTCCTCGGAATAAACCTAACGTCCCGATACTGGAAAAGCTCCATAAAAAAGGCCCACGGTAATTTTTCACTCTTGCCGAAAATACCAGGAAATAAAACCGCTTGAAAGTTGTCCAAGCCCGTCAGGTCGAAAAGCTAAACCCTCCGTCCGCCGGTACCCAAGGCGAGAGAACCTGACCTACGTCTCTGGCCGGATCGGCCATGATTCGCGTCGGCCGACTCGCTCCGAAAAATTGGGCTGGCTCGCGAGAGCCCCTCGATCGAAAGAGGAGCGCGACGCCATACCTGTAGCAGCTGCAGCACACGGGAGTAATCGCATCCGAGGAAGGCCGGCGTGGCCGGCGTGGCCGGCGGGGCCGCGTCGGCCATGGGCCGACTCCGTCGTCGGTCGGTCGGCCTCGACCCGCCATGCCTCGAGTCGGCGGCGGCGGCGGCGGCGGCGGTGGCGGCGAGTCCAGGGCACGGGGAATCGCGATTAAATATATATATATGAGGGGGGTTCCGCTTACTTCGCCGGGGTCCCTTCCCCGTTTCTCGAGCTCTATCCGCTTCTCCATGGCCGGCCGGTCGGGTCTGGCAGGCCTCTCGGGGACGTCCGATGGTGCACCTTCCTCGCGCGTCGCACCGCCCGCTCCGGCTTGGGTCTCTCTCAAGTTCAAACGACGGGAATATGACGGACGGACGCAGGCGGTCGGTCACCACTGTGTGTCAGAGAGAGAGATAGAGAGAGAGAGAGAGAGAGAGAGGGAGAGAGAGGGAGCGAGCGCGCGCGGCCGAGAGCCAACCCAACGGCGGCAGTCGCTCGATTCGATTCCTTGCCTTGTCGACCGTACCCTACGCGAAAACGCTCCACACCGGACTGAAGGACCGACCGACTGCCGCGGTGAGGCGGGGGCGCGACAACCTCACACAATAACAACTCAGAGGCGGGAAACGAGACACATGTCTGCCACTACTTTCGAAGCGGCCAATCGCGCCGCGAGCTCGCCCGTTCGTCCCGCCACCTGGCGGGCTCGAGGGGAACCGGCGCGGCCGCCATTTTGGGAAGAGGAGAGAGAGAGGCGGGGTGCGCCTCATGCGGGTCCCCCACCATGGGGGCTCGGAGACCGTGGCGGCGTCGGTAACTTGGACGGGAACGCGGCTCGGTCCAGAGGTCTCTCGCGCACCCCTCCCCCTCCACCGACTTGGCTCGAGATGAGGCAAGGGGATTGGAAAAGGGACGCGTAGCAACACCCGACGAGCGGACTGGCTGGGAATCGATGTTTAGGCGCGAGGAGCGTAACGAGAGGTAAATACGGATTAGAAGCGATTCGGGGGGAATATCGTTGACTGAAACTTGATAAGACCGCGTCGAGAGGCGCGGTGGACTCGGCGATAACCCGCCATCTTGGGAAATTGGGACCGTCGCTGCTGCGCATTTATTGGCTCGCGGGAATCCAAGATGGCGAATCGTGGATTTCCGTCCTCTCGGAAGGAACGAGAAAATGGCGCTCGTTGCAAAAGTTCTTTTTACGACCGCGGGTTTATCGGCCTTATATTAATGAATAATCACGATTTAATGGTTCTTTGCTCTTCTGGGTGTCTTATGTTTAAATTAACGGATTTTTTATTTCGATTGTGCCGATTAGATGGGCACCTAGTCATGAGGCGTTCGAGCTCGTTAGGGTTTAAGAGTCTCGAAATCGATATTTCTCCCATGTTTGCATTATTTTTTCCTTTAATCGGCATCCATAGGCAAGGAAGATACGCTGGGCTTGTTTTGCGATCACGCAACGACAACGCAATCGATAATTCCAGAAGCACTTTTAACTCGATTTCGTGGCCTGGCGGTACTCTCGCGCACGCAGATACGAAACAAGGACGAAACGAAACCCACGAATCAACCAACTTGGAAACGCCTTTGCAAATCAAGAAGACAAGGTGGTGCTCCATTCAACGCCACGCAGGTATCTCCATTATTCCCAGAATCCTATGAAAAATATTTCCAACAATAATCCAACGGTTTAGCAACATTTAGTATAACAAAATTATCAGGTTCAGAACACGGGATACGAATGTAAAAAATTTATATTTTTTACCATTGCTTTTATGATCGTCTATGAACTCACGCTTCCTCTTTTTTAAGCTTCGATGAGGATCCTCAAGGAACACCCTATCGAGAAAGAGCGGAGTTAACGATGTAACAAGATCAATGAGTGAAGTAATGAGACCCGATGAATGAATTATTTGGGAAAAATTCAGCATTTGTTGGTAAGCATTTTAATAATTAGCGAGATACTTTGTTTCTTCCGGTTGGCGCCCTATCTCCATTCCGCGCTCCAATAATCCGCCCCTGGAGGTGTAGAATCCGTGAAGGGTTGAGATCAATATGCGCTCATTGATTGCTCTATAGCCGTGCTGCGTCGGCCCGTAAGGTCTCTTCCTCGGCGCAAGTTCGCAGAACGTGAGATTTTTACCTCGAGATGTATCTCAGTCGCGGCTTTTCCGCAGATATTCACTGCCTCGAACTTCCAGGAAATGTATTCCCCAAATGAGGCGAGGATGAAACACCCAGGGCCCTGAAAAACGGAAGTACATACACCCAAGAAGAGGATCCTGACGAGATATTTTCAAAGACCCTTAATGCACGGTACAACCAAGCCAAGACACTAGCTAGATCTACTAACGTACAAATTAAGCCAGAACAAAAAAACATTAAGCAAGAAGACTGCCCGGGGAAACGTAAAACTCGCATCCAGGTTCCCTTTTTTATGACCTGGTCCCTGGATGTCAAGAGACACCCGAGAAAACCCGTTGCGGCGTCCGGACTGCGAGTTTTGCGATGATCTTATTTCCCAGTAGTCAGTTAGCTTGCGGTTAGGTTTGAGAAGGCATAGAGACGAATACGTCGAATTAAGGTGAAGTGAAACCCCTTTCAAATCAGTCGATTCGAATACAACACTTTTTTTTAAGGGTATTAGACCAAACTGTCCGAAATTTTGACACATCTAAGCATTGTCCTGACACATTCAAAATATGGATTTTGTAAACTAATTTTTTAATACAGCCCAGACCAGAACCAAAATGGCGTCGATCTCTCATATTTCGATCAATATACAATTATCGAAGGCTCTGATATGAGAATCGAAAGGGCAATTTTCAGGACAATTTTACGGCAATTTAGAACACTTTGATAGTCGATAAACTCACATTTGAACGGGATAAGGGGAAAAAAAGTGTTGTATGCGCTTCTATGCTAAAACGATGGTAATACGAGGTCTCGGAGTGAAAATTTAATTGACCTGGAAATCACAGATGGCGCAGGGAGTCCCTCTGCAGTCATTTAGGGCCCCAGAAAACACGAATCCAGAGGATTTATAGTTTTACTTCGATTTCTTTATAATTATTGTACGAAAACGACAGGTGGAATATGCCATTTGGTACAATACCCAATATGATTCGACCCAGCTGTCAATATAAAAACCAACGTCGGCAACGTAGGCATTTAGAAAAATCTTTATCGACGTCGATCAAGTTCCTCGATGTGTTTCACTTCACCTTAAATACTCGAGTAACGGCCATCGGAGGTTGTCGATATCCTTTATCGGGAGGTCGCACAAAAGCCCATTAACGTTGTCATTACATGGAATGCCATAATCCCTGCTCAGCAAAGTGGATCTCTGCGGGGATCGCGTTATGCTAAGTGAATGCGACCAATCGAATTGCTAGCCATAAATAGCTCCGCGTTCTCTCTCTCTCTCTCTTTACCCGATCTGCGTCTCTCTCCTTCCAATGTCAAGTGTACGTTGCAAACGAGTGCATGAAAATATCTCGTCAGACCTGAGATTGAGTAGATAGGTTGATCTTGTAACCGGCCTCTGAGCGTGACCAGGATGAGTCCTACATTTATTTAAAACCATATTAATACAATATGTAAAGTGATATGAAAGTAACGTTAAAACGGTTTCGTTCATGAAACTTCATCGAACTAGGTGCATCGAATTCTTTCGGTGCATCAAGTTATTAGATAATTCACAGATAATGCCTTTAAATTAAATCACCGCCACCTTAGCATAAAACTCAACATAGCCCAGTTTTCTCCTTGTTCTTAGAAACATTTATTTAAAAAAATATTCATAAAACAGTTCTTACATTTCCAATTAACACTCCCATCATGCGTACCGAGTACCGATTGACATACTTGCAGCGAGTGTAATGGCGATATCGATTCAAATTAATAGACTTATCCCCTCGTCAACGAGGCTACAATTTGTGCAAGGGCTTTAAAAGGGCTGTTAGACAAGCCCTTTATCGAGCCATTGCACAATAACGCGTTTTTAACTAGAAGTCCTTTCTTTTTTTTTCTTTTCTTTTAGGGAAGGACCTACAACAATCGTTGCACGATTGTCGAGGTAGAGTACACGCACACGAAAATAATTTCCACAGATGCCCTTACGTAATCCGTCACATTAACATATTAACGAATACTAATTAAACGATACGCGGATGTTGCAAATAAAACAGCTCCGGCATGCGTGCAATATGTCGCGAGTAATTAAAACAATTGGGCTTGTAGTTTACGCGGTATAATTCGAAAAGGCAATATTAAATATTAGACGCAAACAATACGTTGGACGTACAATAATATGTGTACAAGGCTGTCGCTTTGTGCGAACTGGAGTATGAATTTTTTTAGTAAAACACCAATTGTCCTTATCAGTAAGTAATAAAATAATGAAAATAAATTGGAAGCTTCGTGTACATACAATTGTAAATTCGACGCACATTATAGACTGTTTCCTTGTGCTTTTGTTTATTAACTAGAGGCAGTGAGCGTTCTATTAATTAGATGCATTTGTTTATAAAAAGAATGGTTAAGATTGCTTTTCTTTTTTTCTCGTCACAAATATTCCACCTCGAATAACCGCTAATGTATATCGTATTCTACGTTTTTATGTATGAAATGTAAAAATATATCTTTCGCATGGAGCCAATACATTGTTTAAAAATAAATAAGACATTGCCATTAGACTCTTCTCCGCGGTATATTACAGTTTTATGTACACGCCTTGAGAGATGATCCGTTGAAATAACATAACATTAACGTGTCCTAGGACATCGATACAAGATTAAAAAAAAATATGAATATCTACAAACAAAAAAATGTCGTGGACCATTGTTACTTCCTCTACCGATACAAATTGTTTTAATACTAATCTATCGATAAAATGACACGCTTATTTCGAGGAAATTCGCTTATTTACTATTAAGCAGATTAGTCCAAAGGACTTATTATAATTAAAATTGCAGTACCCAGTGATTTATCGTAGACTAAAAAAGAGACTCTGTACATACAATGCAGAATTTAATTATCTAAAGGAATTTTTAAAGTTTATCCAGAGCATAAACTTTAGTTTGTTTAAATCTTGCGACATGTTTCATTTTTTCACGCGTCATTGTTTACTGGAAAGAGTTGGCGGTTCGACATGCTCCGCAAGAAACCTTTTCCTGTTACGCATTGACTGTGCAGAAGTTGTACTGATCTTAACATGACATACCGTACTCGTGTTCTCTTTTGCATTACCATCCGCGTGTTTTTTAATCTTTCCACAGGACTCCTTGCTGGGAGAATGTTTCCGTTTAAAACTATTAAGTTCTTGTCTGCAAGGGGCAGCAGAAGATCGAGTTTTTCGAGGATGATAATCCGGAATAGCTTGCAGTCTCTCGAGAGCAGCACGTAGTGGCAGCAAACCGACTGCGAATGGAATCTCTTTGCTATTCGAGTGTTCCGACCAGTCAAAGACATTTTCTCCATTTTCTAAAACATCTGCCATGTCGCCCCACAGAGCTCTATTGATGGAAGAAACAACGTTTAAAGTCGCAGGACAGGCGATAGAATCATTTATAACATATTCCGTCTTCTCTGATTTCTCACACTTAAACTTATTACTTGACTTCGGCTTATGTTCCTCTTTATTACTTCTGGTTAACGAAAACCGAGATTTAGCATTGCTTTTCGTGGTTGATTTCGAAGCATTTCGAAGGGACCGAGAATAAGTGAAATTCTTCTTCGGAGACTGAGACGTAGTTACACTCTTATTAATTATGCATTGTTCTTTGACGTTATGTTTGGACTCGTCAAGAGGTTCTGTAATATTGGTGTTCTTCTTTGACACCATAAACTTGGTGTTGATTCTACCGAGTGATAATTTGTTACTGACAGGCTCCTCGTATTCATACTGATTCAATCGTTCGCTTCTTCTTAATACAGGCAGTGAGGCTTTTAAATCATCGTAACTTTCTGTATCAACTTGTTCACTACTTCTAATTTCCTTACATCTACTTAAAACACGATTAGATTCATTACCTAATTCGACATTTGTACGTATTTTCTCATTGTCAACTTTATCGTCAGAAAATGACAGGTGTGGATCGTTGGAGGTACGACCCATACGAGGTATTGCATTCTCCGTGCTGAAATTTAGAGTATATTCAGTGTCGTTCAAATCTATCGACGTTGAAACTGTAATTAGCACATCTTCGTTACATGGATTATCTAAATCGATGCAATCGGTTACGGACGCTTGTGGCAAGCATCGGTCTGATTGAATCAAACGATTTTTTGCCATATCCATCCATTTGCGTTTCTTATGAGTGTAAACTTTTAAACACTTTTCTGCGTTGTTAGGAAAAACCGACTTCTCTACATTTTCTTGCTGACACTTTATCGACTTTTCTTCGAATTCATCATCAAACTTCTCTGCATAATCATCGTATTTTGAATTCAGATTCTTTCTGATGTTATCTTTTTTTACTTCCAAGGAATTCGATAATGTAAAATTTTTTGTTGTACTTACATCTGCCTGAACAAAACCCGATTCTTCGTAAAGCATGTGTTCAACTTCCTGACCTTCATTTTCGTTGATTGCAAAATTATCAGAAGGCAATTCCTCTCCTGAATCCAAATTCTCATTTTCGTTTAGTTTGAAAGTAGATATCTCATTTTCCTTTGAAACATTCAATTGAATACTATCATCACAGTCGTTGAATTCGTTAGCTAACTTTAAAGTTTCTGCATGTTCTGAACAGTCGATACTTTCCCCACAATTTTTAACTTCATCTTCGTCTTGAGATCCCATTAATGTACTTATTATATAAGCTAATTCTCTAACCTAGAAAAATATTGCGGAAAAACAGAAATTAGACCACTTTTTGTTTCGCAGACATAACGTACTTATTGCAGCATAAAAAAGATTACTGTATTATTCTGACCTTAAAAATAGTAGCTGCTTCCAGTAAAGGCTTCAGATATTCATGAGAAAGTGTCGTTTCCCCGCAATACATGAACTCCACCATCGCCTTGAGAACATCAAAACTCATGTCTCTTAATAAAATAGTCGGCTCTTGACCTAGATCTTCCTCCAGCATTTCCTAATGGACAAATGAGTCAATTTTAACATTACTACAATGACACGGTGGTTAAACATATCACTAATCTCACTGGAGAAATATAAGATGTGTACTTCCAACATTATAATTACTTCAGAAGGATGTGCAGTGTCCTTCCATTTAATGTTACACGTAGTTTACGATAAATCTATGTCAGCATCTATAAACCAATGAATAGCCATAAATGATCTAGAGACGTCCCGAATGTTCGCAGAAGGTTGTCACATGCATCTATTTACAGTATGCATCTACGTTTCTATTACAGTCACGTGTGTACAGGTATATACAGGTGATTATAAAGGATTATTTTATATTGGCACAACGTACGGAATTCATAGTATTTCTAAAATAATTTCATCCCATTATATAAATTACATTCGCTTTGCACTCTGTAAGGGTCAAATGTTTGGGACGGAAGGTAATTATTAGGTAACAATTTTTGTAGTAGTTACATGATCGATGGAGAAGTGGCTATTATAAAAATGATAAAAGATTAAGCCATAAATGGATGATAATAAATCCTGCGCTGAGCCAATAGAAATAAATCCGATACCATACCCTAGTTGTATATTAATTGCATCTCAATACCTTCTAACGGAAGTTCTTCAATAGGTACATGTACGTCTGACTGCATGGTCTCTTGTATTGCTTGCAAATTAACGATAAATCATTGTTATTAACGTGACATATTCGATCATTTATGCGAACTCTACATATTTCCCTGTAAAAGCAACGCGACATCAGTCCGTCTTTTTCTTAAACCGGAAATACCACCAAAGGAGACAATAATCACGATTGACACCGCCGACCTTTCTTAAACCACACCCTTCCCCCTTGAAGTACGTTTCCGATTTGATGTTCAAATTAAACGACAATATACCTCAAAGTATAAGCTACACGATGCCAGGACTAATTTGTGCACTCGCAGCCTTTGCTCCTCACAAATTAGCGTGACGTCGACGAGTGCTTGTCGAGCTAGCAATCCGCTAAATCTTTCTGCGACGTGACCTGCATGACCAGCCCAGCGTAAAACAAATTCTTCTCCATCTAAGGCCATTTTTATATCTACATAGGAATTTAAAACGTTACGATAAGACCATCTCCAACTTAACCTAAAACGAAACCGATCGAATCTAATTTAATGTAAACTTACCATATAGTCATCAATCTTTCGGGTCAATTAATGCTCCTCTGTCAAAAGTGGGGACCAGATTGTGGCGTAACGGAATAGAATAAACCGTATGCGTCGATTTTTCGCCCATTAATCACAGTCATTCAATCATCAAAGAGTCGTCATCGCTTACGAGTCATAATCGACAAACGGCGGTTTTAAATCCTCGTATAACATCCAGAAGACTGGGCATAAATCAAACGGAGCTTCACTCTTCAATTCTAGCCATCTTACCTCACAACCAGGATCATAATGTCGAGCAAACACTGACGAAGAAATCATCCCAAACAATACGACGTCTCGAATGATCAGTGATACGTCCAGCTAGCGTCATCTGACATTTTAATACGGAAGTATTAGTCGGACTCGCTTCGCGACGTTCGACCCAGTCTCCTCGTTTCGATAAAGGGAGAAATTCCAAAAAGGTCACGTGTGCATCCAACTTAGTTAGGTTATGCCGATAAATAAGAAACCTCTAGAGCGTCCTATACCAGAGAAGAGAGTTTCGAAGAGTCCTCATCAGATGGCTGTAGTACAGTGAATCGGTAGGTAAGCACGCACTTTTCTTGAGAAGTCCATCTGTCTCTTTTCAAACATCACACACACGCCCTTGCGATACACCCCGAAGGAATGCTGGATAGATACTGAAAGCAGAGATGAGCAGGCTCATCTCTGCTGAAAGACTTTGTTGGTTTGACGCTTTTGATAAGTCAACGGCCACGCTGATTGGCTGCTGCAGTCTGCTGCTCCTATTGGTTGCTCCTCTGTGGCTCCATCTGTCAGCCGATAAAACTAACCGGAGGTAGTTTTAGTGCTGAGAGATTTGTTAGATGGCGCCACACGTATCTTCAAAGTAGTCATATAGGGTTCTGTAAATAATTTGGCAGTTATATCCGACGGCGTCTGTAAGATGGCGCCACTTGTACCTGGAGCGGGTTGGCAGTAGATCCTGTAAATTATTTCAAAGTTAGTTCCAACGGTGTCTGTAAGATGGCGCTACCTGTACCTTTAGTGGAGCCCAGTAGGTCCTGTAAATTAATTCGCAGTTAGTTCCGACGGAGTCTGTAAGATGACGCCACTTGGTACTTAACGGACAGACCTGGGATTTTCGTAGCGACTGGATTCGGTAAAGAAGCAAGTGACTTGGTAACTCGACATAACTACCCTCTCTTAGATAGTACCAAGGACAACCGTCGGATGGCGCCACTTGTGACTTATAAAATGTATGCAACCGTTTTATTCCCGCCTGATTTATCATCGACTCTCGATCAGTAGAAAGGATATAACGAAATTCTCTGCTACCAACGATCCTTCAATTTCTGCCATCAACATCTTACATATAGAAATTCCACTCTTTCGCAAAACTGATATACAAGAAAAACAAGGAGAAGGACAATAAATGAAGAGAACGAGATTTAAGTGTAAGGTCTCTTTTTATTTGCCTCCAAACCGACTGTACTAAGCAGGACTTACACGAGACGTACAATAATTGTCAGGATCTTTATATACCGTCGATAACGAAATTCTTATCCTTAAATTTCAGTTCGGTTTCCACGCGACGGGGACGGTCGTCTTCGGGATCTCCTTCGGGGTCCGCCGAGCTGCGCACGCAGAGTCGACGCATGATGCAGCTACCCTTCCTCGAGGCCACCCCTGGCAAGAGGAACTCAAAGTTCCGCGTACCTTCGTTCGGTCTGGAGCTCTTCGGGATCCCTCCGCACGTTTCCTGGACCTCGGCAACTCCTGCAGGAAGACCTTCGGTGTTCTGGTGCGTCCTCTATTATGCAAATTCACTCCTCGGAGATGCCTCGAATTTTGGGCTTTTACCGATTTCCAGGACTCTCCGTGGAAGAGCTCGAAGAGAGACTACGATGTACGGCATGCTCCTGGAGAGTGTGCAGCACTTCGTGCAGGTGCGTAACGCCCCGAGTCCCCTTCTCCAGAGCGGGCTGTTTTCGTTTCGTTTCCACGGATAATAAATATAAATCGTCCAAAGTCCTTCCAGGAGATCCAGAAGAGTGGGAAATCTCAGAGACACCCGGAAGAAATCGAGACTTCCTTAGGATCCATTCGGAGCTGGAAAGGACGTCTTTTCCGCTGGACCTTTTTTTTCATTTCAGGACCTTTCTTCGTTTCGTTTCGATGGATATATATAAATCGTCCAAAGTCCTTCCAGGACATCCAGAAGAGTGGGAAATCTCAGAGTCACCCGGAAGAAATTGAGCCTTCCTTAGGATCCGTTCGGCGCTGGAAAAGACGTCTTTTCCGTTGGACCTTTTTTTTCGTTTCGTTTCCGCGGATAATAAATATAAATCGTCCAAAGTCCTTCCAGGACATCCAGAAGAGTGGGAAGTCTCAGAGTCACTCGGAAGAAATCGAGACTTACTTAGGATCCGTTCGGCGCTGGAAAGGACGTCTTTTCCGCTGGACCTTTTTTTTCATTTCTACGGACATTTTTTCATTTCAGGACCTTTTTTCGTTTCGTTTCCACGGATAATATATATATAAATCGTCCAAAGTCCTTCCAGGAGATGGAAGTAAAACTCCAGATATCCTCTGGATTCATGCTTTCTGAAACCCTAATTGACTGCAGAGGGGCCCCTTGCGCCATCTGTGATTTCCAGGTCAATTAAATTTTCACTCCGAGACCTCGTATTCCCATCGTTTTAGCAAAGAAGCGTATACAACACTTTTTTTGCCCTTATCACGTTCAAATGTGAGTTTATCGACTATCAAAGTGTTCTAAATTGTCGTAAAATTGTCCTGACCCTTTCTATTCCCATATCAGAGCCTTCGATAATTGTATACTGATCGAAATATCAGAGTTCGACGCCATTTTGGTTCTGGCCTGGACTGAGTTAAATAATTCTTTTGAAAAATCCAAATTTTCAATGTGTCAGGACAATTCTTAGATGTGTCAAAGTTTCGGACAGTTTGGTCTAATATCCTTAAAAAAAAGTGTTGTATTCGAGTCGACTGATTTGAAGTGTCAAAGTTTCGGACAGTTTGGTCTAATANATTATGAAAGTGGTCTGTCATATATTTTTTGTATCGGAATTAAATTGAATTAATTTCGTTTGAAATATGGCGTGAAATAACTGATAAACTCATTTTTGTTTAATTTTCACTTAATACATATGTGCCCGTAATTATGAAAGTGGTCTGTCATATATTTTTTGTTTCGGAATTACATTGAATTAATTTCGTTTGAAATATGGCGTGAAATAACTGATAAACTCATTTTTTTTTCATTTTCACTTAATACATATGTGCCCATAATTATGAAAGTGGTCTAAGTCATATATCTTTGTTTCGGAATTACATTGAATTAATTTCGTTTGAAATAATATTGGCGTGAAATAACTGATAAACTCATTTTTTGTTTCATTTTCACTTAATACATATGTGCCCATAATTATGAAAGTGGTCTAAGTCATATATCTTTGTTTCGGAATTACATTGAATTAATTTCGTTTGAAATAATATAGCGTGAAATAACTGATAAACTCATTTTTTTTTCAATTTTGACTTAATACATATGTGCCCATAATTATGAAAGTGGTCTAAGTCATATATTTTTTGTTTCGGAATTACATTGAATTAATTTCGTTTGAAATAATATGGTGTGAAATAACTGATAAACTCATTTTTTGTTTAATTTTCACTTAATACATATGTGCCCATAATTATGAAAGTGGTCTGTCATATATTTTTTGTATCGGAATTAAATTGAATTAATTTCGTTTTAAATAATACGGCGTGAAATAACTGATAAACTCATTTTTTTTTTTAATTTTCACTTAGACCACTTTCATAATTATGGGCATATATGTCGTTTATGGGCATAAATGCATGTTTCATAATTCTTCATTCCCTACATTTTGACGGTTGTTTCATGAAAATCGGTCGAGTGCTTCTACATGAAACAGCCAACTAACCTCCTTGCACGGCCAAACTTGAAGCCTGATTTAACCCCCTAAAAGTGTTTATCCGCCGATAAAAAAAAACACGGGTCCCTTAGATTTTAGTCCTCTATAACATATTTAAAAATGAAGAAAATCGGAGGGGGACACCTCAGGTACCTTCCTTGTTAGACCACTTTCATAATTATGGGCACATTAATGACGATCAGGATTTAATTCTTGGGACTTTTCCAGCTGGAGTACGGGGAGGAGATGTGGCTGCAAATTGTCGAAAGTGCCGGCACGAAAAATGTGGTTTTCAACACCAGACAGATCTACCCGGATCACTTGATGACCGATCTTGCTGCCGCCCTGGCGGGACATACGGGTGATACGGTGGACTGGGTGATGCAATTCTTCGGAAAGTGTTTCGTCAGATTCTTCAGTAACCTGGGGTAAGGAGAATCGTTAGAAAGGTTAGGCCAAATTCAGGAAATTGATCATCCGAGTGGAGGAGTAATTACTCGAAATTCGGGCAATTAATCCCCCGCGGTGTTCGTGTGGCTTTATCGACGGGAGAGAGTAATTACCGATTAAACTCCATCGAGTCGTTTGCGTGCTCTTCCCCTTGTGCCATTGAATTCCCCCCTCGGAAAATGTAAACTCGTTTCGAGGAGTACATTTAAGGTGAAGTGAAACACCCTTCAAATCAGTCGATTCGAATACAACACTATTTTTTAAGGGCATTAGACCAAACTGTCCGAAACTTTGACGCATTACTCATGATCATCTAAGAATTGTCCTGACACATTCAAAATTTTGATTTTTTGAATAAATTTTTTAACTGTAATTAAATTAGTCGATTCGAATACAACACTATTTTTTAAGGGTATTAGACCAAACTGTCCGAAACTTTGACATATCCTGATCATCTAAGAATTGTCCTGACACATACAAAATTTGGATTTTGTAAACAAATTTTTTTTCAAATTCAGCCCAGGCCAGAAGCAAAATGGCGTCGAGCTCTCATATTTCGATCAATGTATAATTATCGAAGGCTCTGATATGAGAATTGAAAGGGTTAGGACAATTTTACAACAATTTAGAACACTTTGATAGTCGATAAACTCCCATTTGAACGGAATAAAGGCAAAAAAAGTGTTGTAATTGACAGCAGAGGGACCCCCTGCGCCATCTGTGATTTCCAGGTCAATTAAATTTTCACTCCGAGACCTCGTATTACCATCGTTTCGGCATAGAAGCGCATACAACACTTTTTTTGCCTTTATCCCGTTCAAATGCGAGTTCATTCATTACCGGAGTGTTCTAAATTCTCGTAAAATTGTCCTGACCCTTTCGATTCTCATATCAGAGCCTTCAATAATTGTACATTGATCGAAATATGAGAGCTCGACGCCATTTTGGTTCTGGTCTGGGTTGAATTAAAAAATTTGTTTGCAAAATCCAAATTTTGTATGTGTCAGGACAATTCTTAGATGATCAGGAGTGATGTGTAAAATGTGTGGACAGTTTGGTCTAATACCCTTAAAAAAAGTGTTGTATTCGAATCGACTGATTTGAAAGGGGCTTCACTTCACCTTAATGGGGGTACTTTCGGTGATCATCACGAAAGGCCGCAATCAGGAGCTTCCCTAGAAATGGAATAAAAATGGGGTAACTCGTTGAGCGTCCTATTATCTTCCATATTTTCCAGCTACGATTGCACCATAAAGGCAACCGGTCGCTACTTTTGCGACTTCCTGCAGAGCGTCGACAACATCCACATGCAGATGCGATTCACGTACCCGAAGATGAAGAGCCCCTCTATGTATACCACCCACGTGGATCCCCATGGCGTCGTCCTGGTGTACAGGAGTACAAGACAAGGCTTCACTCATTACTTCATGGGTAATTAAAATTCAGGTCCCGTAAGAATTTCATTCTAATTATTAAACCCATCGAGCAGGTCAATTGTATCAAATCGCGAAGGAGCTTTACGACACGAGTCTCGACATCCGAGTTCTGGAGAGCTCAAACAATATTCCCGGTTCTCGAAGTGTGATGGTCAAATTTCGTATCGACTTCGACAACCGCGATTACGTGAGTATAAATTCTTTTAAATGATTAAGGTGAAGTGAAACACCAAATCAGTCGATTCGAATACAACACTTTTTTTTTAAGGGTATTAGACCAAACTGTCTCATATTTCGATCGATATACAATTATCGAAGGCTCTGATATGAGAATCGAAAGGGTCAGGACAATTTTACGACAATTTAGAACACTCTGGTAATTGATAAACTCGCATTTGAACGGGATAAAGGCAAAAAAAGTGTTGTTTGTGCTTCTATGCTAAAACGATGGTAATGCGAGGTCTCGGAGTGAAAATTTAGTGGACCTGGAAATCACAGATGGCGCAGGGGGTCCCTCCGCAGTCAATTAAAGCTCCATAAAACATGAATCCAGAGGCTTTCTAGACTTTTACTTGGATTTCTTTATAATTATTGTACGAAAACGACAGGTGGAATATGCCATTTGGTACATTACGCAATATAATTCGGTATAGTTGTCGATATAAAAACCAATGTCGGCAACGTAGGCATTTAGAAAAATCTTCTTTATCGACGTTGATCAAGTTCCTCGACGTGTTTCACTTCACCTTAAACGATTTGCGGCGGTGGAATACCCTTTTTTCCTACATGTTTAGGTGCATAAAACTAACCGAACGAACGGCCCGATGTTCCGCCAATTGAAGCCAGTGTCTTCCACGTTTCTTCTGCGGCTTTTCCCATTTGGGGTCCTTTTGGACAGAGACATGCAAGTGCTTGCTGCAGGAGAAAAATTATTCCAAGCCTGGGGAGGCACCGAGTCCCTCATCAATAAACAAGCCACTGAGATATTTAAACTACGACGTCCTAAGGGAATCGCCTTCACCTGGAGAAACGTAAGAGGAATAATTCTCTGCTTATTAAAAAAATTCCGATAAAATTCTAATAAAATTCCTATTTTACCTGCACACAGGTCCTGTACATGCATAACGTAACCTTCGAGCTGGAGCTGGTTCGAGCGACAGAAAATCAGAGCAGAACCTCCGTTGAAAATGAAAATGGCACCCCTAGTACGAGTCTGGATCGCAGGGGAAGCCAGGGGTCCCGAAGTATTTTATTAAAGGGAGAGATGAGACACATCGAGGACATCAAGGCCATCATTTTCCTCTGCAGCCCTTTGTAGGTCACCCCAATATCTTCCCTTTACCCGGAAATAATTCCAGTGGTATATAAAAGGCCTTTCTGCAGAATAAATAGCCTCGACGAGCTGCTGAACATGGGCTTGTTCCTCAACGACCTTAATCCACATGGCATGAGCAGGGAGATGGTCCTGGCGGGTTGGCAGCACTGTGGAAGGTTTGTCGAACGACTATTTAAGGTGAAGTGAAACACCCTTCAAATCAGTCGATTCGAATACAACACTTTTTTTTAAGGGTATTAGACCAAACTGTCCGAAACTTTGACACATCACTCCTGATCATCTAAGAATTGTCCTGACACATTCAAAATTTGGATTTTTGGAAAAAATTTTTTAACTCAGCCCAGACCAGAACCAAAATGGCGTCGACCTCTCATATTTCGATCAATATACAATTATCGAAGGCTCTGATATGAGAATCGAAAGGGTCAGGACAATTGTACGACAATTTAGAACACTCTGATAATCGATACACTCGCATTTGAACGGGATAAAGACGAAAAAAGTGTTGTATGCGCTTCTATACTAAAACGATGGGAATACGAGGTCTCGGAGTAAAAATTTAATTAACCTGGAAATCACAGATGGCGCAGGGGGTCCCTCTGCAGTCAATTAGGGCCCCAGCCAGCATGAATTCAGAGGATTTCTGAAATTTTACTTCGATTTATTGATATTTATTGTACGAAAATGACAGGTGGAGTATGCCATTTGGTACAATATCCAATATAATTCGACCCAGCTGTCAATATAAAAACGAACGTCGGCAACGTAGGCATTTAGGAAAATCATCTTTGTCGACGTCGATCAAGTTCCTCGACGTGTTTCACTTCACCTTAACGCCACATGAACTTCGAAGTTATTAGTAGATTAATAGATTGTTCGGTATAGTGATACTTTGAGCTTCTACATATTGGTGTGAAGGTTGATTTCGTGGAGGTACTGCACGGAGAGAAAAAAGTTGTTATAATTACTAGAATTGTGATAGACGTAATGCATGTATTAGTGACTAATAAATACAGACTGTCAAACTGTTTAAGGTGAAGTGAAACCCCCTTCAAATCAGTCGATTCGAATACAACACTTTTTTTTAAGCGTATTAGACTAAACTGTCCGAAACTTTGACACGTCACTCCTGATCATCTAAGAATTGTCCTGTCATATTCAAAATTTTGATTTTTTTTTAATTTTGTAACTCAGCCCAGACCAGAATCAAAATGGCATCGAGCTCTCATATTTCGATCAATATACAATTATCGAAGGCTCTGATATGAGCATCGAAAGGGTCAGGACAATTTTACGACAATTTAGAACACTTTGATAGTCGATAAACTCACATTTGAACGGGATAAGGGCAAAAAAAGTGTTGTATACGCTTCTATGCTAAAACGATGGTAATACGAGGTCTCGAGTGAAAATTTAATTCACCTGGAAATCATAGATGGCGCAAGGGGTCCCTCCGCAGTCAATTAAAGCTCCATAAAGCATGAATCCAGAGGATTTCTAGAGTTTTACTTGGATTTCTTGATAATTATTGTACGAAAACGACAGGAGTATGCCATTTGGTACAATACCCAATATAATTCGGTATAGTTGTCGATATAAAAACCAACGTCGGCAACGTAGGCATTTAGAAAAATTTTCTTTATCGACGTTGATCAAGTTAATCGACGTGTTTCACTTCACCTTAAAATTCTCCTTCGAATGACCCGTCGGTTTCTCAGTGGGTGTATTTTCTAGACTGGAAATGATGTTCGAAAGAGCCGAGCAGAGATCCACGGAGCTGGGGAATAGTTACGCGCTTCTGGACCGCTGGAAGAACAAAAGCGATGAATTGTTGTATTCGATGATCCCTCAAACTGTTGCCGATCGCTTGCGAGCCGGGGCCAGTCCTCTCAGTACTTGCGAGGTGATTTTAAGATCCTTTCTTATCATTTTGTCCCCTCTTCTTCGTTCTTATTGTTCTTATTCCTCAGTCCTTTGAGTCCATCACGGTTTTGTTCTGTGAACTTTGCGAGTTCGACTACACCACCGTTGAAGGCGCCATGGACATCGTTTCCTCCATGAATGCCGTTTTTTCTTGCTTCGACTCCCTCATGGATCGGTTCGACGTCTACAAAGTGAGTTGATTGGTTCTTAAGGTGAAGTGAAACACCTTTCAAATCAGTCGATTCGAATAAAACACTTTTTTTCAAGGGTATTAGACCAAACTGTCCGAAACTTTGACACGTCACTCCTGATCATCTAAGAATTGTCCTGGCACATACAAAATTTGGATTTTGTAAATAAATTTTTTAATTCAACCCAGACCAGAACCAAAATGGCGTCGAGCTCTCATATTTCGATCGATGGCAAAAAAGGTGTTGTATACGCTTCTATGCTAAAACGATGGTAATGCGAGGTCTCGGAGTGAAAATTTAATTGACCTGGAAATCACAGATGGCGCAGGGGGTCCATCGATGTTTCACTTCACCTTAAGATCGATGAATGATGTTGAGCTCTCATATTTCGATCGATATACAATTATCGAAGGCTCTGATATGAGAATCGAAAGGGTCAGGACAATTTTACGACAATTTATAACACTCTGGTAATCGATAAACTCGCATTTGAACGGGATAAAGGCAAAAAAGGTGTTGTATACACTTCTATGCCAAAACGATGGTAATAGGAGGTCTCGGAGTGAAAATTAAATTGACCTGGAAATCACAGATGGCGCAGGGGGTCCCTCCGCAGTCAATTAAAGCTCCATAAAGCATGAATCCAGAGGATTTCTGGGGTTTTACTTGGATTTCTTGATAATTATTGTACGAAAACGACAGGTGGAGTACGCCATTTGGTACAATACCCAATATAATTCGATATAGCTGTCAATATAAAAACCAACGTCGGCAACGTAGGCATTTAGGAAAATCTTGTTTATCGACGTCGATCAAGTTCCTCGACGTGTTTCACTTCACCTTAACAATTTTATATAAACGTTCCATGTACTATGTTAACATTCTTAATTATAGGTAGAGACTGTAGGACGCGTTTACATGGCTGCGAGTGGAGCTCCCGATAGGACCGATAATCATGCAAAAAATGTTGCAGATTTGTCTTTACAATTGATAACTCATGTCCGGTCGCTGAAATTACCTTCTGGACTGGATTTGCAGATTCGAATAGGTACAGTGAATTGATTGAATTTAAAAACCTGTTTTTTATCGCCTTATAAATAATTGTTATCACTCTTCAGGCATTCATTCTGGACCAGCAGTGGCAGGAGTCGTTGGCATTAAAGTTCCTCGATACTGCTTTTTCGGAGACACCGTAAACACGGCTTCTCGAATGCAAACGACAGGCCTGGTCGGTTAGACTTAAAAAAACATTCTGTTTTGCATAAATGTTCAGCCTAATTATTTTAAATATTTTTCGACAGCCCGGAAAAATCCACATTTCCCCGGATACCAAGGCGTTGCTTCCCGAAGGCGAATATAGAATGGAATCGCGAGGACTGGTGTGGGTGAAAGTGAGTATAAAAACAATGAGAAAGTATTAAATAAACGTAATGGACGGAATTTTACGCGGTTTATAATTTCCAGGGGAAGGGAAACATGGAAACTTATTGGCTGTACGAAGAAGCTGGAAATCACCCTGAAGAGGTGGTGTCTAATACTAGCGACATCTGAACGGAACTTATCGTAACAATAAATAAAAATACTAAGATTAATTTAACATTGACGGCGCAAGAAAAAGATATCGAGCTGACAGAAATCGTGTCGCGTACTTTCTTAAAGTCTCAGTGCTGACTCGTGTGAAGGTGTACGGAGAAAGTATCACGGCTTTCTTTTTTACGCATGTACGATACGGTAAAGACCAACGATCACGTGCCTTAACATTTGTGCCCATAATTATGAAAGTGGTCTAAGTGAAAATGAAAAAAAAAATCAGTTTATCAGTTATTTCACGCCATATTATTTCAAAGGAAATTAATTCAATGTAATTTAAACAAAAAATATATGACTTAGACCACTTTCATAATTATGGGCACAGTTAACAATCAGGCCATACGACTCACGAGTGAATAAATTAAAACAAAATATCGCAAATGTAGGATTATTCGCAGTAAATAAATAATAACCGAGTAACAATGTGTAACAACTTATCAACAATAGGTACGGCAGAGCAGAGACCGAGGAAAAAAATTTCACTGAACCAAATAATTCCAGTACACTAGAGTAAAATAATTATTCTTAGTCTAGGAAATATTTCTCTGGTTAAATGAGATTTTTTTTTAACCCAGGGTAGGAATTCAAGGACTCAAAAGTTTAGAAACTCAACCTACATCCTTCTTCTCTCTCGATTCAATCTTGGTTCTCTGCTGGCCTCGAAGGTATTTAAAATTGAGGGTGGATCAACAATAACAGGAATCGGCAGTGTTGCGTTCTATCCAACTGAGGAAGCGATTAACTCTCGAATAAACACCAGGATAATTTGGCTGCGCACATCCTTCGCCCCAAGATACGACACCTATGGACAAACATAAACAAAGTCTATCATTTTTCCGCATAAATCCTGCATTAGCCAACAATAAGCGACAACACTCACCGGCAATATGGTGAACGGTTTCGTTGACCACGTGAAGAGGACCTCCACTGTCTCCCTGAACGGAAAAAATGTTTTAAAGTGAAGTGAAACACCCTTCAAATCAGTCGATTCGAATACAACACTTTTTTTTAAGGGTATTAGACCAAATTGTCCGAAACTTTGACACATCTAAGAATTGTTCTGACACATTCAAAATTTGGATTTTTTGAAAAAATTATTTAACTGTAATCAAATCAGTCGATTCGAATACAACACTTTTTTTTAAGGGTATTAGACCAAACCGTCCGAAACTTTGACACATCTAAGAATTGTTCTGACACATTGAAAATTTAGATTTTTCAAAAGAATTTTTTAACTCCAGACCAGAAACAAAATGGCGTCGAGCTCTGATATTTCGATTGATAGACAATTATCCAAGGCTCTGATATGAGAATCGAAAGGGTCAGGACAATTTTACGACAATTTAGAACACTCTGGTAATCGATAAACTCGCATTTGAACGGGATAAAGGCAAAAAAAGTGTTGTAAACGCTTCTATGCCAAAACGATGGTAATACGAGGTCTCTGAGTGAAAGTTTAATTGACCTGGAAATCACAGATGGCGCAGAGGGTCCCTCTGCAGTCAATTAAAGCTCCATAAAGCATGAATCCAGAGGATTTCTAGAGTTTTACTTGGATTTCTTGATAATTATTGTACGAAAACGACAGGCGGAGTACTCCATTTGGTACAATACCCAATATAATTCGGTATAGTTCTCGATATAAAAACGAACGTCGGCAACGTAGGCATTTAGAAAAATCTCTTTTATCGACGTCGATCAAGTTCCTCGACGTGTTTCACTTCGCCTTAATAACCCAGTTAATCGTAGCCAGAGATTATTAAAAATAAATAAACCCTACCTGGCACGAGTCCTTGCTGCCCTCCGTAAATCCCGCACAGAGCATGTTATCAGTTATCCTGCGAGCAGGATACTTCGTGGCTCGACATTCCGCATTAGAGAGAATCGGCACCGTGACCTCCTGCAAGGTCGAAGAACCAACGCCGCCTTCTTCAAGGGCTCCCCATCCCGTGACGATAGCCATTTCACCGGAAAATGTTTTTCCTGCAAAGAGGGAACAGAATGTATCTGGAAAATACAATAAACGGGATTTTTTACTCACCACGTTCGGGCAGACAGACAGGACGAAGAGGTCCTGAAAACTTGAGATCTTCTGCGATTTTAAGAAGAGCGATGTCGTTGTTGTAATTCACCGTGGAATATGCCCCGTGTCTAATGACTTCCTGCACTTTGTATTCCATCACTCTGGAATGCGAGGTATTCCTGTTGTGCTCCAAAAGACGGATCGTTATCAAACTTTTCTGGAACCTAGAAAAATATATTAAGATATTTCCATTGAACGGTGATTCTTGTTTATCAATGTCTAATTATCAATGTCTAATTACCCCTCCACGCAGTGTGCAGCGGTCAGGACGTATCGAGAACTGATCAAGGACCCTCCGCAATAAAATCTGCCTCGATACATCAGTGCCGTCATCCAAGGATACTGAATTTCCAGGGTCTCCACCCCACCCACGATTCGGTTGTTCTTGTTCGTCAAGCCGCACTCTAGAAATCGGGAGTACTTCTCAGTCATTTCTGGAGTTACTTTTTAAGGTGAAGTGTTCAGTCGATTCGAATACAACACTTTTTTTTAAGGGTATTAGACCAAACTGTCCGAAACTTTGACACATCTAAGAATTGTCCTGACACATTGAAAATGTAGATTTTTCAAAAGAATTTTTAACTCCAGACCAGAAACAAAATGGCGTCGAGCTCTGATATTTCGATCGATATACAATTATTGAAGGCTCTGACATGAGAATCGAAAGGGTCAGGAGAATTTTACGACAATTTGGAACCCTCTGGTAATCGATAAACTCGCATTTGAACGGGATAAAGGCAAAAAAAGTGTCGTATGCGCTTTTTTGCGAAAATGATGGCAATACGAGGTCTCGGAGTGGACATTTAATTGACCTGGAAATCACAGATGGCGCAGGGGGTCCCTCCGCAGTCAATTAGGGCCCCAGAAGGCATGAATCCAGATTTCTGGAGTTTTACTTCGATTTCTTTATAATTATTGTACGAAAACGACAGGTGGAATATGCCATTTGGTACAATACGCAATATAATTCGACTAAGCTGTCAATATAAAAATGAACGTCGGCCTTAAGGTGAAGTGAAACACGTCGAGGAACTTGATCGACGTCGATTAAGAAGATTTTTCTAAATGCCTACGCTGCCGACGTTCATTTTTATATTGAAAGCTATATCGAATTATATTGGATATTGTACCAAATGGCATACTCCGCCTGTCGTTTTCGTACAATAAATATAAAGAAATCGAAGTAAAACTCCAAAAATCCTCTGGATTCATATTTTCTGGGGCTCTAATTGACTGCAGAGGGACCCCCTGCGCCATCTGTGATTTCCAGGTCAATTAAATTTTCACTCCGAGACCTCGTATTACCATCGTTTTCGCAAAGAACCGCATACAACACTTTTTTTGCCTTTATCCCGTTCAAATGTGAGTTTATCGCTTACCAGAGTGTTCTAAATTGTCGTAAAATTGTCCTGACCCTTTCGATTCTCATATCAGAGCCTTCGATAATTGTATATCGATCGAAATATCAGAGCTCGACGCCATTTTGGTTCTGGTCTTAGCTGAGTTGAAAAATTAGTTTAAAAAATCCAAATTTTCAATGTGTCAGGACAATTCTTAGATGTATCCAAGTTTCGAATAGTTTGGTCTAATACCCTTAAAAAAAAGCGTTGTATTCCAATCGACTGATTTGAAGGGGGATTTCACTTCACCTTAAGTCGCACTTTCCATGGGAATTGAACTCACTGCAAGTCTGGCATTTCTGGGGGTTTTCAGGCTCCGGTGTTTGCGTCGTGACGACTACTCCTGGTTTGTTCCCGAAGACTTGTTGAATCCACTGCAAGAACGTTTTGTCAACTGTTTCGGCATCCGCGGTGGCGGTCCAGTTGGTCTTGACCCCTCCTCTCGTGACTGACAATTGCACCTGCTGGAAAATATCACTCCCTAAGAGAAAACTTCCCTCGGGGCACCCAGAACTCTAAGAAAGAGACTTACTGCACTCTCGGGTACCGCCACCATTGCAGTTGCAGTAGCGATAAGGAGAATAAACGCGATATGCATTCCCAGGAGAAGCGAGGTCCTCTTCGTGGTCATCCTCGATCAGGACTGTGGAAATTAAACTGTAATTCGATCGGTCGGCTGCTACCAACTCGCCGGACACTTTCACACAGGCATCGATTCCGTGCCACATCTTTATTTATATACCGAATAGTCGACGAACGGGTAGAGCGAGTGAAAATTTAGGCTAGCGGTATGTTAATTCGCAGACATATATGTTACATTAACCAGGTTGACCGAAAGGACTTTTACAGATCTTACCCAGATTTCTGGCCGCCGTTTACTTATTTTATGGGAAACATCAGGATGACCCCGATTTCCAGATTTTGTTCCACCACGACCGCGTTAAGGTGAAGTGAAACACGCCGAGGAACTTGATCGACGTCGATAGAGAAGATTTTTCTAAATGCCTACGTTGCCGACGTTGGTTCTTATATTGACAGCTGGGTCGAATTATGTTGGGTATTGTACCAAATGGCATATTCCACCTGTCGTTTTCGTACAATAATTATAAAGAAATCGAAGTAAAAATCCAGAAATCCTCTGGATTCGTGTTTTCTGGGGCCCTAATTGACTGCAGAGGGACCCCCTGCGCCATCTGTGATTTTCCAGGTCAATTAAATTTTCACTCCGAGACCTCGTATTACCATCGTTTTAGCATAGAAGCGTATACAACACTTTTTTTGCCCTTATCCCGTTCAAATGTGAGTTTATCGACTATCAAAGTGTTCTAAATTGTCATAAAATTGTCCTGACCCTTTCGATTCTCCTTTAAGAGCCTAAGAAATAAAAAAAAGAAAAAGAAAATCCAAATTTTGAATGCGTCAGGACAATTCTTAGATGATCAGGGGTGAGGGACAGTTTGGTCTAATACCCTTAAAAAAAAGTGTTGTATTCGAATCGACTGATTTGAAGGATGTTTCACTTCACCTTAAGTGAAAACAACGATGACGTTGATCAAAGGAAGGAGTTATGTCGCTGACTTTGGAATCCGTAACCGCGGGTCAAAGAGTGCCATTGGTACCATTAGGGACGCACCTGTGATTACAAAGCCATCGGCACCTTTCCATTCTACTCGCTCTATATTATGCAAGGAATATTTCCAAACGCGAAACTGAGAACAAGGTCGGCGATAAAAAGGGATCCATGTTACGGCCGCAACGAGTGTCGTATTATTTTATATAATTCATCATTCCTGAAGAGATGTCAACGAACCAGACAATGTTTCCTTTGCACGGTACCAAAGAAACATTTCGTTAATTCGATGTTCAATTCCATGAAAAACGTGACGTTGAACGCGACGAAGAACATACGTCGATAAGTGTTATCAGAGGTGTCCATGATTCTTATCGGGTCTAATGGTCCCTGGTCGACGTTCCATTAGCGGGCCTCCCTTAATCCTGGGTTATCTGTGTTGGTTATTTCAGGGTAAATAAGATATGCCGGATTTCAGATGCCGGCGTCGGGTCTCACCTGTAACCTGCGACAGTGGGTCAAGGTATATGGGGCAGGACACCCTCATGCGGGACCGCCTTATATCGTCTCGACGAATGACTCGATGTCTTTATCGGAAGCCTTGCCATACTTATCGGAGACACGTAACCAGGGTCAAATCTCACCTCTGACTCCGTCGAAAAGAGTCGACATTCGATATTTCACTTTGAAACGACCCACCGACTTCTGCGGGACCCTCGGGGATTTCAACGCATGTGCACCTCCCCCTCGGTCGGGGACTTGGATGCCTGATAAAAAAAATAAAACACACCCGTTGTTTAAATGCAATTATCAAAAGTTACATCCAAAGTAACGACGAAATTTAAGGATGGTTACCTGGATGGTTACTGGACCCTCGGGGATTTCAATGCATGTGCACCTCCCTCTAGGTCGGGGACTTGGATGCCTGTTAAAAAAAACAAAATTCACCCGTTGTTTAGATGGAATTATCAAAAGTTACATCCAAAGTAAAGACGAAATTTAAGGATGGTTACCTGGATGGTTACTGGACCCTCGGGGATTTCAACGCATGTGCACCTCCCCTCGGCCGGGGACTTCGATGCCTGTTAAAAAAAACAAAATTCACCCGTTGTTTAAATGGAATTATCAAAAGTTACATCCAAAGTAAAGACGAAATTTAAGGTTACCATTTCTAGCAGAACGATGACCCGAATTATTAGTCGACATTCGATATTCCACTTTGAAACGACCCACCGACTTATGTGCGACCCTCGGGGATTTCAACGCATGTGCACCTCCCCCTCGGTCGGGGACTTCGATGCCTGTTAAAAAAAGAAATTCACTCGTTGTTTAAATGGAATTATCAAAAGTTACATCCAAAGTAACGACGAAATTTAAAGATGGATGGTTACCTGGACCCTCGGGGATTTCAATGCATGTGCGACTTGAATGCCTGTTAAAAAAACAAAATGCACCCGTTGTTTAAATGGAATTATCAAAAGTTACATCCAAAGTAAAGACGAAATTTAAGAATGGATGGTTACTGGACCCTCGGGGATTTCAACGCATGTGCACCTCCCCCTCGGTCGGGGACTTGAATGCCTGTTAAAAAAATAAAATTCACCCGTTGTTTAAATGCAATTATCAAAAGTTACATCCAAAGTAACGACAAAATTTAAGGATGGATGGTTACTGGACCCTCGGGGATTTCAACGCATGTGCACCTCCCCCTCGGTCGGGGACTTCGATGCCTGTTAAAAAAATAAAATTCACCCGTTGTTTAAATGGAATTATCAAAAGTTACATCCAAAGTAAAGACGAAATTTAAAGATGGATGGTTACCATTAATAGTAGAACGATGACCCGAATTATTAGCACTTTCGGGGCTTGTCCGTCATGCTGCACCCCGACCCCAATCCTCGGGGTACTTGTGTCAAGAGAAAGGGATCATCAACGGGAAAGAAGACGCAGCGAGATGCGGCGAAATGCAATCTTCGAGAAACGATCCTCGTGACACGTGGTGGACGTCGAGGAAAATTCTCCTTTCTTCGGACTTCTGCTCGTGGAACGTCGCGAGAGGTCGTCGACATTGTCGTTAAGCCACTTATGTGGAATCGACGGGGACTTTCTCAAACGAGGACCTCGACACGCGAGAAACGATGATCAAATTAATTAACCGAGTTTTCGGTACCCTACCATTTTTTTAAGGTGAAGTGAAACACGTCGAGGAACTTGATCGACGTCGATAAACAAGATTTTTCTAAATGCCTACGTTGCCGATGTTAGTTTTTATATTGACAGCTATATCGAATTATATTGTGTATTGTACCAAATGGCATATTCCACCTGTCGTTTTCGTACAATAATTATAAAGAAATCCAAGTAAAACTCCAGAAATTCTCTAAATTCATGCTTTCTGAGGCCCTAATTGACTGCGGAGGGACCCGTGCGCCATCTGTGATTTCCAGGTCAATTAAATTTCCACTCCAAGACCTCGTATTCCCATCGTTTTAGCAAAGAACAGCATACAACACTTTTTTTGCCATTATCCCGTTCAAATGCGAGTTTATCGATTACCAGAGTGTTATAAATTCTCGTAAAATTGTCCTGACCTTTTCGATTCTCCTTTAAGAGCCTAAGAAATAAAAAAAAGAAAAAGAAAATCCAAATGTTGAATGTGTCAGGACAATTCTTAGATGTGTCAAAGTTTCGGACAGTTTGGTCTAATACCCTTAAAAAAAAGTGTTGTATTCGAATCGACTGATTTGAAGGATGTTTCACTTCACCTTAATCTTCCACATTGGGAGACTATGCGAGAGACTACGAATATTAGGGATTTTTTTTTTCGAAGGAAATTTCGAAAATTCGAGCTTTGTAGCGAAGGAAATAAACACCTAGGAACAATTCGGATTCAGGTTTTAGATCTTCGAAGAAGTCGTGAACGGGTGTCGTACTCTTTCCACCGACTTGTCGCCCCGTTCCTGGGACAAGGGCGAGAGACAATTGCGTTGACACTATTCTGATAGCGACAAGAACGAAGCAGCATCGACCTACAATCCTGATATTCCTGGAAACTGCCATCTCCGTTCCTATCCAAATGATATCGAAGGAACATCGATGATCCCCCGAAAAAAAAACCCCATGATCATTCTTTAGCTAATAAAAGATCTGTGTATTTTTTCTTCAGCTAATAAAGGAACTGAATGAACCCGAGAAGAAAGATTATTCGTATTTGGTGCAATATAATTGATTTCAGTTGCTTGGTGACCGTATTAACATAATGTAACCGAGATTATAACAGAAAGGACTAATGACGGGCACATATGTGCCTATAATTATTAAAGTGGTCTGTTATATGTTTTTTGTTTCAAAATTACAATGAATTAATTTCGTTTGAAATAATATGGCGTGAAATAACTGATAAACTCATTTTTTTTTTCAATTTTGACTTAATACATATGCGCCCATAATTATTAAAGTGGTCTAAGTAATATATTTTTTGTTTCGAAATTATATTGAATTAATTTCGTTTGAAATAATATGGCGTGAAATAACTGATAAACTCATTTTTTTTTCAATTTTGACTTAATACATATGTGCCCATAATTATTAAAGTGGTCTAAGTCATATATTTATTGTTTCGAAATTACATTGAATTAATTTCGTTTGAAATAATATGGCGTGAAATAGCTGATAAACTCATTTTTTTTTTAATTTTCACTTAGACCACTTTCATAATTATGGGCATATATGTGCCCATAATTATTAAAGTGGTCTAAGTCATATATTTTTTGTTTCAAAATTACATTGAATTAATTTCGTTTGAAATAATATGGCATGAAATAGCTGATAAATTCATTCTTTTTTTTATTTTGACTTAGACCACTTTTATAATTATGGGCACATATATATATATATATTTGGCGAAGTTATTTTACACCTGAAGAAGGTGTTTTTGATTCGATCCTGATATTCCTGGAAACTGACATTTCCTATCCAAATGATATGAAAGGATAATCGATGATCCCCCAAAAAAACCCCGGATGATTATTTAAACCCACCGCGTATAAAAATCATCATATCGCTTTTAACACAATCTCCCCACTTCCTTAATTTTTCAATTAAAAATCGCCATCTTTTTTCTGCACTAGATGGTCCATTCTTGAAGCGAGCCGCGGAAAGTTTCCAGGAATTTCGTCAAATGATATCGAAGGATAATCGATGATCCCCCCCAAAAAAACCCCGGATGATTATTTAAACCCACCGCGTTTAAAAATCATCATATCCCTTTTAAGACAATCCCCCCATTTCCTTAATTTTTAAATTAAAAAGCGCCATCTTTTTTCTGCACTAGATGGTCCATTCTTGAAGCGAGCCGCGGAAAGTTTCCAGGAATTTCGTCATACCGCGTAATGAGCTCAAATGTACCGTATAATGCGAAGTACGATAATGAACGGACGTGTTTGTTCTTTCGTATTTAAATTTTACGCCCAACTAGATACCCAGACGACGAGACATCCGGGGAATAGGACGAAGATGGGGCATCGACTCGGAGAAGTTCCTCGATTGCGACAAATCGCAAGACAAGCGTAACACAGGTGGCTCGTAACAGTTGTGAATTGTTGCACAGAGGTGCAGTGTTGTTTTTCTCCAAGTTTTTTCCTCGGTGTCTGTAGATAATCCTCTGGAATATTAAAAAGAAATTCCCCATCACGGCGGTTCCACGTAAATTCTGGAAATACGCCCTAAGGTGAAGTGAAACACGTCGAGGAACTTGATCGACGTCGATAAAGGAGATTTTTCTAAATGCCTACGTTGCCGACGTTGGTTTTTATATTGACTGCTGGGTCGAATTGTATTGGGTATTGTACCAAATGGCATATTCCACCTGTCGTTTTCGTACAATAATTATAAAGAAATCGAAGTAAAACTCCAGAAATCCTCTGGATTCAAGCTTTCTGCGGCCCCAATTGACTGCAGAGGGACACCCTGCGCCATCTGTGATTTTCAGGTCAATTAAATTTTCACTCCGAGACCTCGTATTAACATCGTTTTAGCAAAGAAGCGCATACAACACTTTTCTTGCCTTTATCCCGTTCAAATGCGAGTTTATCGATTACCAGAGTGTTCTAAATTCTCGTAAAATTGTCCCGACCCTTTCGATTCTCATATCAGAGCCTTCGATAATTGTATATCGATCGAAATATGAGAGCTCAACATCATTCATCGATCTTAAAATGAAGTGAAACATCGATGGACCCCCTGCGCCATCTGTGATTTTCAGGTCAATTAAATTTTCACTCCGAGACCTCGTATTCCCATCGTTTTAGCAAAGAACCGCATACAACACTTTTTTTGCCTTTATCCCGTTCAAATGCGAGTTTATCGATTACCAGAGTGTTCTAAATTCTCGTAAAATTGTCCTGACCCTTTCGATTCTCAAATCAGACCCTTCGATAACTGTACATCGATCGAAATATCAGAGCTCGACGCCATTTTGTTTCTGGTCTGGAGTAAAAAAATTCTTTTGAAAAATCTAAATTTTCAACACGTCAGGACAATTCTCAGACGTGTCAAAGTTTCGGACAGTTTGGTCTAATACCCTCAAAAAAAAAAGTGTTGTATCGACTGATTCGAAGGATGTTTCACTTCCCCCTAAGACCCGGAAAAAATGAAAAAGTAGAAGGAACGATCCAGGGAATTTTGCGAGGAACTAGGGAATTACCTGGGGCGAAGGGCCTCTCCTCGTCGACTGTCTGGAAAAAGGGCCAGGATGAGAAGAACGTCGCGGGTTTGCGATCGTTTCGCGTTGCTCGTTCCGAGATTACCCCATCGAGGTGACGATACTCCAGTGTGACGTCACACACGCCTACCGGTGATTTAAAGGCCGCCAACGCATCTGCCAATGCAAACGCAGTATCCAAGGTGACGCCCCACCACGACCCTTTATTAGTTATAATTTACTATAAAACGGCAAATACAGGTACGGTCGTTACTTCCACACCAGGCAGTGCGACAAATTGTGAAGACCGGCGAGTTCAGAGATGGGATCGAAAGGGTTCGCGTCGTGCCTGGTGCTGCTCCTCGTCGGGTCTTCCGGTGTTTTAGCGTTGCCTCGAGTGGTAAGTCTCTCATATCCGGTCTCAGAAGTTCTCACAAAGTCCCCCAAGTGCTCCGGGTGGAGGGCTACCTGCCACCGAGGACGAGGAAACCGAGGGATTTTTCTGCCGGGTGGAATGAAAAATTTCCCGATGAGGAAATTGAAAATTTACATTTCTAGAGGGAAAGTGAAGAGATCCCGAGACCGGAAATTCAATGGAAGAGTGACAGTGACGAATGGTCCGGGGAATTTTCAATACTTTCTCCGACACCTTGGAGTTACCTGTGAATGCATAAATTCCCGGCAGAATTTTAAGTGAAGGCTGAAATTTACGGAGTACCTTTACGTGTCCGTAGGTTGGTCAAGGAGATGGGAAGTCGAACGTGCAGGTGCATTACAACATCACTAGTGCTAAGCTGGGACTTGCACCTACAGACGACGACGGGTTCGTCGATTTCGAGTCACATGGAGCTCCAGGACTCGGCAACGACCGGAAGCCCGGATTCTGCTCCGACTGCGGTAATTATTCGGGTGCTCCGAAAGTAATTTCGTTTTTTTTTTTTTAATGAAAGACGATTTTTTTATAGCCAAGAAATATTTTAGTGAATTATATGTCGTCCATTCCGGTCCGATACCTTTTGCCAGCTTTCTGGCAGGAGCATGATTCCACGCTCATACAATGTTTGGTTTTTGCTGGCAAAAAACTGATCCAGGGGATTTTTCACCTCCTCGTTTGAAGGAAAGGTTTTACCGTCTAGAAAATTTTGGAGAGACCGGAACAAGGGACAATCGGAAGGTGCCAGATCTGGAGAATATGGTGGGGGTGGCAGGATATCCCATCCAAGCTGTAGAAGCTTTTGGCGAGTTAAGAAACTTGTATGAGGTCTCGCATTATCTTGGCGAAACGCTACACCTTTTCTATCGATCGATGCCGGTCTCTTCCGTTTAAGTGAATCGTTCAATTTGTCCAGCTGGGGACAGTACACTTCGGAATTGATCGTTGGGTTGTTCGGTAGAATCTCAAAAAAAAAAAACGATTCCTTTGAAATCCCCCCAAACGGATACCATCACCTTTTTTTGATGAATTTCGGCTTTCGAAGTTCTTTGAGCCGGTTCATCTTTTTTACTCCATGACCTCTTGCGGGTAACATTGTCGTGGACAACCCATTTCTCGTCCCCAGGGATGATGCGCTTCAAAAATGGATCATTTTCTTGACATTTGAGAAGCAAATCACGGACGTCAATGCGATGACACAAATTTCTTTCCGGAAGAACACGAGGAATCCATATGTCGAGCTTTGAGATTAAACCTAGGCGTTTCAAATGATCACGAACGCTCGAATTCGATAAATTTAATCTCTCAGCGATTTCCCGAGTTGTTATTCCCCGGTTTGCATCAATTAACGCCTTTATCGTGTTTTCATCAGCTTTAAGTAGCCTTCCAGAACGTGGGGCATCTTCGATATCAAAATTGCCGGATCGAAATTTTGCAAACCAGTTTCGACCCTGGCGTTCCGTCAATACATCTTCTCCATACACGTCGGATAATTTTTTTCTCGCTCTAACAGCATTTTCACCTTTTCGATAGTAAAAAAGTAAAACATGCCGAAAATGCCGCCTTTCACTTTCCACATTTGAAAGGGTACCACCCAAAAACCACTGCGTAGAATCAATGAAACTTTTTCCCAAGCAAGCCTTGCTAGATCAGCCGTCAAACTATATAATGATTACGCGGCTTAAGTGTGAATTTTGCCGTGAAAAAAAAATCAAACTTTTTCCCAAGCAAGCCTTGCTAGATCATCTGTCAAACTATATAATGATTACGCGGCTTAAGTGTGAATTTGGCCGTGAAAAAAAAAATCAATTCCTCTGTTAGGAAACAACGAAATTACTTTCCTAACAACCCAATATGAATCGATTAGCTCGATCCGCTTTCATATCATCTCGACACTCACATTTTCTCATTTTCATTTCCCAGTTTGCGGAGGGACCTCCCGGAAAACCAGAATCGTAGGTGGTGGAGTATCGGGATCTCGGGAATTCCCGTGGGTGGTGATCATCAGACGAGAAAACGTGTACCACTGTGCAGGAACCCTGATAACTCGCAGACACGTCGTCACGGCAGCCCACTGCCTGAAGAAGTATACCTCCACCAGGCCTCTTCCTCACCTGGAAGACTAACTTTTATCAATTTTCCAGCTCCGTGGAGGGCGACTTCATCATCGTTCCCGGGGAGACCAACCGCGCCTCGGACCGACCTGGGGTAGAGCACAAAGTGAAGACCATCTACTCTCACGAGAGGTTCAACCCCTACGACTTCAACAACGACATCGCCGTCATGGAACTGGAGACTCCTGTACAATTGAGCTCTACCGTGCAAACCCTTTGTCTACCGGACAATCGTTAGTGCCCTTAAAGAATTTTACTCCTGTCATTAATATATTGACATATATATCATATTATGATATATCATATTTATTTTATTTATTAATGTAATATTTATTTTGTTATATATATCATATTTATTATATCATGATATATATATCATAATTTTCTTACCTTCTTTAGAGTACGTCGATTACACCGGTCGCATGGCTACCGCAGTGGGATGGGGAAGAACCGAAGAAGATGGAATATTGTCCAGCCAATTGTTGAAGGTAGACGTTCCCATTCTGTCCCAGGAGGAGTGCGATCGGTCAGGATATGCCGAGCACCGAGTGACGGAGAACATGTTTTGTGCCGGATATCTGGATGGAGGAAGAGACGCATGTAGAGTAAGGATTTACAACTAAGTACTAGGAGTGATTATTAATTATGTAATGGGTTTCGTACTAATTTTGGGTTTTTTCAGGGCGACAGCGGGGGACCTCTTCAAGTTCTTGGACCCAATGGGCATTACGAGTTCGCAGGTGTGTTCCGTTGAAATTATTATTAAATAGGTTTTTTCGAGAGTTTTTACCTTCTTGGAGGGGTATTAATTTTGGATTTTTCTCGCAGGAATTATTTCCTGGGGTCGAGGATGTGCCCGACCTCGTTTTCCTGGAGTCTACGCGAAGATGACGAATTATTTGGGATGGCTGAAGGATCGTCTTCAAGGAGAATGCGTCTGTCATCCCGTTCCGTAAATTATCCGACCGGCCGCCATTTTGGATTTTTACCCTGGAACAGCCTGGCGATGCGTTGCTCTCGATAATTCGATTACACCCAAAAAGCAAGAATCTAGTCCAATGTATATAATGTTTACCTCTGTGAGGTAGTGTGAGATGTTATGTTTCTATTTTTACGTGGCTCTTTAATAAAGATGAATTTACTTCGACGCAACGCCCTGGATTTTTAAATCATTTCCGCCATTTATTCTCATTGTAGGAGAGAAAATCTGGTTTCAATTGGAATTCCTCGATAATGGGATAACAAACTCGAAGATAATGAATCGTAACATTCTAAACAATTGAATTTTATAGACACTGAAGGAAAATTCAATCGCTTAAAAATTATCCTCAAAATGGCGTCGGTTTCTTCCTGGCTATGGGAATTCATGGACTTTCGAAGACGCACTGGGAAAGAGTATTTCGACATGGATTTAGAAAAAGGAGCTGATAAACTGTTTAATGAGATGCTTCGACAATAATGGAAACGAGGTCGTCCGTAGCGTTTTGCTTTCAACGATGAATGTGGGTTAGTGAAACCACCGGGTCGTTACGGATAAAGCACGACTCCTGGTTGTGTTTCCAGATAACGCAAGAGCGAGGCAAAGATATGAAAAAGTGCCCATAAGATGCTTCCAACTTATCTTCAATTATCCGACAAATATTTATATACAAACTTTGCAAACAATTCAAACATCCAACTACTCCCATAATTCCGAAATGTATCACGATCACCGGAGAATTAATAATAAAAATCGAACTTTCGAGGAACTCCGCTCAGAAAAAACAAAATGGCGAACCTCGTCCTCGCTCTTTCATCGTCAAAAAAAGGATCACTATGGTTTTCACGATACACCCCCGTTGTTATAAAAATTCCCCATGATGAGGCACAATTAGATTGAATGACTGGACAAGAAAGAGAGGGAATAACAAATAAAATTAGAATTATCCTCTGGATATTTGCTCGCCGAAAGATGGTGCGAGTCCATTGATGAATTCGGATCTCCGGAGTGTTTCAGAAGCCATGCAAATATCGGTGAAATATTGGAGTGTTATTGCGTGAAAATGTAATGCTCGAGCAAGTAGGCTTATTGACAACTGCCAATTGTGCGAAGAAAAACTGCTTACGAGTCGTCAGATGTTTTAGGCAATCGCCAAATAATTATCTGCCGTTATCAATTAACCTGGGTCGTTAAACATTGCATCAATTCACCCGAGACCACATGTTCCACCTCGAAGGACCTGTACGAATTAAATAAATATGCGTAATTTGTGGACAATCGCCTCCCCCGTTCCTTTGTTGCTAAACTTAAGTATAAAAAGCGGATATCAACGAATTCTTTTCACTCTCGTTTCTCCCCGACACCAGAGGATCATCAGACATCATGTACTCGTTACAAATTTGTACAATCGCGATACTACTCGTAAGTGTCTACGCATATGTACCTTACGGCACTTGGAACAACAACAGAGAACAATCGTGCACGAATTGCGGTAAGTAAACATCGGATAACATAATTTCCAGATCCGGGGAATTAATTTTACCGTAAAAAATGATAAGAGGTACTCTTATAAATAATTTTTTTCTTATCAGTATGCGGAGCTCCAGTGAGGAACCGAAGAGTAATAAACGGAAAGCCAGCCAATCGTATCGATTACCCATGGGTGGTCATCCTCAGGAAAAATGGATACTACAAGTGCACCGGAAGCTTGCTGACACCTAGACATGTTATCACAGCTGCTCACTGCTTGGTGGAGTACGCGATAAGTCCACTTAATAAAACAAATCTGCCTCCGAAGAGAATTTCATGGCAACCGGAACTCCACCTTGGATTTATTTTTTCTTCATTTCAGCTCCTATGCCCAGCAATTCCAAGTTGCAGCAGGACGTTACAACGTACCTGGGTACGATGCCAGCGAGAAACAGTACAGAGTGAGAGCACTCCATGTACACGAGTACTATAATTCCAAGAATTTCGATAATGATATCGGTATCATGGAACTGGAGTCTCCAGTACAGCTGAACGACGACATGCAATTGATTTGTCTGCCTGGAGAGAGTGAGTTTTCCTTCTTAAGGTGAAGTGAAACACGTCTTGCTTGATCGACGTCGATAAAGAAGATTTTTTTAAGTGCCTACGTTGCCGACGTTGGTTTTTATATCGACAGCTGGGTCGAATTATATTGGGTATTGTACCAAATGGCATACTCCACCTGTCGTTTTCCTACAATAATTATAAAGAAATCCAAGTAAAACTCCAGAAATCCTCTGGATTCGTGCTTTCTGGGGCTCTAATTCACTGCGGAGGGACCCCCTGCGCCATCTGTGATTTCCAGGGCAATTAAATCTTCACTCCGAGACCTCGTATTACCATCGTTTTGGCATAGAAGCGTATTCAACACTTTTTTTGCCTTTATCACGTTCAATTGCGAGTTTATCGATTACTAGAGTGTTCTAAATTGTCGTAAAATTGTCCTGACCCTTTCGATTCTCATATCAGAGCCTTCCATAATTGTATATCGATCGAAATATGAGAGCTCAACGCCATTTTGGTCCTGGTCTGGGTTGAGTCAAAAAATCCAAATTTTAAATGTGTCAGGACAAATCTTAGATGATCAGGAGTGATGTGTCAAAGTTTCGGACGGTTTGGTCTAATACCCTTAAAAAAAAGTGTTGTATTCGAATCGACTGATTTACAACACTTTTTTTTAAGGGTATTAGACCAAACTGTCCGAAACTTTGACACATCTAAGAATTGTCCTGACACATTCAAAATTTGGATTTTTCAACAAAATTTTTTAACTCACTCCAAACCAGAACCAAAATGGCGTCGAGCTCTTATTTCGATCAATATCCAATTATCGAAGGCTCTGATATGAGAATCGAAAGGGTCAGGACAATTTTACGACAATTTAGAACCCTCTGGAAATCGATAAACTCGCATTTGAACGGGATAAAGGCAAAAAAAGTGTTGTATGCGTTTCTATGCTAAAAGGATGGTAATACGAGTTCTTGGAGTGAAAATTTAATTGCCCTGGAAATCACAGATGGCGCAGGGGGTCCCTCTGCAGTCAATTAGGGCCCCAGAAAGCACGAATCCAGAGGATTTCTGGAGTTTTACTTCGGTTTCTTTATAATTATTGTAGGAAAACGACAGGTGGAGTACGCCATTTGGTACAATACCCAAAATAATTCGACCCAGCTGTCGATATAAAAACCAACGTCGGCAACGTATGCATTTAGAAAAATCTTCTTTATCGACGTCGATCAAGTTCCTCGACGTGTTTCACTTCACCTTAATTAGTGTATTTCACGTCTCACCTGTTACCGATTCCATGTTTACCTTCCCATAGGCCACGTGGACTACTCAGGATTGGTCGGCACGGTGGTCGGATGGGGTAGAACCGACAAGAATTCCGGAAACGTCTTCAACACTTTGCATACCGGTGATGTTCCCATCTTATCAACGGCTCAATGTTCTCGCAGTCTGTACTACCAAGGACAAGTGACGCAGAACATGATGTGCGCTGGTTACCTGCAAGGTGGACGAGATGCTTGCATCGTGAGTACTCCACTTCCTACTAAATTAGAAAAATAATTAACAAAACTCCAGCCGAGTTTTTTGCAAGAAAATTGGGTAATCAAACGTAACTTTGTCCGTTATCTTCAGGGGGATAGCGGTGCTCCTCTTCAGGTGAAGAGAGAACATGGCAGCTACGAGCTGGCGGGTGAGTTGAACTTTTAGCGTTTTCCTTCAACTTCTGCCGGATACAATATGTCTTTCACGGGTTTAAGGTGAAGGGCGACACCCTTCTAATCAGTCGATTCGAATACCACACTTTTTTTTAAGGGTATTAGACCAAACTGTCCGAAACTTTGACACATCACTCTTGATCATCTAAGAAATTTGGATTTTTCAAAAGAATTTTTTAACTCAGCCCAGACCAGAACCAAAATGGCGTCGAGCTCTCATATTTCGATCAGTATACAATTATCGAAGGCTCTGATATGAGAATCGAAAGGGTCAGAACAATTTTACGACAATTTAGAACACTTCAGTAATCGATAAACTCACATTTGAACGGGATAAAGGCAAAAAAAGTGTTGTATGCGCTTCTATGCTAAAACGATGGGAATACGAGGTCTCGGAGTGAAAATTTAATTCACCTGGAGATCACAGATGGCGCAGGGGGTCCCTCCGCATTCAATTAGGGCCTCAGAGGATTTCTGGGGTTTCACTTTGATTTCTTTATAATTATTGTACGAAAACGACAGGTGGAGTACGCCATTTGGTACAATACCCAATATAATTCCATATAGCTGTAGATATAAGAACCAACGTCGGCAACGTAGGCATTTAGAAAAATCTTCTGTATCGACGTCGATCAAGTTCCTCGACGTGTTTCACTTCACCTTAAATGTTTCCTGTAGGAGTCGTCTCCTGGGGAATCGGCTGCGCTGATCCAGGATATCCAGGAGTGTACACGAGAGTCACGAATTATTTGGACTGGATCAGAGCTCGCACAGGAAATGAATGTCCTTGCAGACCCCACTCCGACACTTCCAGTTTGCTGAACCTCTGATCACCGAATCTTCCCTACGGGGTAAATTATGTTAATTTTACCGGATACACCTCTGCGAGGTGGGATTACCTTGTACGTACAATAAATCGACCTTGGAGCAATTGCATTTAATTTCCTCAGTCCATAACCTTAATATTTATTCGGCAAACTCTGGTGATAAACGATTCCTAAAATTGCTCATCCTGGAATTAATGGGACATGTAATCGTGCTGTGAAATCGGAGTTCAATTACACGATTGCGATTGGATTAATCTCGGTGATTGAACATTTCACAATGAGACACCTGTCGCATCGAACAGACCGAGCTTCCAGATTAGTAAATTGTAATAAGAAATGGAAATAAATGTTACGTGCAATTGTGATGACGTAATTGTATCTCTTAATAAATTAATTCCCCTTCTTTCTCCATTTTTTAAATCCGGTACAATGGTATATTAAAAGTGAGGATAAATGTGCCCATAATTATGAAAGTGGTCTAAGTCATATATTTTATGTTTCGAAATTACATTGAATTAATTTCATTTTAAATAATGTGTCGTGAAATAACTGATAAACTCATTTTTTTTTTATTTTGACAGACCACTTTCATAATTATGGGCACAAATGTCACATGAAAATAAATCCGAGAAAATGTCACATTTCGTCGCCGAGCTAAAAGTCTACCATAACTCAAAGTAATTATCATTCAAATAGAGGCGAGGGATTTTTAACTCCGATATAGACAGTAAAAAAAGACGAGAAGATGCAACGAGTTAGTCGGCATTCAATGACAAGTCAAACCGGTCGAATTTTTGATTTACCTTTTTGAAGAACGGTGAAATCAATGCGACCAGGTTGTGCGCATCTTCCCAGCGCATAACAACCAAAAAAAAAGAACAAGGCCGTTTTGGATATTTTTCAAGCGACATTTTTCGGGTACATCCAGTATGTCTCCGGATTCACAACTTAGTCCAAAGGGAGAGAGAAATTCCCCGCTTATGTTGAGCCACATAAATCGGACTTTACTAACCCTTATTATAATTAATATCTATGCGAATATGATGCTACAAGATGGCGAGAGACTGGAGAACGCGATCCAAAATGGCGGAAGCTCCACCTGCGACTCCTGCGGTAAGTAGGAAGAATTTCAATTGATATACATTCGGACAGATCGTTTTTCACAATATTATTCCCTTAGCGCATAAACCGCAAATCAGACACAAGAGAATGGTAAATGGAAAGCCGGTACAAAATGGCGAATTCCCTTGGATAGTTGCGATAATGAAGAACATGCAGTACCGGTGTACAGGGAGTCTGATAACGCCGAGACACGTTATCACGGCTGGGCATTGTTTAATAAGGTAAAGTAGTATATGAAATAGGACAAAAGTGCCATTAATAGTTGGTACACATTTTTAGGGCATCCCCGGAAGACTTCGTCGTGATTCCGGGTCGATTTCGATTGGCTGGTTACGAGGAATCGGAAACCGTCGAAGAATATCGAGTGAAGTCTCTCCACGTCCACGAAAACTTCGACACAACCAAATTTGACAATGATATTGGCCTAATCGAACTAGAGACGCCTGTAGACATGAACGTGAAAAAACGGTTGATTTGTTTGCCCGTTGACAGTGAGTATAAAATTGGAAATATTTCATCTCTAAAAATGTAGAGAACAATTCCTAATTAGAAGGGAATTAAGGTGAAGTGAAACACGTTGAGGAACTTGATCGACGTCGATAAAGAAGATTTTTCTAAATGCCTACGTTGCCGACGTTGGTTTTTATATTGACAGCCGGGTCGAATTATATTGTGTATTGTATCAAATGGCATACTCCACCTGTCGTTTTCGTACAATAATTATAAAGAAATCCAAGTAAAACTCCAGATATCCTCTGGATTCGTGCCTTCTGGGGTCCTAATTGACTGCAGAGGGACCCCTGCGCCATCTGTGATTTCCAGGACAATTAAATTTTCACTCCGAGACCTCGTATTACCATCGTTTTAGCAAATAAGCGCGTACAACACTTTTTTTGCCCTTATCCCGTTCAAATGCGAGTTTATCGATTACCAGAGTATTCTAAATTGTCGTAAAATTGTCCTGACCCTTTCGATTCTCACATCAGAGCCTTCTATAATTGTATATCGATCGAAATATGAGAGCTCAACATCATTCATCGATCTTAAGGTGAAGTAAAACATCGATGGACCCCCTGCGCCATCTGTGATTTCCAGGACAATTAAATTTTCACTCCGAGACCTCGTATTCCCATCGTTTTAGCATAGAAGCGTATACAACACTTTTTTTGCCTTTATCCCGTTCAAACGCGAGTTTATCGATTACCAGAGTGTTCTAAATTGTCGTAAAATTGTCCTGACCCTTTCGATTCTCATATCGAGGCCTTCGATAATTGTATATCGATCGAAATATCAGAGCTCGACGCCATTTTGGTTCTGGTCTCAGCTGAGTTAAAATATTTGTTTAAAAAATCCAAATTTTGAATGTGTCAGGACAATTCATTTGGTCTAATACCCTTAAAAAAAGCGTTGTATTCGAATCGACTGATTTGAAGGGGGTTTCACTTCACCTTAAGTTACTAAAGAGTTACTAAAGAGTTTGCGCAACGGGTACCAGAGTACGTAAACTATAGTGGAATGGTTGGAACTGCCGTTGGTTGGGGAAAAGCGAGCATATCTAACCCCTCGTTACCGGTGATCGCCCTCAAAGTTAGTCTCTTGATTTTGACAAACGAGGAGTGTGCACGGAGTTGTCACGAGAGGATGCAAATTACGGAAAACATGTTCTGTGCTGGATACCTGGACGGTGGGAAAGATGCCTGCGATGTAAGCGAAGACACTGATGCCTTATATTGAGAATGTAAAGTCTAATTACCGAGTATGAATTGTTCTTTCATTTATTCCCAGGGAGATAGCGGTGGACCGCTTCAAGTAACGCGGGACTATGATAGCTATGAACTAGCAGGTGAGTAGAGGTAAAAAAATCTCGCCAATCAAGGTAAAAAGGTCTTTCGTCCCGTGATGTAGGTATCGTCTCATGGGGAGTCGGTTGTGGACTGAAGGGATATCCAGGAGTTTACACGAAAGTCATCAACTATCTACAATGGGTGAAGAACATCCTAAACGAAGAATTCCTCTGTCAACCCAACGACCTGTCGCAAATGTCTGAAAACCTCCCTTGACATGTACAATCTGGTCCCCTTGACAAATTCTTTAGTATAGTTTACCTAATTTCTTGCAAATAAATCCTCCCTAGGGAGCGACTTTTCTCGAGAAGAGCGTAAAAGAAAACGATTTGCACGAAAGTCATCAACTATCTACAATGGGTGAAGAACCTCCTAAATGAAGAATTCTTCTGTCAACCCAACGACCTTGCGCAAATGTCTGAAAACCTCCCTTGACATGTACAATCTGGTCCCCTTGACAAATTCTTTAGTATAGTTTACCTAATTTCTTGCAAATAAATCCTCGCTAGAAAGTGACTTTTCTCGAGAAGAGCGTAAAAGAAAACGATTTGCACGAAAGTCATCAACTATCTACAATGGGTGAAGGACCTCCTAAACGAAGAATTCTTCTGTCAACCCAATGACCTGTCGCAAATGTCTGAAAACCTCCCTTGACATGTACAATCTGGTCCCCTTGACAAATTCTTTAGTATAGTTTACCTAATTTCTTGCAAATAAATCCTCCCTAGGGAGCGACTTTTCTCGAGAAGAGCGTAAAAGAAAACGATTTACACGAAAGTCATCAACTATCTACTATGGGTGAAGAACATCCTAAACGAAGAATTCTTCTGTCAACCCAACGACCCGTCGCAAATGTCTGAAAACCTCCCTTGACATGTACAATCTGGTCCCCTCGACAAATTCTACACGAGACAGGAAATATAAGATTTTCGCCCGAGTTTACCTAATTTCTTGCAAATAAATCCTCGCTAGAAAGTGACTTTTCTCAAGAAGAGCGCAAAAGAAAACGAAGACCCTGCGCGGCGTCCTTCGCCTGTAATATTCAATGGAGACCATTTACTTTAAAAAGCCGACGACCAATCCCGACTTCCCCGGACATCCGAATCGAGTCTGGGAACGACAGTGCTCCCCAATGAATACCGAGCCTTGATGTACATTGGAGGACATGAATGCCTCCCCTGCAGACACGACATCGCCTGTGCAGGTTGGGAGGGCATCGATGTCTCCCAGTGTACACTCTGAATCCACCGGGGAAAGAACTTTCTTTCCGAGCTCGAACTGCGTGCTAGGCACACCGGATTCAGTGCCGTGGACGCGCCTTTATGGAGCCGGTGAAAGCCGCAATCGCGATATCGTCCAGCATCTTCGATTTCAAATTCGCCATTAAAACCGGCCCATAAGTAGATAAAGAACCCAGGATAATTCCAAGATAATGCGGCATTGTCGAGGTGGACGAGTCGCCAAGTGTTCATCGTTGGACCGCGGCTAGATCGGATTTCGTTTATATTCTTGGACCCCCCCTGAAGAAGGTGCGATGTTCTCCTCGGAGAGGTGTCCCATGACAGTGATTATCCTGGTGACCTTATTCGTCGGCGGCAAATCTCTTCTCGTGGGTGTCGATCAGCTGGACCATCGAGATTCCACGGTGAGTACTCCGATGACGTCCGCAGAAATCTCTGGAGAAAGTGTCGCACTTAGAGAGTTCGGTGCTGGATTTGGAGAACACAAGGGGTCCAATGAGTGGACTAAATGCGAGGTCTTAAGGTGAAGTGAAACATCTTTCAAATCAGTCGATTCGAATACAACACTTTTTTTTCAGGGTATTAGACCAAACTGTCCGAAACTTTGACACATCTAAGAATTGTCCTGACACATTGAAAATTTGGATTTTTCAACCAAATTTTTTAACTCAGTCAGACCAGAACCAAAATGGCGTCGAGCTCTTATTTCGATCAATATACAATTATCGAAGGCCCTGATATGAGAATCGAAAGGGTCAGGACAATTTTACGACAATTTAGAACACTCTGGTAAGCGATAAACTCGCATTTGAACGGGATAAAGGCAAAAAAAGTGTTGTATGCGCTTCTTCGCTAAAACGATGGTAATACGAGGTCTCTGAGTGAAAATTTAATTGACCTGGAAATCACAGATGGCGCAGGGGGTCCCTCTGCAGTCAATTAGGGCCCCAGAAGGCACGAATCCAGAGGATTTCTGGAGTTTTACTTGGATTTCTTTATAATTATTGTAGGAAAACGACAGGTGGAGTATGCCATTTGGTACAATACGCAATATAATTCGACCAAGCTGTCAATATAAAAACCAACGTCGGCAACGTAGGCATTTAGAAAAATCTCCTTTATCGACGTTGATCAAGTTCCTCGACGTGTTTCACTTCACCTTAATTACCTGTATAATACACGTAGTTCTCGAGGAGGACACGAAAGCGTTTTCCATATCCCCAGGAATTCCCGTATACGTCTCTCCTCTCTCCAGGATAAATCACTTTTCCTTAGGCCTTTACTGGTGCCTTTCGAACTCTGCAGCCTCCGGCAGTCTGTCCTAGATAAATCCAGCGATCCTCTGAAAAGCAACGCCATTTGTCATCATTACTCGATCACTGGTCAATTGAATTGATACTCATTGGTCACTTATCTTACTTTCTGTGCGGAAGTGCACTTGAATTTGACGAGGCAGGCCTTGACCCATAATTCCGGACAACTCTCTCGACGACGTCGTAAAGAGGCGTGTGTATTTACTCGAGAAAGTGAGCGTACACCTTCTCAGCACTGTTTTCTTCCAGGAGTCTGCGAGCAATCGAACCGGCAGGTTCCTCTTCGACGAGATCTTCGGTATAGACGTAACTGGTCCATCCGAGGCCGACGACGAGAGGCTCAGGAATTGTTCTTGCGGTGAGAATATCAAATAACATTTTTAAGTACCTAAGAATATCATATAAATCATGCAGAATTGAAAAATACCCTCAAGCGACAATTATTTCTTAAAATAATTAAGGTGAAGTGAAACCCCCTTCAAATTAGTTGATTCGAATACAACACTTTTTTTTAAGGGTATTAGACCAAACTGTCCAAAACTTTGACACATCTAAGAATTGTCCTGACACATTCAAAATTTGGATTTTTGGAAAAAATTGTTTAACTGTAATCAAATTAGTCGATTCGAATACCACACTTTTTTTTAAGGGTATTAGACCAAACTGTCCGAAACTTTGACGCATCACTCCTGGTCATCTGAGAATTGTCCTGACACATTCAAAATTCGGATTTTTAAATAAAGTTTTTTAACAGCCCAGACCAGAACCAAAATGGCGTCGAGCTCTCATATTTCGATCGATATACAATTATTAAAGGCTCTGATATGAGAATCGAAAGGGTCAGGACAATTTTACGACAATTTAGAACACTCTGGTAATCGATAAACTCGCAATTGAACGTGATAAAGGCAAAAAAAGTGTTGTATACGCTTCTATGCCAAAACGATGGTAATGCGAAGTCTCGGAGTGAAAATTTAATTCACCTGGAAATCACAGATGGCGCAGGGTGTCCCTCTGCAGTCAATTAGGGCCCCAGAAAGCTTGAATCCAGAGGATTTCTGGAGTTTTACTTCTATTTCTTGATATTTATTATACGAAAACGACAGGGGGAGTACACCATTTGGTACAATACCCAATATAATTCGATATAGCTGTCAATATAAAAACCAACATCGGCAACGTAGGCATTTAGAAAAATCTTCTTTATCGACGTTCGACGTGTTTCACTTCACCTTAACGAATCGAAGGATTTTTCTCTTACGCTCCAGTAGAGAAGTCGAAATTCTCACGCCTTGTAAATCTGTCCAGAATGTGGAGTGACGAACCAGGAGATCCGCATCGTCGGGGGGAAGCCAACGACTCCTCACAGATATCCATGGATAGCACGTCTGGTGTACGATGGAAAGTTCCACTGTGGAGCCAGTCTTGTCACCAACGACTACGTGTTGACAGCAGCGCATTGTTTAAGAAGGTGTGCCACAATTTCCTGGTCCTAAAAAGACAATCTCTAGACGCGTGAAAGTTAAAAAACGACCTGCGGCATTTTTTCCCCCCTTTCGTCAGGTTGAAGAGGTCGAAGATCCGCGTCGTCCTCGGAGACCACGATCAGTACGTGAACACGGAGGCTGTAGCGGTAATGAGAGCAGTAAGTACGATCATTCGCCACAGGAACTTCGACATGAACTCCTATAACCACGACGTGGCCCTTCTGAAGCTGAGGAGACCCGTGAAGTTCTCCAAGACGATCAAGCCGGTGTGTCTACCGCAGTCGGGTGAGTGCTCTTCGGGTCCCAGGTCGACTCCTCGCAAGGACGTCTTCCTAGAGAAATCCCTTTGTCCTCGTAGAAGCTGATCCTGCCGGCAAAGAAGGGACCGTCGTGGGCTGGGGAAGGACAAAAGAAGGCGGCATGCTTCCTGGCGAGGTTCAAGAAGTCCAGGTTCCTATTTTGAGTCTTCAACAGTGCAAGCAGATGAAGTACCGTGCCAATAGGATAACCGGGAACATGATCTGCGCCGGAAGGGGGAAACAGGACTCTTGCCAGGGGGACAGTGGAGGTCCTCTTCTCGTCCACGAGGGAGATAAACTGGAGATCGCTGGTAATTTTTTACCGTATCTTGGCATCTTCTTCCCTGGATAGGAATAAGTACAGAGTAAGGTGAAGTGACACACGTCGAGGAACTTGATCGACGTCGATAAAGAGGATTTTTCTAAATGCCTACGTTGCCGACGTTGGTTTTTATATCGACAGCTGGGTTGAATTATATTGGATATTGTATCAAATGGCGTACTCCACCTGTCGTTTTCCTACAATAATTATAAAGAAATCCAAGTAAAACTCCAGAAGCGCATACAACACTCTTTTTGCCTTTATCCCGTTCAAATGCGAGTTTACCAATTACCAGAGTGTTCTAAATTGTTGTAAAATGGTCCCGACCCTTTCGATTCTCATATCAGAGCCTTCGATAATTGTATATCGATCGAAATATGAGAGCTTAACATTATTCATCGATCTTAATGTGAAGTGAAACATCGATGGACCCCCTGCGCCATCTGTTATTTCCAGGGCAATTAAATTTTCACTCCGAGACTTCGCTTTACCATCGTTTTAGCATAGAAGCGCATACAACTTTTTTTGCCTTTATCCCGTTCAAATGCGAGGTTACCAATTACCAGAGTGTTCTAAATTGTCGTAAAATTGTCCTGACCCTTTCGATTCTCATATCAGAGCCTTCGATAATTGTATATCGATCGAAATATCAGAGCTCGCCGCCATTTTGGTTCTGGTGTGGGCTGAGTAAAAAAATGTTAAAAAATCCAAATTTTCAATGTGTCAGGACAATTCTTAGATGATCAGGAGTGACGTGTCAAAGTTTCGGACAGTTTGGTCTAATACCCTTAAAAAAAGTGTTGTATTCGAATCGACTGATTTGAAGGACGTTTCACTTCACCTTAAAAATCCCAGAAAGAAGAATCATCCTGCACAATGTTATCTCACCTTTCGCCGAGGCAGATAATATTTTATCTCATCTGGGCATATTTTCCAGGAATCGTGTCATGGGGCTACGGGTGCGGCCGGCCAGGATACCCTGGGGTTTACACGAGAGTCGCAAAATATCTAAACTGGATCCGCATCAACATGAAGGAGTCTTGTCTCTGCGAGAAATGAAAGATTCTTAATTTATCTTTCAAACGTTTCCTTATCTATATAAACATTAAATGACCCAACGCGATGCACACTCCGTGCCCCGGCATGTGATATTTTTGCAAACCTTGTATGTACATATAGTTACCTAAATTGTTGTATAAAAAATACACATATAGTTATCTAAATTGTTAAAAAATACACAAATAGTTTTCTAAATTGTTATATAAAAAATACACAAATAGTTTTCTAAATTGTTGTATAAAAAATACACATATAGTTATCTAAATTGTTATATAAAAAATACACAAATAGTTATCTAAATTGTTATATAAAAAATACACATATAGTCATCTAAATTGTTATATCAAAAATATACATATAGTTATCTAAATTGTTATATAAAAAATACACATATAGTTATCTAAATTGTTAATCATTACATATTCCGAGTTTCCCCCTTTCCAAAAATCCTTTACGGCAAATACTGAACTTAGACAAACCGTTTTCTCGGAGGGGGGTCATTGAAACGTTATTCTTCGACAAAAGCGAGCCTTGGCGACGAGCTGCTCGTCGAGGGACGCCTCTGGAATAATACGCACCTTCCTGTAACGGTTTACCGCAATTCGGATCGGAGAACTGTCGCATGGTGTACCACTTCTGAGCGAAGGTGTACGGAACGAAAGTGCACCTTTTCGTCCCGCTAAATTATCCATTAGTCCGTTCATGGCCTCCATATCGTTTCATCTCCGAATTCCAGGATAACCGTTAACAGGGGAAATTCCTTAGATTAACGATCGTTGAGACGGATTACGCTTAGGGAAGCCGGTACGACAAGTACCGATGTCACTGTTCATAAAATGAGTAATCGCCACGATAAGATATAAAGCCACATTCGGTCTAATTTCATGCGCGCAAATCCAACATGGCGGCGTGAGAAGCGGCTTAAGGTGAAATGAAACACCCTTCAAATCAGTCGATTTGAATACATTTTTTTTAAGGGTATTAGACCAAACTGTCCGAAACTTTGATACATCTAAGAATTGTTTCGACACATTGAAAATTTGGATTTTTCAAAAGCATTTTTTAACTCAGTCTAGACCAGAACCAAAATGGCGTCGAGCTCTGATATTTCGATCAATATACAATTATCGAAGGCTCTAATATGAGAATCGAAAGGGTCAGGAGAATTTTACGACAATTTAGAACACTCTGGTAATCGATAAACTCGCATTTGAACGGGATAAAGGCAAAAAAAGTGTTGTATGCGCTTCTATGCCAAAACGATGGTAATACGAGGTCTCGGAGTGAAAATTTAATTGACCTGTAAATCACAGATGGCGCAGGGGGTCCATCGATGTTTCACTTCACTTTAAGATCGATGAATGATGTTGCGCTCTCATATTTCGATCGATATACAATTATCGAAGGCTCCGATATGAGAATCGAAAGGGTCAGGACAATTTTACGACAATTTAGAACACTCTGGTAATCGATAAACTCGCATTTGAACGGTATAAAGGCAAAAAAAAGCATTGTATGCGCTTGTATACCAAAACGATGGTAATACGAGGTCTCGGAGTGAAAATTTAATTGACCTGTAAATCACAGATGGCGCAAGAGGTCCCTCCGCAGTCAATTAGGGCCCCAGAAAGCACAAATCCAGAGGATTTCTGGAGTTTTCCTTCTCTTTCCTTATAACTATTGTACGAAAACGACAGGTGGAGTACGCCATTTGGTACAATACCCAATATAATTCCACCCAGCTGTCAATATAAAAACCAACGTCGGCAACGTAGGCATTTAGAAAGATCTTCTTTATCGACGTCGATCAAGTTCCTCGACGTGTTTCACTTCACCTTAAAACTCGCTCCCCAGGACGGGGGGCTCGTCGGCACGCGTCATAAAATTTGCATAATGCACCTTGATCATTTTCGAGGTGTGTTCAGGTATCCGTCCGCGCAACGGGGTCTCAGGAAACCCATTCGAAGTGAAAACACGTCGGGTTTGCGCAGTGTCCATGGCCTTGCGGTCAGTGACAGAGGATCGGGCGCGTCCGTGATCGTGAACCGGTCAAGCCCTGTCCACCGACCATTCGCTGAAGACCCGTTGACCAGTCTGATGGTGCTCTGCTTCCCTGCCTGAATAGAGATGTCGAAGACCTCCTGACGGCGCCCGTCGTGGCCGACCCTCTGCAACGACCTCCGACGTCTTCTTCGACCTGGTTCGCTCCTCGAGGAGAGATCCGCCATGGGGTCCACGGTCTTCTGGTCCCTGCTCGTCCTCCTCGCCCTGCAGACCAAGGGGAGTCCGATTACAAACGTGAGTTACGTTCAATAGAAATTATTTAATCAGGAGACCCGGAGTTTCACGCTTTTAAACCTTCTAGATACTAATTTAAGGTTAGACTACATTTTGCGGCAAATGCTGGGTGCATCTTTTTTTAGACCCGTCCCATCTGTAAAATGACACTTAAGGTGAAGTGAAACATCTTTCAAATCTGTCGATTCGAATATAACACTTCTTTTTAAAGGTATTAGACCAAACTGTCCGAAACTTTGATACATCTAAGAAATGTCCTGACACATTCAAAATTTGGATTTTTCAAAGGAATTTTTTAACTCAGTCCAGACCAGAAACAAAATGGCGTCGAGCTCTCATATTTCGATCGATATACCATTATCGAAGGCTTCGATATGAGAATCGAAAGGGTCAGGACAATTTTACGACAATTTATTAAGGTGAAGTGACACATCCTTCAAATCAGTCGATTCGAATACAACACTTCTTTTTAAGGGTATTAGACCTAACTGTCCGAAACTTTGACACGTCACTCCTGATCGTCTAAGAATTGTCCTGACACATTCAAAATTTGGATTTTTCAAAAGAATTTTTTAACTCAGTCCAGACCAGTACCAAAATGGCGTCGAGCTCTCATATTTCGATCAATATACAATTATCGAAGGCTCTGATATGAGAATCGAAAGGGTCAGGACAATTTTACGACAATTTATTAAGGTGAAGTGAAACATCGTTCAAATCAGTCGATTCGAATATAACACTTCTTTTTAAGGGTATTAGACCTAACTGTCCGAAACTTTGACACGTCACTCCTGATCGTCTAAAAATTGTCCTGACGCATTCAAAATTTTGATTTTTTAACAAAATTTTTTAACAGACCAGACAAGAACCAAAATGGCGTCGAGCTCTGATATTTCGATCGATATACAATTATCGAAGGCTCTGATATGTGCCCATGATTATGAAAGTGGTCTCAGTCATATATTTTTTTGTTTCGAAATTACATTGAATTAATTTCGTTTGAAATAATATGGCGTGAAATAACTGATAAACTCATTTTTTTTTTTAATATTGACTTAGACCACTTTCATAATTATGGGCATATATGAGAATCGAAAGGGTCAGGACAATTTTACGACAATTTAGAACACTCTGAGAATCGATAAACTCGCATTTGAACGGGATGAAGGCAAAAAAAGTGTTGTATGCGCTTCTTTGCTAAAACGATGGGAATACGAGGTCTCGGAGTGAACTTTTAATTGACTTGGAAATGATAGATGGCGCAGGGGGTCCCTCCGCAGTCAATTAGGGCCCCAGAAAGCATGAATCCAGAGGATTTCTGGAGTTTTACTTCGATTTCTTTATAATTGTACGAAAACGACAGGCGGAATATGCCAGTTGGTACAATACACAATATAATTCGACCCAGCTGTCGATGTAAAAACCAACGTAGGCATTTAGAAAGATCTTCTCTATCGACGTCGATCAAGTTCCTCGACGTGTTTCACTTCACCTTAACGAGATAAATGTCTCGTGACATTGAGAAACCTCAACTTTTCTCACTTTTCAGGAAACCTCCACCGCGGGGAAGGGAAAGAACTTCTTCGGACTGTTCGGAAATAAACCGCCGACTTGGAAGTACCCTCCTGGGCCTTGTTACTGCAGTTAGTGAAAAAATGAACACGAGCCTCTGGCTATTTTCCAATATAATCCAATATAAGCCGCTAACCGAGGTCCTTATATTTTTTTCAAACAGCTTGCGGTGTACGAAACGAGGAGAGTAGAATCGTGGGTGGTCAGACAACGGCGCCAAACGAATTCCCCTGGATCGTCAGGCTGTCCTATTTAAATAAATTCTACTGTGCAGGAACATTGATCAACGATCGATACGTCCTGTCCGCGGCGCATTGTGTCAAAGGGTGAGATCAATTTTAATTAGACATATGTGCTCATAATTATGAAAGTGGTCTACGTCATGTATTTTTTGTTTCGAAATTACATTGAATTAATTTCGTTTGAAATAATATGGCGTGAAATGACTGATAAACTCATTTTTTTTCAATTTTGATTTAGACCACTTTCATAATTATGGGCACATATGAGCCCATAATTATGAAAGTGGTCTAAGTCATATATTTTTTGTTTCGAAATTACATTGAATTAATTTCGTTTGAAATAATATGGCGTGAAATAACTGATAAACTCATTTTTTTTTCAATTTTCACTTAGACCAGTTTCATAATTATGGGCACACATCACCTGGTAAAACCTAGCGGAACGTAATCACGTTTTACAGTTTGTTCCTCAGGTTCATGTGGTTCATGATAAAGGTGACTTTCGGGGAGCACGACAGGTGCAGCGAGAGAAACCCTGAGACCAGATTCGTGACCCGGGCGATCACCGGAGAGTTCAGTTTCCTAAATTTCGACAACGACATCGCCATTCTGCGGCTCAACGAAAGGGTTCCCCTCGGCGACCACATTCGCCCGATTTGTCTGCCAACCATTCAAGGTGATACTCTAAAAACAACATTTTCCTATGAAATTCACCCAAAATTTCATATTCATAACAAATGTCCATTAATCAAGACTAATAAAACTCGAAACACAAATGTTGCATGATATAAAAATATTTAATTTACTCAAATGCAACTCATTAAATATCTCGAAACAAGAAATATATGACTTAGACCACTTTCATAATTATGGGCACATATAAGAAATATTTCCATGCCCGTATACTCGTTAATTTCTGTCAGTTTGGACCTCGTAGGCGACGATAAGTCCTTTAACCAGGCTATCTCTCCGGGGAATTTGCATAACGTCGAACAGGGATCAAGACTGAGGACGATGACATCGATTTCCGCGTTTGTCGGCATGTCTGGACACGAGGGCCGAGTCCTTGGGAAGTGCCTCGGTCCAGCAGAAGGTCCAGGATGGGAGAAAAGATTTTTTTCTCCGCACTTTTATTCCAGTCCCCGACAATACGATTTACCGATATCGCTCGACATGTCCGACGAGCAGTTACTTAACACTTTGCCGTCCGCACGATTCGTAAATATTTATTCGCTTGGCGCCGGCAGCGCTAATTCGGATCACTTGACTTGTCGCCGGCCGTTTTTGACGTTATCGACACCACTGTGGTGTCGCCGGCCGTTGGCCAAAAGTTTGCGCACATCACCACTGTGGTGTCACCGGCCGTTGACCGCTAGTTTGCGCACGTCACCACTGTGGTGTCGCCGGACGGCATAGTGTTAACATACGGGCTGTTGCAATGTTGCAGATAACCAGTACGAAGGCACGAAGGCGATTGCTTCTGGCTGGGGCACCATGCACGAGGACGGCAAGCCTTCCTGCCTGCTCCAGGAAGTCGAGGTACCGGTGATGAGCCTGAAGGATTGCCGCAATACCAGCTACAGTCCTCGCATGATATCCGACAACATGCTCTGCGCGGGATATCCTGACGGGCAGAAGGACTCGTGTCAAGTAAAGTCTCAAATAAAAAAGAAATACAAGGCTCTTAAGGTGAAGTGAAACATCCTTCAAATCAGTCGATTGGAATACAACGCTTTTTTATAAGGGTATTAGACCAAACTGTCCGAAACTTTGACACATCGAAGAATTGTCCTGACACATTCAAAATTTGGAGTTTTTGAACAAATTTTTTAACTGTAATCAAATTAGTCGATTCGAATACAACACTTTTTTTTAAGGGTATTAGACCAAACTGTCCGAAACTTTGACACATCTAAGAATTGTCCTGACACATTCAAAATTTGGATTTTTTGAACAAATTTTTTTACTGTAATCAAATCAGTCGATTCGAATACAACGCTTTTTTTTTAAGGGTATTAGACCAAACTGTCCGATACTTTGACACATCGAAGAATTGTCCTGACACATTCAAAATTTGGATTTTTTGAAAAAATTATTTAACTGTAATCAAATTAGTCGATTCGAATACAACACTTTTTTTTAAGGGTATTAGACCAAACTGTTCGAAACTTTGACACATCGAAGAATTGTCCTGACACATTCAAAATTTGGATTTTTCAAAAGAATTTTTTAACTCAGTCCAGACCAGAACCAAAATGGCGTCGAGCTCTGATATTTCGATCAATATACAATTATCGAAGGCTCTGATATGAGAATCGAAAGGGTCAGGACAATTTTACAATTTAGAACACTCTGGTAGTCGATAAACTCGCATTTGAACGGGATAAAGGCAAAAAAAGTGTTGTATGCGCTTCTTTGCTAAAACGATGGTAATACGAGGTCTCGGAGTGAAGATTTAATTCACCTGGAAATCACAGATGGCGCAGGGGGTCCCTCCGCAGTCAATTAGGGCCCAGAAGGCACGAATCCAGAGGATTTCTGTAGTTTTACTTCTCTTTCTTTATAATTATTGTACGAAAACGACACGTGGAATATGCCATTTGGTACAATACTCAATATAATTCAACACAGCTGTCGATATAAAAACCAACGTCGGCAACGTAGGCATTTAGAAAAATCGTCTTTATCGACGTTGATCAAGTTCCTCGACGTGTTTCACTTCACCTTAAATTAATAGACCCGTTATATACGTTTTTTCATTCTTCAGGGCGACAGCGGCGGCCCTCTGGTGGCAGAGCGCGAAGACAAGAGGTACGAGCTCATCGGCGTCGTGTCCTGGGGAAATGGCTGTGCGAGGCCAGGATATCCAGGAGTCTACACGAGAGTGACCAGATACATGGACTGGATACTCTCAAACTCGATGGAAGGATGCTTCTGCGAGAACTGAGCATAATTTGAAGCTTCGAAGAAAAAAGCGTCTTCTACAGGGAATTCATCGATGTCCCTGAAGACAGAAAAAAAAGAAGAAAATCAGGAATACTCAACGTTGTAACGTTATACATAATCGCGTGAGATTAAGTCCAGGTTTAAGTTATGCAATACTCGTACTCGAATGTTAAGAAACTCGCGTGGAATACATTTATAAGCGCGATATTAAGTGATACCTTAAGTCAATCCGAATTATAAATTCAGGGATAGAACATCCATGACGCCTTCTCGAGTTTTTCGCAATTTCCCCCACCCTGGATTCCGATTTCCCGTTAATGTAATGGAAAGATCTCACCGCGACCAGTTTCGGAGATTAATATTCTTCGATTAAAAATCCGCAAGTACCGGATTTAACGTCTCCCCCGGCTCTGGATCAAATAACGGAACGCGTTATCCTTGGGTCAGCGTTTGACCGAGTTTCAGGCATCCTGGGAGCTGGTTCTTTCTTTTTCCTTTTTTCTATAAGGGGGAATGGAGGTGCGGGCCGATAGTACCGCTACGTGAGCATCCACTGGAAGATCGACGTAACCAGTGCTCTTCGGGACACCGAGAAGTCATGAATTTGTTGGAATACATCAAGTACTTGATCTGCGCCATTTTGCTGCCAGTGGCCTCTTGTCTTCCTCCGGAAAATCCGGCAAGTCCATCGAATCTTCTCCTCCCGCTACGACATAATTTTAATTCAACTCCAATTCTTATATATTTCTATTTAAAACGAAAACATTAAGGTGAAGTGAAACCCCCTTCAAATCAGTCGATTCGAATACAACACTTTTTTTAAAGGGTATTAGACCGAACTGTCCGAAACTTTGGCACATCACTCCTGATCATCTAAGAATTGTCCTGACACATTCAAAATTTGGATTTTTCAAAAAAATGTTTTAACTCAGCCAGGACCAGAACCAAAATGGCGTCGAGCTCTCATAATTCGATCAATATACAATTATCGAAGGCTCTGATATGAGAATCAAAAGGGTCAGGACAATTTTACGACCATTTAGAACACTCCGGTAATCGATAAACTCGCATTTGAACGGGATAAAGGCAAAAAAAGTGTTGTATACGCTTCTTTGCTAAAACGATGGTAATACGAGGTCTCGGAGAGAAAATTTAATTGACCTGGAAACCACAGATGGCGCAGGGGGTCCCTCCGCAGTCAATTAGGGCCCTAGAAGGCATGAATCCAGAGGATTTCTGGAGTTTTACTTCGATTTCTTTATATTTATTATACGAAAACGACAGGGGGAGTACACCATTTGGTACAATACACAATATAATTCGACCCAGCTGTCAATATAAAAACGAACGTCGGCAACGTAGGCATTTAGAAAAATCTTGTTTATCGACGTTGAGCAAGTTCCTCGACGTGTTTCACTTCACCTTAATACGTATATTTTACTCGTTGAATTCTGTAATTTCCATGAAATTCATTCGCTCCTCGTCTTGCATCTTGCAGCTGGATGCAACCTGGAGAGACGATCGAAGCGTCCTGGACTTGATATTCGGCATCTTCCGGACCTGTGGTAGCTGTCGTAAGTATGTCCACCTAGGGATCTAAGTCAAGGGACACGTAATTAATTTCGTTCTACGGATGGCATGAAAAATAGAATAATCAGTCATCTTATCCAGAATGTGGCCGATCGAACCATGGCGGTGCTCGCATGATGGGCGGCGAGTTCACCGACAGCCACGAGTTCCCATGGCTAGCAAACGTCCTGGTAAAATCGAACCTCCAGGTGAGCGCCGTCCTGATAAACGACCGCTACGTGATGACCGCAGCCAGTCAGCTGATCGGGTAAGTACCTGGAAGGCAATCAAACCGTAAACGATATATCCGGTTAAGGTGAAGTGAAACACGTCGAGTAACTTGATCAACGTCGATAACGAAGATTTTTCTAAATGCCTACGTTGTCGACGTTGGTTTTTATATTGACAGCTGGGTCGAATTATATTGGGTATTGTACCAAATGGCATACTCCGCCTGTCGTTTTCGTACAATAAATATAAAGAAATCGAAGTAAAACTCCAGAAATCCTCTGGATTCATGCTTTCTGGGGCCCTAATTGACTGCGGAGGGACCCCCTGCGCCATCTGTGATTTCCAGGTCAATTAAATTTTCACTCCGAGACCTCGTATTCCCATCGTTTTAGCATAGAAGCGTATACAACACTTTTTTTGCCTTTATCCCGTTCAAATGCGAGTTTATCGATTACCAGAGTGTTCTAAAATTGTCCTGACCCTTTCGATTATCATATCAGAGCCTTCGATAATTGTATACTGATCGAAATATGAGAGATCGACGCCATTTTGGTTCTGGTCTGGACTGAGTTAAAGAATTCTTTTGAAAAATCCAAATTTTGAATTTGTGTCAGGACAATTCTTAGATGTGTCAAAGTTTCGGACAGTTTGGTCTAATGCCCTTAAAAAAAAGTGTTGTAATCGACTGATTTGAAGGGTGTTTCACTTCACCATAACGAGACTCGGTATACCCGAGATAAAACCTGAAAAGTGTCTTCCGGATCCAGAGCCACCTCGCCGGAGATTAAAGTGTCCTTGGGGGAGTACGACCGCTGCAAATTCGACGTCTCCTCGGCTAACGTCAGCGTCGAAGCCGTCATCCTGCATCCAGAGTTCAATCCGGAATCCCGAGCTCGAGATCTGGCGCTGATCAGACTGGCCAGGCCGATCAAATTCGAGAGGAGGATCTCTCCGATTTGCCTGCCGAACCCAGGTGAGTGGCCCTGAAATAAACGGATGATTTCAAGTTTTAAGGTGAAGTGAAACACGTCCAGGAACTTGATCAACGTCGATAAAGAAAATTTTTCTAAATACCTACGTTGCCGACGTTGGTTTTTATATTGACAGCTGGGTCGAATTATATTGTGTATTGTACCAAATGGCATATTCCACTTGTCGTTTTCGTACAATAATTATAAAGAAATCGAAGTAAAACTCCAGAATTCCTCTGGATTCGTGCCTTCTGGGGCCCTAATTGACTGCGGCGGGACCCCCTGCGCCATCTGTGATTTCCAGGTCAATTAAATTTTCTCTCCGAGACCTCGTATTACCATCGTTTTAGCAAAGAAGCGCGTACATCACTTTTTTTGCCTTTATCCCGTTCAAATGCGAGTTTATCGATTACCAGAGTGTTCTAAATTCTCGTAAAATTGTCCTGACCCTTTCGCTTCTCATATCAGAGCCTTCGATAATTGTATATTGATGGAAATATGAGAGCGACGCCATTTTGGTTCTGGTCTGGACTGAGTTAAAAAATTCTTTTGAAAAATCCAAATTTTGAATGTGTCAGGACAATTCTTAGATGTGTCAAAGTTTCGGACAGTGTGGTCTAATACCCTTAAAAAAAAGTGTTGTATTCGAAGGATGTTTCACTTCACCTTAATAACCTTTCCGCAGGTTCGTCGTATTTGGGACAGGTTGGCACCCTGGCGGGCTGGGCGGAAAGTACAGGGGATTCCGAGGGCAGAACTTGTCGACCTCGCAAGGTGGGACTTCCTATCTTAGGATACAACGAGTGCATCAAATCCGGCGTGGATCCCTCTCTTTTTCACGACGATTCAGGGTGCATCGGAGTCATTGGAGGGAACTCCATCGTCTGCAACGTACGTTACATTCCTTACATCTAGATTCGCCAACGATAAAATGACTAAACTGTACCTAGAATTCCATAATCTATCCTCGCCTTCATTAATATTCCAGACCGACGTCGGCTCGTCCGTGTACTACAGGTCTTACGGAGGAATCTACGACCTCCTCGGTGAGTTCGACACCTCGAGTTGTACAATTATTACTTAATTAAATTACTAAAACGTAAAATGCATCGAACAGGCATCTTGTCGGACGTTAACGAGTGCAAGAGCGACCCAAAGACGGCGGTGTACACAAGAATAGGACCTCACATTAATTGGATTTTACAGCAGACAAGAGACGCGTGCTACTGCACGAAGTAAACGGCCATTGACGTTAAACAATACCTTATTAATTATTTATATTAGATTAGAACCGTATTTATGAATTCCTACGTTAACGTCCGATTGTACAGACGGCGTGATTTCACGTTTCTTTAAATGTACCCTAAGAATAAAAAGAATGCAAATGGCGCTATCGAAATGTTCCCAGGAATTTCTTTTTTTACGAGCTCGACCTTGCAGAATAAATCGGCGTGAAATTGCCCGCGCCTCGGACAGAACGTTAAGAAGTAATGTGAACTAGATTAGAGTTCAATCACGAATCTCAGTAAGCAAGCATCCCGAATCATTCGAAGTTGTATCGATCAAGTGCATCGCCATGATCCCGACGTTGATCTGCGCTTTTCTAATAGTTCGTATAACAAATTCAAGCCCTGTATAATTAAATAATTCACTTAGAAATATATCGATGTATTTGATAAACCGTTTAAGGTGAAGTGAAACCCCCTTCAAATCAGTCGATTAGAATACAACACTTTTTTTTAAGGGTATTAGACAAAAATGTCCGAAACTTTGACACGTCACTCCTGATCATCTAAGAATTGTCCTGACACATTGAAAATTTTGATTTTTTGAAAAAATTTTTTAACTGTTATCAAATTAGTCGATTCTAATACAACACTTTTTTTTAAGGGTATTAGACCAAACCGTCCGAAACTTTGACACGTCACTCCTGACAATCTAAGAATTGTCCTGACACATTGAAAATTTGGATTTTTCAAACAAATTTTTTAACTCAGTCCAGACCAGAATCAAAATGGCGTCGCTCTCATATTTCGATCAATATACAATTATCGAAGGCTCTGATATGAGAATCGAAAGGGTCAGGACAATTTTACGACAATTTAGAACCCTCTGGTAATCGATAAACTTGCATTTGAACGGGATAAGGGCGAAAAAAGTGTTGTATGCGCTTCTTTGCTAAGACGATGGTAATACGAGGTCTCGGAGAGAAAATTTAATTGACCTATAAATCACAGATGGCGCAGGGGGTCCCTCGCAGTCAATTAGGGCCCCAGAAAGCATGAATCCAGAGGATTTCTGGAGTTTTACTTCGCTTTCTTTATAATTATTGTACGAAAACGACAGGTGGAATATGCCATTTGGTACAATACCCAATATAATTCGACCCAGCTGTGAATATAAAAACCAACGTCGGCAACGTAGGCATTTAGAAAAATCTTCTCTATCGACGTTAATTAAGTTCCTCGACGTGTTTCACTTCACCTTAATTATACTATTATATAACTGGACGGATTTTCAGAGAAGCAGCGATGGCTTGACTTTGGGACCAGCGCGGGTAAACTTCGACTGCGGTAACGATAAAATTTCTTTACACGTCCCTTTAGCGATAACTTATCCTGCCGTAAAATAATATCGACGCAATTCTGGTCTTCTTCTAGAGTGTGGGATTTCGAATCCAGAGGTGTCCCCTCGAATCATCGGTGGAACTTTCGCAGTTTCCCACACTTATCCATGGATGGCGTCCATAATCCGCGACGAAAGCTCCTTCTGCGGAGGGTCGTTGATAAATGACAGATACGTCTTGACAGCAGGCCACTGCATTCCCCGGTAACTCGAAGAACTCCGACCCTGAAGACTCTAAAACATTTTATCCCAAATTATTTCACTATTCACAGGCCGTCAGAGAAACGCCTCACGGTCGCGTTAGGAGCCCACGATCTCCGGAAATATCAAGAGACTACCGTTATAGATGTCGAGAAAATAATTCTTCACAAGGATTTCGACAGTGACGACTTACACGACATAAACGACTTGGCCCTGCTGAAGCTGAGCAGACCGGTGAAATTCGGCAATAAAGTAAAATCGATTTGTTTGCCTTCAAAAGGTACTCGAACTTGATGATCCGTTTCTGATGTTTCTTCCATTGATATTTGTCGTCTTGCAATGGTATTCTTCAAGGTGTGAAGTTCTGGACATCTGGAAATTAAATACCTTGAAGAAACACCTGTATCGTTGAGTTCTTCCGATAGATTGTTGCTGATGTTTCTTCCATTGATATTTGTCGTCTTGCAATGGTATTCTTCAAGGTGTGATGTTCTGGACATCTGGAAATTAAATACCTTGAAGAAACACCTGTATCGTTGAGTTCTTTCGATAGATGATGATTACGATGACTGAATATTCCAGGAGTTGGTTACGAAGGAAAGGAAGCTACGGTTACTGGATGGGGCCGAACAGTCAGAGACGTTTCTGGTAATTCCACGTTCTTAAAACAAGCGACCTTGAAGATATTATCTCTTCAGGAGTGTAGGGATTCACCGCTTGGTTCACATGTCACTTCGTCGATGCTATGTGCTTTTAAAAATAACACCGACACCTGTCAGGTAATTTTTATCAGCGGATTCTTGAAGTGGAATTAATATTAATATTAATTTAGGGGGACAGTGGCGGTCCACTTGCTCTGAAAAGGGAAGACCAGAGATACGAATTAATAGGTAAGAGGACGACAAAATTAGGGTAAAAAGAAAAAGAAAAATGTGATTTTTTTTCCCATAACTTACGGTGTTATTTTTTATAATTTTCTCCATCTTCAGGAGTGACATCCTGGGGCCTTGAATGTGCCAGTGAAATTCCAGGAGTTTATGTGAAACTTGTGGACTACTTGAATTGGGTGTATTACAATACTCAAGACGCAACTTACTGCAAAGATAAAGACAACTAAGGCGAGCAAAAGTTATGCAAATAATGTTTCGACGGTAACGACACAACATTAAAAAGTATCTAGGGATAAAATAATTATTTCCTATTCATAAACATTTTGCAGTGTTCTGGACATCATCGTACCTGGCAATTGTAGAAGTTCGATAGAATTTTATTGGTGCTTATAACTAGAATTTGATCAGATTTAACTATTTGACTGTTTTGATAATATAATCACTGGAATTAAAGACACGTGTTAATTATTTGCCATACGATTCCATGGAGTATAATATTCGTGAAAACTAGCCATAAAAAAAATGTTGTCTCTTCTTGAAGATTAGGAAAATAAATTTCCATTTAGCATTTATTAGCGTAGAAATCGTAACATAATTTACAGATATTATTCCTAAGAGCAAATTAGTAAGATTTTACGTAATAGTCCCCGTTTAAGCGTGACTCTGCCACGAAGTTGATTTCAGTTTGACAAGGATAAGCACATTTCGCGAACTTAATCTACCTTATTCATTACAAGAATGATCTCGAGCTTCGAGGTTCCACGTTATTTATATAAATAAATAGTTGACAGTCCTTCTGTGCGACCGCGTTTGACATAATACGAGTGAACGAAAGCAGCGAAGACACCTTCCACAACTAACTGGAATAAGGCAGGCTTTCGTTGCTTTAAAACACCTTTTAAATAGAAAAATATTCTGACCCGTCTAACACTGGATGCCAAAAGTAGACGGACACAATTAAGACGATGTTACGATTAAACGTGTAAATTATTTCCTGATAAAGAGAATGTGGTGCTACGAACATTGAGAATCGACAAGTTCCAATCTGCGAGAAACCAACTCAATGTATACAGGTGGAACGAGTGTCGTGTGTGTGAAGAATCGAAACGTCACTACAGAAGAAACACATATAAATACAAAACACCTTACACCTGTAATGCTATGATACAGTAATCGTGGGACTCGCTGTGAAGTACTGTGCATTAATAAATTACGTGTGTGACATTGGAGTTGCACTGCGAGGTGACTGCTTCTTCCAGTGTACAATCTAACTTGCGATAGCTGGCTGTGCTCGGTCTTCGTCTGCCCCGTCCACTCTTGCCCCTTCGTCCTTCCAGAGCAATGGCTAGAATCTATTAGAATAACAAATGTTACTTAAATATTTAAATAATGTTTAAGATATCTAACTAACCTTTTGCTTATTATGATAACCAATGTATCCACATATACAAAGTACGGAGATGACTGTAAAGTACGCAAAAAAGTGGGAGTCTTCCTCCACCCTCATTGTATGAAAGGGCAGGATCTCTCTCTGCTCCGATGTCTCCAACTGATTGTGATTATCAGTACCTGAATAAGTAATAAAATATATATAATTCAGTCATTCAAAATTATATTCATCACAAATCAGGTTTAATAAATATTTTCAATAGCTATATCGTCAAGTAAATTTCTACCCTTTTCAGGACCTATAAAATATATAAATTAGTATTTCTCACAATCTTGGGAGAACAAAAAAGTAAGGTTATTGAATAACAGTGCAACCAAACTTTAATCCATATAATACTCGATGTAAACTTTAAAATTTGCCATTTCTGTCTCCGAATAACCTTACTTTGTCCAAGGTATTATTAATAAAAAAAATTATATGTACTTAAATCCAATGGATTATCATCATCGTGATTATAATCCTGCTGATTCGGTAATTCCTCTTGATCTTGAGTGTTATCAGAAAGTGTGCTGGTCTCTTGACTCTTGGTCTTTGAATTCTTTCCATTTCCCGACGGTTCCTGTACCCCACTCGGAATACTTACAGGGTCTTCCATTTTCTTTTGCATGGGTATCTTTTTAGGAGAAGATTGAGGGTTTTTATTTTTACTTGGAGGGACCGTTGGACCCACGGTGGTAAGTTTAATTTGTTCTACCGCTGCATGTTCTTTATTAGAATTATTAACATCGGCAACGTGTGAAGTTTCTACACTCTGTAATTTATTACTATCTGCTAGTGGCTGTGCCGTGTTGGACAAATTTTCCTGCCGAACGGTAGTATTTAGTTGTTGCAAAGTTCCATTATTAGCGACATGTTGAATCGTCGAAACAGGCTGACTCTCGGTTTGACTACTTTGCTTCGTCTCGTGAGTTAAGTTCTCGTCGACCTTCTCTGCTACGCTTGCTTCTTTGCTCTCTTTCCGAGGGAGTTGCACCTGTCCTACGAACTGTCTACTCCACAGTAATAATACACACAATGGGTTCATCGTGGAGTCCAAGTTGGTACATAACCGCTCACATTCCGTCACATTGTGCAACCACCGGTTAAGCTCTACAACCTCGTTTAACGTCTTGTTGTACTTAGGTTGAGAACTCGTCGCCAAGGCGGAACAAACATCCTGGAGTGAGATTTTCTTCGTTGTTTTACTGAATTTGCTGTCAAATTCTTTCCCAATCTCCGCCAGGTGGGCGTCGGTATCGTTTAGTTTACACATAAGGTAGCTTGTGTCATAAATCCCCAAACACAGAAACGTGTCCACTGTTCTACCAATCAATGGAAGTTTCTTTAAAGGATATTCCACATCCCTACATGTCTCTGCTAGACTAGAATTAAACAGAACCTTCGTAGAATCGCAGACATCACGGTCGCTGGCGATAACGTCTGCGACCGTCGACGGTTTTATCCTCGCCGGGGAACTCGCAATCGTGGTTATGCACGTTGAAATGAAAATGCCGAGAACGTAGAAGCGTTTCAAGTCGACATTGAGGTTTTTCATTACTCTCGACCGTCGTCGCGTCTAAGCGACTCCCTTTCGGCAAGAGTTGTACACACTTACGGAACGGCAATCATTGTCCCACAAACACGGTAACGAAAGTTAACCTCTGTGCCTCGGAGTGACGATCATTTTGTAAGGGCACTGTCTTCGACAAATCACGATTTGCGTACACAGGTTTTAATAAAAATTTGGAGGCGAGATCAACGATAAGTGTCACACGCCATTCCTCACTGTTCAACATATACGACCCAGAGATGAGTTGAGAGATTGCTCACGGGCAGGGTGGCGCGATCGCGCCTGTGCTGCCCCCAGGTGGAGGACGTGGACGGCTAACGCGCTTACCAAGCGAAGCCACTGAGGAGTAACAGCCGCCTCCGCTAGAGGGTAGCACATGACGCAATCGCGCGACCCTTCCCGTAAGCAGAGATGACGCAAACTCTGTTTTTGAATTCCTTGGCTCGAGGTACGGCTTGTGGACGGGCGAGGATGACCGAAGGTTCTGGAACACCATTGGTGGGGCGCGGTTACGTGCGCGCTCTGATTGGTCGAGCCGGCGGAGGGGACTGCGCTCCGATTGGTCGAGCCCACGGAGGGGGCTGCGCTCTGATTGGTCCGTCGGCCGGAGGGGTCGACTTCCTAGTCCTTGACGCAGAGGCTCGGGCGTCACAAAGGTAAAATTCAGCGTCAGGCGAGGATCGTGTTTTTTTAGTGCGAGTTGAGGAGAGTCCGGTTGCGCCGAGCGAGTGTTTGCGAGCTGGAGGGACAAGGCGGACGGAAGATAGAACGGAAATAACGAGTATCGAGAGGAAGAAAGCGAGGGACCGCAGTGATAGAGGGACGCCGTTGTGCGTACCAACTGGCATACGCACGTATCGCGAATCGTTCGGGAAAGGAGAGATCTCGCGCGAGTGCGTGCACGCCGCGTCGCAGATAACGCATTTTCTCACACTTGGGGCCGCTGGGCGGACGGGGAGAGTCGGAGACTCGGAGACTCGGCCCGACGAAGGAAAACATAAACGAGTCGCGGCCGCCATCTTGTGCGTCCAATTGAGCTCGGCGACCGGAACGGGAGCCCGGAGAGTTTGGGGAGTCCGGGGAGCGTCCTTCGAGGGAACGAGGTTTTCATAAAAGGAACCAGGGTGACTGATGGTCACCGGATGCAGCGAGAATCACGAGTCGCGCCTAAGAGAACCCGGAACGACGTCGAACCAGAGTTCGGGCCATTCTACGCAGGAAGAAAGCGGTAGCGTCCATCGGAGCGAGCGGCAGCGGCGGAACGGCGAAGTGAGGTTAGCGACTTCCCCACCGCTCTCTTCGGAGCCCGCTACCCCTTCCAACTCTGTCCTGGATACGCGGTTTATTGCGCAGTCGGTCGAGCCACTGGATCCAGACGGCCAGGGACCCAAGAGGCGAGGGGAGTAGCTTCGGGGAGAGAGAAGAGCTACGGAACAACTTTCCACCCGCCAAAGGATCGAGCCAGCCGGAGTCATGACGAACTCGGCGCCGAAGCGTGGCAACAAGGTGGAACGTCAGGGTTCTCCCAATACCGGAGGGAAGCGACAGCACCAGCGAAGTGGCTCCCTCAAGTCGACTTATGTACCCAGTACGAGTCGATCCGGGAGGAACTCTACGGGCAGACTGAGCTGCAGTCCACCCTGCCCGGCTCAGAAGATCGGGCACTCTCCGTCGAGGCACGAGAGCCCTCGTGGTAGTCCTACCGGTAGCTTCTACGCGGGAGCCAAGTTCTCGGAGCCGCCGTCTCCTGCCAGCCTTCCCAAACCTCCGAGCCACTGGACCATGAGATTGATGGGCAGTTGTCAGCGAGCGGAGGTACGCGAGAACGTCTCCACCTGTTCCAAAATGATTACCATCAATGCCCAGGCCTGATACCCAAAGATCCGTGGGTCGGGTCCGCCGATCTCTGGCTCTCGAGGGGAGGAGAAACAGGTACGCCTTTCCTTGGATCGCGGACGGCTCGTTTGTGCATACGATGTCAAACTTTTCGTTTAATCGAACCGAGAGTGACACGCCACGAGCTGCAAGGTGCCAGCGCCTTGCACCTTGGTATGCGCGCCCTGTACGTACCGTGTACTTAGGGCCGGAGTACCGAGACTCCAGAGGTTATGTTCTCACGCCAGAGCCCGAAAGTATGGCTTGGTCCGTCGCGAGCCGTGATGCGGTATAGCGATACGTCTAACGATTCTACTACGCTTTGTGTATAAAGATGTAAACATATGTATTTTAGATTATCGTACGATGGACATGCAAAAACAGAGTGCATGTCCGTGGCGTGTCTATCCATCCTTGCGATGGAACGGTATGTAGAGGTGTAATTGATAATGCGAAGGCCCTGCGGGAATGTTGCATCTTTTGTTTGGATTTTTAGCGTAAATTGTGGTGACTCTTTTCCTGTTTTGATTCTTTGATCGCACAGTGGCTCGGTACCTGACTAAAATCAATTTAACGAATTGGAATTCTTCGCCCCTTATTTTGTTTTAATCAATTGAGATACTTTTGGCAATGATTTGAAATTTTGGATACTCCGACAAGAGCGCATGTTCAAATTAAGATTTTCATAACCTGCAGGACCGATACAGTGTTCTTAGACTGCTATGAACATTATCGCTGTTATTGTCCGCAAAGACGAAGAAGTGTTTTGATCCGAAGTCAATGGTCACTTGGATTCACTTGTTCTCTAGTTACTTGTTTCTTTTTGGTTTCTTTTTCATCTTTTTTTTTTTTAATTTGGATTAATTGTACACTCGAGAATCACTGCAGAGGTCACGATGCGAGATCGACGGGAAAGTGCACTTGATGATTCTTCTTTTTTTTTTCTTTTCTGGTTTCCATTTTCTCAATTTCGTTGCAACAATTATTATTTTGTCTCGCAAAGAAGTGCGTAAGATTTAAGGAAAAAGTGGGTTTTCAAAGAATGCTATACGATGAGAGTAACAGAGAGCGTGAATGGGAGTAAAAGTGATTTGAGATTCTCTGGTGGAAGACTCGGGGATGAAAGTTGCGCGTGTATGTGTGCAGTGTGAAGTGTGAAACAATCGTAATTATTAGAAATAATATGTTTGAGCAAATCCATGCGTGGGCGGTGTTTGAGGTAATTTACTTTCGTTGCAGAATGGAAGGAAAGCAAAGCGGTGCACTGATAGGTCACGTCGAGTTTAAGTGAGGTTATGCTCTGCGATCATGTTTGGGTCTCGATTAACTGCGAGCAAGAAATTTTAACCTTACAGCATGACAAGAGTGACATATCGAGCTGGTACAAAATCGAGTGCAATTTCCATTAACCGATGGACACAACGGGAACAAAGTTCTGAGACCAGCCGGGATTGTACAGTGTTCGGCAAGCTCCTCGCCGTAGTCTAACCTCATCGATAAGTCACTACAGGTTATTTAATTGACGTTTAATAGAAATTCCTGCCCGTTAACTCCACCCTTGTGTCCAAACATTGATTTGCTCAAGGCAAATGGATCGCAAAAAGAACTTGCCATCCTTTTCTAGTTGATTAAAGAGAGACAGAGAGGGAGAAAGACCTACGAAGAGTGGTAGGCATAGGAGAGCGAAGGCAATGTCAAGACTCGTTACTGTCCATGCGTTGCCTTTATACGTAAATATTATTTAACAAAACTTGCTTCTGCGATCGAGCACGCGGGTGTACTCACTCGACATGCCTGTGTACTCGATCGCACTCTGGAAATTTCCTTACTTTACGGTTACAACTATAGCGAGCGCAATTCTAACCTATAGAAAAAGTGTCCACGGCATACGCGGCGAGGTTTTAATTTTGCTTAGCTCTATCTTTTTTTTTTTGTTCTCTTCTTATATTTTCATTTTTCATGCGTCGGTGGTCTTGATTCCCGTTTTCTTTTTTTATCGAAAATTTACTACTCGACGAAATCTCTGGATAGTTTTTTTTAACACAGACGCATTTTACGTTGAAATTGGGCGCGGGTCTTCTCGGGGTTTGGCGTCCTCGTTTTTGCTTTTTCGAATTTCTCGGGGTTTCGCGGGATTGGGGAATTTAAATTGTGGAAGGAGAGAAGTGGTAGAGAAAACCGAAGGGACAAGGATAACGAGACGCGGATAAATGCGATTACGGGTTTCGGTCGACCGAGGCCCACCGAGAATGGCGTCTAGTTTTCTAGAGTGACATTTTTAAGAAAAACGGTATCTATAGTATCTGACATTCACGCGCGTCTTAAGCATTTATCGACGGGACGTTTTGGGTCTTCTATTCCTTCCTTTAAAACGATATTAAAGTGCTCACCTTCGGCGACTTGGTTTTCGGTAAGGTCATATTCCCGTACCTACGTGAAGCGAAAGTGAGCCTTACCGCTTCCAAGAGGAGTGGCTCCTAATTCCTTGCACCTTCCACTCGAAATTCTGGCACGATTACGATCGGTGCGATTGGTCTCGGGGAAATAATGGACTTTTTCTTCTTTTTTCTTTGTCTTTCGAAAGTATCGAGAGGAAGGTCCAGGGGGAATGTATTTAATGAGAAGGGCACTCGAGGGGGGCGACGAATCTCGAGGGCATTCGCGCGAGTCGCGATTCTCGAGATTCGTCGGCGACTTCGAGAGGAATCGAACGGTCATTCGAGAAGTCGATATCGTGATTTATCGCCCCGCTGAGAGAGAAATGGAAATATATCTCGAAGCGGGGCACTCGGTACGTCTTTATGTTTTATTTCTTAATTTTTCCCTCGACTGCTCGGCTTAAGGTCGCCGAGGAAAAGAAAATGGCCGACGTGTCGCGCGATAAAGCGTCTATTTTTCTTGTAACGCGCGATACGTACCAATGGCGGTCGTTTCCTGGACTCGGCGATTTATGGGATGATCGATGATCGGAATCGCAAAATTGAGCGAGGAATTTCTGCGTTCGGTTGCGGAACTTCGGAATGTAATGGATAATTAATTAAATTAGAGCTTCGGTTTAATTAAATTAGAGTCTCGGAGTGGTCGTTTCGCTCGCCTCGAGGAGAAGAAAAACTGGATAATTCTTATCCAAAAACTGTACGTGACATTTGCATTTTAAGGACGCATGTCACGGCCTCGTTTTTCATTTGCGCATCGCGTGAGAAATGTAAGATTCAAGGTTAACGATTTCTATCGAAGGAAAATTCCGTCGCCGGACGCGGAAACGTCGGAAGTGAGGAAATGTGCGTACTAGAATTGGAAAAGCCTTAAACGTTCCGAAAAACGGCTCGAAATCGACGAAAGTGGATGGAGGACCGAGCGATGATGGAAAAAAAATTAGCTGTGATGATGACTCTATAGGTACTACTGATTTTTAATTGATAACTGATTGATATATACACGCGCATATGTTATATATATATATATATATACATACACATATATGTATATTATACAGATAAGAAAGGTAATTAAGTATGTACATGTACAATGATAATAATTTTAATAACTCGATGTATGATAAGAGGGCGGATCGATACTCGTCGACGACTTCAATCGATTATCGACGAGATGGATTCGCGTTTTCGAGATACGAGGTGGGAGATTTAACGACCGATTCCGTGTAAATTGTTATTCTATGGCCGACGGAGATTAATGCGGAAAATGCGAGATTTTGTCGCGGAATTTTTGTGTAAATATTCGTATTTGTAAATTTCGCCAGCCCGTTTAGCGAGAGATGGAACTTTCGAGATACGAGGGCTCGATCGATTCTGGGACACGTTTATATGTTGATTTCGGGAAGAGAGTTTAAACCCAAGGAGGTTGCCGAAGGAATAACGAGGTGGCCCTCCGAGAGTTACCTTAAAATGTCAGGAAAGTCATGAAAACGTCACACATGTTATGCATGAGAACGTCGACGTGATTTAAAAGGCTTCGTTCTCCATTTCTCCATATCGGGTGCACCGAGCAACTCTGAGGGGCCCTCGGAGAGTTGTCTTAAAATGTCATAAAAGTCATGAAAACGTCACACATGTTATGCATAAGAACGTCGACGCGATTTAAAAGGCTCCTTTCTCCATTTCTCCATATCGGGGGCACCAAGCAACTCCGAGACACCCTCGGAGAGTTATTTTAAAAAGTCATGAAAGTCATGAAAACGTCACACATGTTATGCATGAGAACGTCGACGAGATTTTAAAGGCTTCGTTCTCCATTTCTTCATATCGGGTGTACCTAGCAACTCTGAGAGTTATCTTAAAAAGTCATAAAAGTCATGAAAACGTCACACATGTTATGCATGAGAACGTCGACGAGATTTAAAAGACTCTTTTCTCCATTTCTCCATATCGGGTGGACCGAGCAACTCCGAGAGACCCTCGGAGAGTTGTCTTAAAAAGTCATGAAAGTCATGAAAACGTCACACATGTTATGCATAAGAGCGTCGACGCGATTTAAAAGGCTCCTTTCTCCATTTCTCCATATTGGGTGCACCGAGCAACTCCGAGAGACCCTCGGAGAGTTGTCTTAAAATGTCATAAAAGTCATGAAAACGTCACACATGTTATACATAAGAACGTCGACGCGATTTAAAAGGTTCCGTTCTCCATTTATCCATATCGGGTGCACCGAGCAACTCCGAGAGACCCTCGGAGAATTATTTTAAAAAGTCATAAAAGTCATGAAAACGTCACACATGTTTGGTCACTCCCTTTGGAGGGAAACGGGAGATAAGGTACTCCGGAGGGCCCACTCTATCGAGAGCCGGTTTTCAATGTGATACTGTTACGTACAAAAAAAAGAAAAAAGAAAAAAGATTGACGGAAGAGAGAAAAAAAAACAGACTCGATTCTTCGAAAGAATCGAAGGAAAATGGCGGAAACGAGGACGTGTGAACCGAAATAGGGCAAACGGGATGTATATAAACCTGGAATTGCCACTTTAGCACAATTCAATAATATTTATTGCTATTTTATTGCACAAGAGAAAAAATTTTTTGCTCTTATACTTTTCCGAAAAATGGTGGCGATGTCAGCTTTATATAAAGCTAACACTGCCACAATGAAAAATAATTATTAAGTCAATGTTCATCGATGAATTGTACACCAGAATTTATTGCTAATTAATTGCTCGCAGAAAAACCAAATTTCAATTTTTTTGCTCACCTCAAATTAATTGCTCCGAGAAGAATCTTTGTAAAAATACAATTTTCAACCCTACATTAATTAGCAATTAATTCCCACGTGAACAAATAATTCGATTCTTCCATGTTTTTCATGTTTCCGTCTTGCGATCATCACTAGGGGTGAGCAAAAAAAAATTGAAATTTGGTTTTTCTGCGAGCAATTAATTAGCAATAAATTCTGGTATATAATCCATCGATGATTTACTTAATAATTGTTTTCTTATTGTGGCAGTGTTAGTTTTATATAAAGCTGGCATCATTTATCGGAAAAGTATAAGAGAAAAAATTTTTCTCTCGTGCAATAAAATAGTAATGAATTTTGCAACAAATTTTATTGAATTGTGATAAAGTGGAAATTCCAGTTTTATATATATATGTAAACGGGAGCCTTTTCCCCGATTTCGGTGTCCGACCAGTGAGCGCTTTCGTCGATCACGGATTTTCCGAATTTTTTTAAGACGAATTCCAAGGTCATGGAAACCGCGTCTTCGCCTTTTTCTTCATTTCGAGCCTTCCTCTAGATGTGGGAAAAATCGAGATCGACGGAGGTGCGGTTATCACGTGGGAGTTATCGCGAAAGTGCATATCCACTGCGTAGACGACCCGGGGCCGGGACTCCCATTTGAGAAGCTTCTACGAGACGGAGATGCGACTTCCCTTTTTTCAAACGAGGGAATTATGCTCGATTTAGAATCCGCCCTTAGGGGGGTGGACATGGGGAGGACTTTAGGGCTGGGTCGCATCTCTTCGTCTAGGCGAGAGGAACCTGGAGGAAACGAGATTTTCGCCTTTTGCGAAGATGCGGAGGCGAACCGAATGTGTTAGGGCGTCCCATAAGTTCCTTCCACATCGTGTATTCATCTCCTATGAAAAAAAGGGAAGAAACTTATGGGACGTCCTAATGTTCGTAAACTGGAGTGACTATGGAGAGAGCGAGGAAAGGGGAAGGGACGAGACGTCAGGATTGGCGGTGATTTTTGGAGGACCATTTTGCATCCCATCGATGAAAAAGAAATTTGACCAAACACCAGGAGGAGGAAGGGATGAGATATAAAATTGAGGGAATTGACGGTGATTTTTGAAGGGTCCAGATAGATTTACCGAGATCAACGTACCATCTACAAGAGTAATATTGGCGGTGATTTTTGGAGGACCATTTTGCATCCCATCGATGAAAAGAAAATCTGACCAAACACCAGGAGGAGGAAGAAGGGATGAGATGTAAAATTGAGGGAATTGACGGTGATTTTTGAAGGGTCCAGATAGATTTACCGAGATCAACGTACCATCTACAAGAGTAATATTGACGGTGATTTTTGGAGTTTGCATCCCATCGATAAAAAATAAGATCCACGTACCATCTACAAGAGTAATATTGGCGGTGATTTTTGGAGGACCATTTTGCATCCCATCGATAAAAAGAAAATTTGATCAAACACCAGGAGAAGGAAGGGATGAAATATAAAATTGAGGAAATTGACGGTGATTTTTGAAGGGTCCAGATAGATTTACCGAGATCCACGTACCATCTACAAGAGTGATACTAAACACCAGGAAGCGAGATGGATTAATTATTAAAATAGTCAAGTGGTCCTGGTCAATTTAATCGATGGACGATTGGGAACTACTCCTTCCTATTTAGGCATCCAGGACTCGACGAACCAACTGAATCGCTCCGAAGAGTCGAAAAGATGGATTAATTATTAAAATGGCCTAGTGATCCTGGNGAAAATACGAGGTGAAGGTACAAGGAAATCAGAACGAAAAAGGGATACGAAGAAGGAAATGTGTAAATCGTACAAGGGGACGGCTCCATCCCAAGTTTGGATCTCCCGGAGGCCCCTCAAACCTGCCGGTTGCTGCTGATAACACGGCGACACGTACTGATTATTTTAGCGAACTGAGATTCGATCGTGTACCTTGATAACGGAGAGAAAGAAAAACCACCTAGGCTTACGTGTTAGGTACTAGAACGTACGTTGTATAAATATGTAATCGTATAAGAGACGTGGAAGCGCGCGCGAGGTCCGGGCGCAGAGGGCCCTCGCCCGTGCGAGTGCGAGAGAGACGAAGCGATAGCGCCGTTCGCGGGAGAGAGAGAGACGAGGCGAGCGAAAGTGCAGAACAAGAGGGAGGGCTTCCCGACGAAGGGGCGCGACTCTTGCTGGAATTAAACGCTCGATCGTATCGGCCCAAGATGCCGAAGAAGAGCTCGAAGGAAGCTTTAAAAAGGCTCTGAAAAAAAAAAGGAAAAACATTATCGCAAAACCTTAACCGGAAGCGACGGAATCTCGCCCCTTCGCGGCGTCCGCGAATTCTTCTCGCGTGCTAGTCTCTCGAGGTGGAGAGGAAATTTAATTTCTGGCATTTCTTTCCCCTGGTTTGATAAGGATAAAGAAAATCCTCGGAGAGACCTGCACGCGCGTACTCGCCTCTTTTCCTAAGAGGGGAATATCTTTATCTCTTTATCCGTATACATCGCGAGATGTTAAGGTTCCTTTTAAGGTGTACCTTCGCTACGTACGGGAGGGTTTTTAATTTCAATTAGGTTTTTAAGCCAGGCGTCGTTTGCCCGATGCGAGAATTTCGGATGATTGTCACGTGGATTTTATTAATTAATCTCGGAGCCAACCCTAGGGGGAATTTGTGTAAGATGTATCGTTACCTGGAGGATCATTTGCCAAATTTTCTTCCGGAAAAGTTGTTTAGAGACTCTTGTCAGGATGGGGGGGCACACGGCGCATGCGCGAGTAGATGTTAATTTTTCGAAGGACGCGATCTCTGTGATTTCTATGCAAGCTTTTTATCGCGGAAACACGCGTCGATCGTAGCTTTAAGGGGCTCTTCGACTGAGGCCATCCTGTACAAATGCGAGCACCAGAGAGTCTATTTTGTAAATCGAGCGACCTCGGGGAGAGGACGAGGATACCCCGATGAGAGGCCTCGTGGAGGAGAGGAGAGAGTCAAGGATGCATCCTGGCTTCCACCGAGGAGGAACGATTCCTGGGGCCTCGGCGAAGCATCCGGCTGTTTTCCTCGAGAAAATCGATTCTTCCTGGGATTCATTCGCCCCTTTTTTCTTTGGGACGAGGACTCTCCTCGTCGGGCTCCGAAGACGACGAAGGAAACAACCGAGACGTAAGTTCTTATATTCTTCTGTTGGGTTTTTCGGAAAGTAATTTCGTTTCTCTACGGAGGACTTAATTTCCTTTTTTTACGGAAAAGTTCACACTCGAGCCGCGTAAACATTATATAGTTTGACGGCTGATCTAGCTAGGCTTGCTTGTGAAAAAGTTTATCAGCTCCTGGTTTGTTATCAGCACCTGGCTCCTGGAGGATCGCCTGCGACGAGGAACCAGCCGGGACATTTTGCAAGACGGTGGCAAGGAACGTCTTCTTCGAGTGCCATCGTTGGAATTCACTATCATTGGCACGAGGCTCCAGGGCGAATTTTCTGAACGACTCGTATAAGAGGAAGATACAAACGTCCTTTGACTTCAGCCTCCAGGATGCCACGATACCCTTGGAAGAAGAAAAGCCTCCTGACGATTTTCTTCGTCTTCCGCGAGGTCAAGGATGTCTTTGGACATTTCTCCAAGTCGAGGTTGCAGCAATTGGTCATTTGGAATCTAGTAGAGAAAAAGGAGGGTCCTGGAGGATATTCGGGATAAGCTGCGAGGAGGTACGAGTCCAGGTGCAAGACGGTGGCAAGGAACGTCTTCTTCGAGTGCCATCGTTTAAATCCACGATCATTGGCACGAGGCTCCAGGGCGAATTTTCTGAACGACTCGTATAAGAGGAAGATACAAACGTCCTTTGACTTCAGCCTCCAGGATGCCAAGATGCCCTTGGAAGAAGAAAAACCTCCTGACGATTTTCTTCGTCTTCCGCGAGGTCAAGGATGTCTTCGGACATCTCTCCACGTCGAGGTTGAAGTCGCGTTGCAGCAATTGGTCATTTGGAGTCTAGTAGAGAAAAAGGAGGGTCCTGGAGGATATTCGGGATAAGCTACGAGGAGACACGAGTCCAGGTTCGATAATCCTTTTCGGGGATAAGTCCGAGTCACCTCCGTTGTACGTATTTTCGACATTACCTCGTCTTCATGTACACTGGAGGACATGAATGCCTCCCCTGGAGATACGGCATCGCCTGTGCAGAATGGGAGGGCATTGATGTCTCCCAGTGTACACGCAAATGTATATGGGGAACACATCCTCGTTATATATTCCCTGAAGATGCAAAGGACCCGCTCGAGGATGCGAGAGGAAGATGGAGACGAAGAAAGCCTTGAAAGAGAGAAATTAATTGCAAAGATGAAGGTTGGAATTCGCGCGGAGCTGCAACATATATAAAAAAGCACTCCGCCACCTCGAAGGAGAGAAATAAAATAATGGCCGCGTCGTATTCTAGGGTATGCCGAGGTGTAAATCGAGAGGAGAGAGAAATGGAGGTCGGAGGAGAAGAGTACGAAGCAGAAGAGGCGACGAGGGAGAGGAGGTTTGTAAGAAAACTGCGGAGAAAATGCCTTTTTTGAGGAAAGAGCAACCAAAAAAAAACGAAGAAAAAACATTAAGTCTAAGCGAGAAAGCGCGAGTGCCGGGTGGAGTCGGGGAAGGACGAAGAGGACGAAGAGGAGCGTCGTGGCCGAAGAGCTCGACGAACTGATTTTGTTTAGGAGACCTGGCCAACGATCTCGAGGAAATTGACGGAAAGTTCGATGCCGTTGGAGATTGGGAATTATCAAGGAAAATTCCGCGACACGATGGAGGAGAGAAAAAACCCACTTTTGTACCGTGCCCGGTCACAGGACTCGATGATTTTCCCTCGGGTCCAGGGTCAAACTGTTCCAGGTCCAGGAAGTACTGGAGGACGACGAAAGGTGGGAAGAACGAGGAACGAAAATCGAGGAGCCCGCAAAGCGTCGGGGTGTAAAAGGGAAGACTTCCAGGGAGTCGGAGACGTGGCATATTTTTCGAGCCATCGCCAGGAACTAACGAGATGAACCAGGAGTCGCCACGTCGAGTTGTCAGCCATCCATTGGGGGGAAGCTTCCAGATCTTCCCCTGGTATATCGTCGTGGACATCGTGGATGTCCTGGACATCCCGGATTATAATTTCCTGTCATTATTCCTTCTTTTTCAATATTCCCAATGTCATTTTTAATCCTACAGAAGAAGCTGTGCCTAGGCGCGGAGATTCTTTCCTTTTGGTCCTGTTTAACCTACCACAATGTTCCCGTCCATGTCTTTTCTATATCACATACTTTTCCTTCCATTAGGGCCCTTTTCAGGGCCCGCAAATATCTCGGTACTAGGGAAGAACTTATGGATTTCGCAATTGTCCTTTTCAGGACTAAAATCTGTCCTTTTAAGGACACCTCACCTTTTCAGATTATGCAATGAATTTCTTTCAGAGCGTCTTTATATTCAGGGAAAGGAAAGGGACTTCTAATCACATCCGAGGAGGAAATCCTTCCCAGTAAAACGGTGAGATCGTTTATGCCTAATCATTCGAAATGAATCACGAGTCGCTGTGAAAGCATTCTTACAGGAATACAAGTTGATTCGTCATTTGAAAGTCATCATTGACGTTATTCGCTTAAGGTGAGGTGAAACACGTCGAGGAACTTGATCGACGTCGATAAAGATTTTTCTAAATGCCTACGTTGCCGACGTTGGTTTTTATATCGACAGCTGGGTCGAATTATATTGGGTATTGTACAAATGGCATATTCCACCTGTCGTTTTCGTACAATAATTATAAAGAAATCGAAGTAAAACTCCAGAAATCCTCTGGATTCGTGCCTTCTGGGGCCCTAATTGACTGCGGAGGGACCCCCTGCGCCATCTGTGATTTACAGGTCAATTAAATTTTCACTCCGAGACCCTGTATTACCATCGTTTTAGCAAAGAAACGCATACAACACTTTTTTTTGTCTTTATCCCGTTCAAATGCGAGTTTATCGATTACCAGAGTGTTCTAAATTGTCGTAAAATTCTCCTGACCCTTTCGATTCTCATATCAGAGCCTTCGGTAATTGTATATCGATCGAAATATGAGAGTTCGACGCCATTTTGAATGTGTCAGGACAACTCTTAGATGATCAGGAGTGATGTGTCAAAGTTTCTGACAGTTTGGTCTAATACCCTTAAAAAATAGTGTTGTATTCGAATCGACTGATTTGAAGGGGGTTTCACTTCACCTTAACGTCTTTTAAGAATTCTTACAGATTATTTCAATCTCGCAAAGTAGACAGAACATTTAAAACCTCTCTTTATTTGAGACTTAACGAAGACAAACGACTGGGAATCTTCCAAATTTCCACGTTTCCGGAAGTGTCACCCAGTGCTACCATGTCTCTGCAAAAATAAATTAAAGCAAGGTTGAGTATTTCAGGTAGTTTGTCATTGTTGGAAGCCATTATTCAGCATTTTTAAGCGTTGACAAAAATATCCATCTTGTATGTCTCGATGCTAAATTTAAATTGTAGTTTTTAAATCCTTGCCAAAAGCGGAGTAAATTGATTTACGTACCTTTTAGGATTAAAACTGAGGCAGCTAGTGTTGTATCGATCACTCGACTCAAGTTTCAAGTTTGGAATTGATTTACCATTCGTTACATTGTAAAATCTTATGACAGGCCCTGCTCCATAAGTGCAAAATAAATCTGGGTTCCCGGGGAACCACTTTAATCCGACAACTGTTTCTTCAACGATGATTACATGTTGATGAGATGACTGTGAGTAGACATAAAATATTATATATTTTATGATAAAGTAAAGATCATGTTAAAGTAACTTCGCTGTACCTGTTCGATGTCAAAAATTCTTATTTCTTTGTCGGCTCCACTCGAGATGAAAAGGTTATGTAGCGAAGAACACCGAATGCAAGTAACGCTGCCTGCATGTCTGGTGTACTCATCTATTACTGGATCCAATATACTTTCATTTTCTGCGGATAACTAAATCCTAGTTATATACGAAGTAGTTTAAAAGGAATTATTAACACTTTACCGACCGGAAGCCGAATAATCGAATTTGCGATACCCGTCATCGCCATTTACTTCCAAATTCGTCGGTTGGTAAAGTGTTTAAAAATATGAAATGCAACCTTCGATGGGTATTGCTCGAACTTCACTGCACTTATATAAACCTCCACATAATGTGCCCACAATGAAGAGTGTGGTATCTTTTGTAGAAAAATCTAAACAAGTAATCGACAATCCAGCTTCTATGGCTCGCTCTCGTTTTCCTCCTGCACTTCTTGGTCTTGCACTTTCCGATGGATTGTGTTCTTTTGCTACTTTGAAGCTAAACGAATATAAATAAATTAATCCTTATTTAAGTACTCCAAAAATGGAGTAACAAAAAAGTAAATCTACTATTTGTAATGAGAAACCGTTTATGTAGCTTGACAATGGTGAAGTTTGCCATTAATTTGTGGACGTAGATGAACCCATCGGTACTCGCAGTCACAAGTAATGGAACATTGTTAACGTTTCTTGTTTGCCAATATATCGATGATATAGAATCGCCGTGTGTGCAGACTTGCAAAGGTGTAACCGAAAATTCATCTCGTAGGTTCCAAAGTAGTACATCACCTGCGCGTACAAACGTAATAATCGAAGCATGAGGAATTAAAAATACTTATAGCTAATTGTACTCTGGTGTTTCCATTTACCATTGAACAGACCAGCAGCTACAACGGATGGCTCGGTCGGATGATATGCCAATAAAGTAACGCAAGCATTCAGTTCCAGTACCTTGCTAGGAGTTTCTACAAACTGGTCGTCACGGGTAAGGTTGAAAAATTCAATTTTTGATAAGTGATCGCACCAACTCGAGTGACTTGGTATGCCATGGCAACTTGCAAGCACGCCTCCTCCTATGCTCCAAGCTAGATCATTGATTTTTATCTAAGAAATTAAATAGAAGAGTTTAGACTGTCACACAGAGGAGATCAAGAGTCACATTTACGGTTAATTACTTTTGTGGTCGAATCATCGGAGATGTTAACTTTTGCTGATAACCGTATCGTAGTGGTGGATTCACTGTCTGTAATACTTGGTTCATAATTGTCGAACGCGCTGCTACCATAAGCCTCGTCTAACTCCACAAGAACTCCTGGGGTGACACGTTTCAAAAATGCTGCCAGTTTTTGATAATCTATCTGGACTTTCTCTTTACGTTCCGATACCGTTTGAGTCTGAAACGAATTACATTATTCAGAAGTTATACGAATACTAAAATCCATCCAATAAATCCACCTCCATGTCTTTCGTTTCCACAGCTTGCTGCTCGCTGGAATCATATTTGATATCTTCCGTCTGAATATTGACAGATTTATCCTCCCTACAACGATTGAAATAAAATTAATAACATAATTTCTTTACAATCACCCCTATTCAAGTTGAAAAGACAATTCAATATCAACGATAACTACTTTTTCGATGACAATTGTGAACTGAAGCCCACAGGCTCGAACGATTGATCGCTGAACATTGTAGCGGAGATTAATTATCGTTTAATTATTAATGTCAGCGATCTGAAAGTCTTTTCCACTTTCAATTCACTATTGATTATTTATGAAAAGCTAACAGCCGGTTCGATGACAATAGACGCAGCAGACAGCAGCAGAGACAAGCAGAGAAGAGTTGGGAGACTGCTTACACTCGTGACGAAGTCCGGAAATCGACCACCAGGGGCGTGGCGCGCATGCGTTCAGGACGGGGCAAACTGCGTTACCCCGCGTGCACATTACAGTACTTACCTCGAACGAAAAGACGACTACGTTGTAAAATGTTTTAAAAAACGGTTGAAAATCGAGGAGAAGACTGTTTGACCAATTCTAGAGGGCACGTGGAAACTCGCTCCTTTTTCTGTGATAATAAAGCAATAACTATAGGTAAAGTGGAGAAATATATTCGACAATCCTCACACAGTAGGCGAGGAACCTAAGGCGTGATGACCCTCTATTTAGTTTCTACTTCCCTGCAATTCAATGTATGCTCCTACATAAACCGGAGTGACGTTTCGGTGCAAGTTCATTTAAATGCTTATCTCCTAAATGACCCGTTTTAGGTTACTTATCTCGAGTATTTTTATCATACGTTCGGAAGTCAGATATATCTGGTTGTACTCTTGGTAATAGCGCCGAGAGTAATTAGGAAGAGAGAACGCTCGACAAGGATGTCGCAGACAGTCCGATCGAGTGCAAACGTGAAATCGAGAAAGGCTTTAAGTGGCACCTTTTCGAGAAGTACGTAATGATGAATTTCTTGATGCCGACTCTTTAAAGGTGCAGGTTTCCTTTAACTTGAACTCCCTGAAGGCCGGTATGACTTCCATTCCTGGTGCTGATAATGCAGATGTACCACCGATCGGTGGTGAGAGTCTTGCAAACACCGACTTAAATGAAGAAACAATATATAGTAGCTTGTGTTTATTGAATAATCCAAGTTTTGATAATAAAGAAGGTAATGGCCATGAGTCGGAGGTAGTATGGAACGAAACGGATGCTGAAAATTTATCGCAGACAGTTATACATTCCAGTGCAGTTGCGAGTGAGAATAATGACGGGGAATCTGTATCCACGAATGGGAAAATCTCGGAGGAGAAAGAGCACGACACCTGTGCGCCAGTGGTAGGATCAATGCCATCGGCAACGATACTAGATCTTCCAAAATGTCCTAAAGCTAAGCATGCAGTTCGATCGACACTTGCCGACGATAGTAAACTCGTGAAACTGTCCTTGCCAATGAATCCTATTAACATAATGCAATCGAACGCCCAATTTTTAAACAAGAGTCGCAATTTTCTAAGCTTCATCACCGAGAAATCGACAAACATAATGGACAAGAAATTGTCGCACCACTTGAGCACCAGTTACAATAACATTTTGAAGCTGACGGACTCACGACTCGTTGGAACGAAATCCTCCATTGAGATTCATAAAGATTCTTCCATATTGCCTATAGCATCGACATCGGAGAATGATTTAATAAAGGCAATGACCGAAAACAGATATAATTCAGATATAATACCGAGAGTCGAGGATCTGTACATGGTGGATAGTAATGGCGTTAAAGTAAACGATGGATCGATGGAGAGAAATGAGGATTCTCCTCAGAAAAGTACAGAAAATCAAAATGACACGATAGTTCTGGAAGCAGCTGAGCAGGAAATATCTAATCTTAATTTAATTACCGAAAATGAGCCGTTGAGCGAAGGCAAATGCATTCTAGAAAATGTTGAGGTAAATAGAATTGAGAATATTGTATTAATGACTGACACGGATTGTCTTATCGATACGTCTGGTAATGTGGAAGGAACTGGGGATATTAATTTTGTTAAGTCAGGTACAGAGCCACAAGATAGTATTACTAAAATGAAACCAGTCGAAGATCAAGTAGACAACGCTAAATTCATATCGAACGAAGAGTCTGAAATAGATAGTTTATCGATGGAAGATTCGTCGGGGACATTAGAAAATCCTAAGAATGGTTTAATTCACCATCCGGTATATTTAACTCTGGTAAGAGACTATGCCGGTGTTAAAAAGGACAACGAGAAGCTGGCAATCTGTGTAGAGAATTTAAAAAAGGAGATCGAACGACTGGAAGCAGAGAAGAATGGGGATGTATATGCGGTGCAACTGGAAACTTTGGAAAAAACGGTGGATCAATTGAGTTCCGAATTGAAAACGGTGACAACAAATTACGAATTGCTGCGTAAAGATTACACGGCTGCGAATAAAGAGAGGGAGAGTATGGTGATGAAATACGTCGTCAGTGAGAAGCAACTAATCGACACCCAACGGTAGGTCCTAGCTTATTAGCATATTAGATTAGAAGATATAGGGAATTTTCGACGGCTTATTCGTTTAACCCTATAAAGTAATAATTTGGGGTAATTTCCACAGTGCAAGGGATTCAGCGGAGCGCAAAGTGAAAGAAATGACAAAGGAGCAAGAACTGCTGCAAGGAAAGCTTAGACAAATTCAGGGAGAACGGACAAGAATTTGTAATATTTTAGACGGCAAATGTCACGAACTGACAGATCTTCATAAAGAAACGGAACGACTAAAAGAAGAAGTTAACGTAAGAGATGTGAAGCTAAAGTGGGCGCAGAACAAGCTTAAGTCGGAAATGGATGTTCAAAAGGAGACTCAACAGAAGCTCGACAAAGCAACGGTAACTACAACTCTTAAAAGAATTCTTCCATTCTTATATTTTTCTAATTAAGCTTTATTTTCCAGCTACGAATTAACGAAATGAAGGAGGAATGCGACTTGGTACGAAGAGAAGCACAAGAGGCAATTCGCAGGTTTCAACAGTCCGAGGAAAATAAAGCCGTAACGTTGGATCAACAGTTAAAGGAACAGCAAGCTCGTCTGATTATGGAAAGACACGTCACGGAAGACAAGGAGATATTAAGGTTACAGTTGCAAAAGGAAGTCGAAGTGTTAAAGCAAAGACAACAGACACTGATCGAAGAGAACAACGGGCTCAGCTTAAAAATCCAAGACCTAGAAAGGAACCGACTTAGCTACGAAAGTAATTTAAGTAACTTGAAGATTTTAGCAGACAGTCGACAGAAAGAAATCGTCGATTTGGTTGGAAAGGTGTCGCAGCTTGAAACTGTGAAACTCCAGTTAAAACAGTGAGTACTCCGCTACGTTTCATTTTAATCACGCTTTATAATTCTTTAATGTTTAATGTTAAACCACGAACATAATACATGACTTGAATTTGATTTAATTACAGTAAAGAACAATGTTTATCATCAACCGAAGCTGAAGTGGAACGCCTGCGAAGGACAAACGAGGAACTTTGCTCCGACATGAAGTATTGTCGACAGCGAGAAGCTCAAATGTTGGAATTCACTCAGAAATTAACGGACAAGAACGTGAGACTACAGTCAGAATTTACAACAATCGAGGCAAGAGCGAAGGAGCTTGAACTTGAGCAAGGACCATTAAGAGAACGTATCGAAGCTCTATCGACAAAGGTTAAGTCTCTCGAAGAGGTTATGGCTGTCGAGAGGAACAGCAGGGCCGAAGAGTGCAAGACATTATTTACAAAATTGGAGGAGCAAACCGAGCGAGCTCGAATTCTTGCTCAGCAATTGGAGGATAGCCAAGGCGAGAATGCAGTTCTAAAAAGGAAGCAACAGATCTCGATGAAGGAGATGACACGAGAGATACAACAGTGTCGGAGGAGATTGGAAGCTTTCGAAGTGGCTTCACCGAGTAATTCTTTGGAGAAGACCTCCAGAACGGGATCCAGCACGTCACTAAACGCTGGTTAGAAGAAATGAATACACAAAAATAGTTTAAAGTAATCGACTGAGACAAGTTTTTATACATTTTTATCAACTTTTCACAGGAGAACTCCTTAACGGTGCCTTGTCTGATAACAGTATTAGTGGAGATCACGCGATTCAATCTGCAGAACCCGATAGGCAAACTTTACTAGATCGGATAGTGAAAATGCAGAAAATAAATGTAAGAAGAGCCGAGAAAATAGATTTCCTAGAAGAGCATACGCGTACTCTGACGGAGGAGTTGCAGAATAAGTCTAGGATCATACAGAATTACATTTTGCATGAAAACTTTGACGCCATGGGTAACAATGAGAGAGATAAAAATAAGGTAACTATCTGTCGTTAACTTATCCAATTTGATTATAAGCCTTGTTAAAATAATCTCCGATTTTTCTCTCTCGTTCATTGACTAATTACTCTTTACACGCAAGCATGTCAAGAGTAAACGGAACCCAGTAAGTTCTTTTCTCTTTAAATCCCTATATTATTGAACCTCGACTTGATTGAGAGATCATTTTTTAACTACCCATGACGATCTAAAATATTAAATAGAATTAAGTTAATTTTATTATTTCTTTTTCAAGGCTGAATTGGCGAGGCATGGAGGAATAATGGCGTCGGTTTATAATCAACGAGTCTCGGATGATAACATGACTCTGGAACTATCCCTGGAAATAAACCGAAAGCTACAAGCGGTTTTGGAAGACACGTTGTTAAAAAACATCACGCTAAAGGTAAACGAAGCATTATTAACGTTCGGAGAGCCACCGTCGATGGAAAGTAAAACTTCACTACCCTTTATTCAACTTCCAGGATAATATCGACACCTTGGGCGAAGAGATCGCGAAATTGACCATGCAAAATCGTGAAAGGTAAAGAGAACCAACAGAGTACCTACCTCCAATAAAACTGGACGAATTCCGATAATTTATGTTAACCGGTCCCACTCCGGTGGCAGCGTAAAGTATTTACTTAACAAATTAAGACTATAGACAGTTCTCGAAGCTGAAAACGCGTAGAGATATAAAATCTACATCGTTACGGTAATTAACATTAAATATCCGTTACAAACGAGCGAGGGTCACGACTGGATAATCCGAGTTTTAGTCGATAAGGCTTATCGGCTCGCCAGGTTTCCTTTCGTTGCATTTTTTCATTACAGTATTTACGAAATTAACGTTATCGCCCATATCTAGTCAGAAGTCATTGTTACCGCGATTGGCAATTAGTTTAATTCCTAAACGAGATCAAAATGTATTTCCCACTAGTGTGCATCTTTGCGTCGAGACATGTATCGAGAAATATAACGTTTATATTTAGCAGGGACACGCAGGAGGCGGTCGGCACTTTTTCTTTTCTCTCCATTGTTACGCATGTTGTTCGAAAAGTAATTTCGTTTTTTTTTTTTTTTATGAAAATGAAAGACGATTTTCTTATAGCGAATAAATATTTTATTGAATTATATATAATGTTTATGCGGCTTAAGTGTGAATTTGGCCGTAAGAAAAAAATTAAGTCCTGGGAAACAACGAAATTACTTTCCGAACAACCCAATGTATCGGGCTTGGTCCGTCCTCGACGTTCCCTCCACGGTTGAGTTCTGACAATCGTTTATTTTCGAACGTCAAGGAAATATGAGACAAAAAGAAAGGATAAAGAACAACTGGTGCTGGTAGATTTTCGAGAAGAGGCGAATCGAGTCGCGGAAACCTTTCCTCCCTCCCGCGTGCAAAAGAAACGCCCACGATCGGCTTAAAACGATCTTCTATTCGATTAAATAACTAATTGAACGATTAACGGCACGCAGGACGTGAGAAAAGGTTCCTTCGAGGCACGTTATTAATTATAAACTTTGCGAGTGTATTCGAAAGAGTGTACGTAAGAATGGAGGCGTCCGTGTGTATGTTACAAGGGGCATATATCATCGACTATGTACATACATGTTATAGATTTCTGCAAACGCGTACGCATTGTATTAAAATAGGTGTCGCATGTATCAAAGGAAAATATGTATATTATACGTAAAGCTACACCATACATATAGGGTGTGTGTGTGTATGTGTATATATATATGCACACGGAGGTAATAAATTTTGCGTTAAATCTACCGCCGGTGAACGGAATCTTTTCCTTTATACACGTCGACTTGTACATCGTTCTAGATAGGTACACTGGGAGACATCAATGCCCTCCCGTCCTGCACAGGCGATGTCGTATCTGCAGGGGAGGCATTCATGTCCGCAGAGTATACTGGGAGACATCAATGTCCTCCCATCCTGCACAGGCGATGCCACATCTGCAGGGGAGGCATTCGTGTCTGCAGGGTAGACTGGGAGACATCAATGCCCTCCCATCCTGCACAGGCGATGTCGTATCTGCAGGGGAGGCATTCATGTCCGCCAGTGTACAAGCAATTACTTTACAAAGCACAGAGATACATCTCGATGCTCGAATTCGGCATCTGAAATCTGGACTCTTTTCGCGGATATCGGGACATATCGCGACGTTTGATTAACGCGTTTCGACTTAAGGTGAAGTGAAACATCCTTCAAATCAGTCGATTCGAATACAACACTTCTTTTTAAGGGTATTAGACCAAACTCTCCCAAACTTTGACACATCACTCCTGATCATCTAAGAATTGTCCTGACATATTCAAAATTTGGATTTTTTAACTCAACCTAGACCAGAACCAAAATGGCGTCGAGCTCTCATATTTCGATCGATATACAATTATCAAAGGCTCTGATATGAGAATAGAAAGGGTCAGGACAAGTTTACGACAATTTAGAACACTCTGGTAATCGATAAACTCGCATTTGAACGGGATAAAGGCAAATAATGTGTTGTATGCGCTTCTTTGCTAAAACGATGGGAATACGAGGTCTCGGAGTGAAAATTTACTTTACCTGGAAATCACAGATGGCGCAGGGGGTCCCTCTGCAGTCAATTAGGGCCTCAGAAAGCACGAATCCAGAGGATTTCTGGAGTTTTACTTCGCTTTCTTTATAATTATCGTATGAAAACGACAGGTGGAGTATGCCATTTGGTACAATACCCAATATAATTCGACCCAGCTGTCAATATAAAAACCAACGTCGGCAACGTAGGCATTTAGAAAAATCTTCTTTATCAACGTCGATCAAGTTTCTCAAGGTGTTTCACTTCACCTTAACCGACTCGATACAACGATCCTGGATTACGGCGAAATAAGAAGAAAGAAATTTTCAGCACCCCTGAAAATCCCCGAAGCGGTTTCGTATTATATATCGCAATTTCTCCTTTTCCTCGCGGAGCACTGTACACGCTACATATATACAAAGGGGATGTCCGGCGATATATATATATATATATATATATATATATATATATATATATCCTACCTGCCCTCGACTCTTAGATATATAGAATGTATAGGTACTATAAGCGTGCCGTAATTTTACACAGAGAAGATATTGCTCTTTGTACATCGTATCTGAAGGACTCTCGATTTCCCTCCCGTAGAAGGACGAAACTCCTTCCGGAGGGTTTCGCCCTCCTGGAGGACCTTCTTCTCGGCCAGAGGAGGTAAAAAGCTTGATATTTGTGCCCATAATTATGAAAGTGGTCTAAGTCAAAATTAAAAAAAAAATGTGTTTATCAGTTATTTCACGCCATATTATTTCAAAGGAAATTAATTCAATGTAATTTCGAAACAAAAAATATATTACTTAGACCATTTTCATAATTATGGGCTCATATGTGCCCATAATTATGAAAGTGGTCTAAGTCAAAATTGAAAAAAAAATGAGTTTATCAGTTATTTCACGCCATATTATTTCTAAGTAAATTAATTCAATGTAATTTCGAAACAAAAAATATATGACTTAGACCACTTTCATAATTATGGGCACATTTGTCGAGGCGACATCTCGACAGGGAGGGGGAGAGGGGAAGAAAAAAAATCCCCCCGGCCGGGAGCTTTTCCAAGCGGGGGTGCCCTCCACCCTCTCCACCCTCTGGGAGCGCGGCTTTAAAGAGAGATAGTCCCATATCCGTTTAAGAGACCGGAAGGAGCCCTCCGCTTTAAGGCCCTCCGCCATAGGGTGGAGTCGCCGAGGCTCGCGCCCGGGCGAAATCAATTCGCCCGCCGAAATTAACGCGGAGGGCGCGACTCTGGCCCTCGCCGAGGGTGGATTTGCATGGGAGTGGGACCCTCTTCCAGGGATGGCTTCCCGGGGCGGTATCGAGCGGACGAGGCCGCGAAAAACACCCATTCGGGGAGAACGAAAGTACGAGGTTGGGACCTTAAGGTGAAGTGAAACACCCTTCAAATTAGTCGATTCGAATACAACACTTTTTTTTAAGGGTATTAGACCAAATTGTCCGATACTTTGACACATCTAAGAATTGTCCTGACACATTGAAAATTTGAATTTTTCAAAAGAATTTCTTAAGGTGAAGTGAAACCCCCTTCAAATCGGTCGATTCGAATACAACACTTTTTTTTTTAAGGGTATTAGACCAAACTGTCCGAAATTTTGACACATCTAAGAATTGTCCTGACACATTGAAAATTTTGATTTTTTAATAAAATTTTTTAACTATAATCAAATTAGTCGATTCGAATACAACACTTTCTTTTAAGGGTATTAGACCAAACTGCCCGAAACTTTAAACGTCACTCCTGATCATCTAAGAATTGTCCGGACACATACAACATTTGGATTTTGTAAACAAATTTTTTTATTCAGCCCAGACCAGAACCAACATGGCGTCGATCTCTCGTATTTCGATCAATATACAATTATCGAAGGCTCTGATATGAGAATCGAAAGGGTCAGGACAATTTTACATCAATTTAGAACACACTGGTAATCGATAATCTTGCATTTGAACAGGATAAAGGCCAAAAAAAAGTGTTGTATGCACTTCTATGCCAAAACGATGGTAATACGAGGTCTTGGATTGAAAATTTAATTGACCCGCAAATCACAGATGGCGCAGGGGGTCTCTCTGCAGTCAATTAGGGCCCCAAAAAGCACGAATCCAGAGGATTTCTGGAGTTTTTCTTGGATTTCTTTATAATTATTGTACGAAAACGACAGGTGGAGTACGCCATTTCATACAATATCCAATATAATTCGCCACAGCTGTCGATATAAAAACCAACGTCGGCAACGTAGGCATTTAGAAAGATCTTCTTTATCGACGTCGATCAAGTTCCTCGACGCGTTTCACTTCACCTTAACTTAAAAAGAGAGGAAGGAAGAACCAACGTACGGGCGCGACTCGTGAAATAATTCATGTAATTTCCGTTTAATAATGGCGATAATAATAAGTGATTAATATCGATAACGTATCGTGTTTGGCATCGTTATGTTCGCGTCTGTACAGTCCGAGAATGTCGACGGCTTTCCCGGGGAGAAGCAAATTTCTTAATTGCGGTTATAATTATCGACGCAAAAATAAAATGATTAATTATTACCAAGAGGGAGGGATGGGGCCCGAGAACGACGTTAAACAATGGACGAAATTAAATACCCCACCGTAGGGTAAGAAAATAAAATCTAGCATATGCCCCGCATTTAACGGTAAAACGTATCTATCGGTCGCGAGGTTGATAACGAAGAGGTCATACGGTAGTAGATAATAAGTGCAACAACGGAATCACTCGCAATAATAGCACTGACCGATCGATCGATCAAACGATAATGACAACGATACATATGTGCCCATAATTATGAAAGTGGTCTAAGTCAAAATTAAAAAAAAAAATCAGTTTATCAGTTATTTCACGCCATATTATTTCAAACGAAATTAATTCAACGTAATTTCGAAACAAAAAATATATGGCTTAGACCACTTTCATAATTTTGGGCACATATATACTAGTATAGGTAACCGAAATCTAGTAACAAAAAGGGGGGAGAGAAGAGGGGCGGGACTTTTTCCCCAATTTTCCGGATCCTAGGAACTTTCTTCCCACTTTCCGGATTTTCATTCCTTATCAGAGGGATTTCTCCCGCCTGATTTTTTTCTCCGCGTTATCTATGCCCCCCTCCCACCCTTCCAGGGCGTAATCACGTTAGACGCAACGTATGCAAATGAGCTCCAGAAAGTAAACGGGCAACCACCTCTACCCTTAACCTACGTTACTTCCCCTCGAGCCCCTTCACAAATTGACAATTTCTATGAATTAATTATATATAAACGTCTTTGAATTAAAATCATTAACACTAGGTTTACGGGACCCGTCAATTTGACGGAATTCAAACTTCGAAAAGAAATACCGAAAAAACCGTAGCGTTAATTTTAACCATTTTTGTATCGTAAATTAATCATTTCATCCAAAGAATTTGTACACAGAATTATTTTTTCCTAAGCCTTCTAATTATTAAAATCTGCATGTGGTATACCTATCTCTACGAAACCCGTCAAATTGACGGACTAGCTAATTTCATAAACAATCCATATATATTTGCTTCGTTGCAGGGAGTGTAAGGCGAAGATGAGAGTGAAAGTTTGCATTGAAAGTGGAGAGATGGAAGGATCTTCGGATAGGGAAGAGGAAAACTTCTTGAAAGGGTGTCGTGGCAAGAAAAGGATGCGCATTCTTTCTAGTTCCGACTCGGAGGATGAGAGGACGAGCGTTCCAATAATTTCCGTGATAATTTTTAAAAAAGGACTTTTTACTTATTAATCATTTATTTAAACGTAAAGCCTAGGGTTGTTTAATTCGGACTTAATTTGAACGAATCGATTTTTTAAAGAAAATCCGTGTTTTCGTTTGCCCGTCAACTTGACCGGTGCTCGTAGAAACAGGTATATAAAAAACGCCCGTAAACCTAGTGTTAAGGGGACACGAAAGTGGAAAATCCACGACTCCATTTTGATAAAACCGATCGCTTGAAATTTTCTTCCGTGAATATGGAGGACCTGAATCCTTGTTTAATCAGTCCATAAGAATTTTGTCAATTAACCCATTCGAGACGATTTTTTTCGAACGCGGTCCCAGAAGCGAAAATTTTTTTTCATGTTCATTTTTAATAAAAAAAGAATGTTTACTATGGAAATCGCCCAATTCGTAAATGAATAACGTTATAAAAATTGAGTCATTAGGTGCCACTTTCGGGTCGCCTTAAGCTTGCCGGATCGCGGGCTCGACAACGAATGATTTCCAGTCGATATATCATTACTAATATATATAAAAAGTTAACGCAATCAAGTATGAAACAAAGAAAAATGATATGTATCCTTAAGTTCCTAAGGGTCAACAACTGTCTTTTACCATCCCGCCAGAGTTCCTAAAAGAGCTTTTCACCTTCTTCTCCATTTTTCCTTCACCTCCCCTTAATAAAAAAAAAGAAAGAAAAAAAAAACAGCGCAAAATTATCGCGAGTGCTTAAAGAATTTTCTATAATATACGCATCGAATAATTCCCAGGAATGCGAAAGCGAAGGTGAACATTAACAAAGTACAATTAAGTCGCCATCAACGAGTTCTATTTGCCTAAAAAAATCGAGAGAAAATTCGTAAAACCAAAATGGGCGAGGGAATTAATTTTCCTGAAATAGTTTATTGCACCGGTAGATCGTCTACAGAGGTTAAGGGTACTCTCTTTCTTCCTTTTCGTCTATACTTATTTTTATTTCTAGAAAACGCGACCGTTAAAATCCACCGCGGCCATATTGCTTTTCTCTGGCTCGTGGCAGTGAGCCGAGTTCCATTTTTTACTCCCCCGTAAACGTTAAGGGACATTGTTCTCTTACGTATATATGGTTGCTCCTCTCTCTCAAACACGTGGAAATTATGCCCGACATATTCTCTCTTAAACTTCCTCACCCTCCCCGATACTTTGAACCGACAAAGGCACGCAAGAAGAAACTAAAAGCGACAATAAAAAGTAGGGAAGCAAATTTGCAGAATTCACGACACCTACCTCGCTGGAATTTTACACCTAATCTCTCGATCGACGAAACAAGAAAATCCGCAAAATCTACCTACCACGAGAACGAGGGAAAAAAAAGTCATGCCCTCGCGTCCCTTAACCTCAAAATCCCTCAACAAGCCTCTCGCTACAACAAAAAACAAGGGAGAAAAAATGAAGAAAGAAAGAGAAAAGGAAACCTCACATGGCCTGCCTCGTACCCGAGAACATTCCCTCTCCCTCTCTCCGCGTCTAATTATTGCAAAAAACGAAACTTAACGGCTACATTTGGTTAGATGTACAAACAAAGCCCTAAACTCGTTTGTATACACACAACGTATATACTACACGTACGCGTAATTGTATTCAATTATGTACATTTACGTCACCGCGCGAGAACTAACAATAAACGAGGTTTGGGATAAACTTAATGCATTATTGGAAAGTAATAATATATGTATACACCCTCATATATGCATAGATATATGGGTGTACATAAACTCGACATAACGTCCGGCGCAGGCAACGCAGGGATGGGGTTAACATTAAAAGGAAGAAAAGGGGAAAAAAAATGGAAAAGAAACTATCATTAAGCCAAACGCAACCCTCCGAGCCGTGCCCCGAGGTCGAAACATCGGACGTCATCTCCTGGGCGCCTCCAACCTACCCTGGAAGGCTCCTCTCCTGGGTCTGGAGCGACCGCTTCGCCCTGGTGGGAGGACATCCGGGAGGCACCCTTCACCTGCAGGGGTTCGCGCGGACCAGGAGCCCCATAATCGGGACCACCGACCCGGGGGTCTCCCCCGTCGCGACCTGGCGCTAGTGCACCCGCTGGCGTCAGTCGCTCCCGGTGCCGCCGTTGCCGAAGTACTCCCCGGCGTCGCCGCGGCAGATGGGGCACGTCCTGTTTGACTGTAGAGGAATTGATTTAAAGGTACACCGGAGAGTGAAGACCAACCATAGCATCATCTACGAGGAGTCCAAGAGCGAGGGAGAGGCTCAAGGATCCCCAGCTTACTTTGAGCCACTTGTCGATGCACTTGGCGTGGAACTCGTGCGAGCAGGGTAGGACCCGGAGGGACTGGGGTGCCTCGAAGTCGCACATGCAGACGACGCAATTGGTCTGGTCACCCTGGTGGGTCTCGGCGTTGAACTTGTAGCTAGGGAGCTGCTCGACCTCGGCCCTGGTCAGCCCCCTGGGCTTGGCCTCTCCGAGCCTCTCCGCCAGGGACAGGAGAGCCTCGTAATTCTCCGTTTCCGCCGACTCGGGCGAGGAGAGCTCGGTCTGGCTATACGGGGACAAGGGCGGGTTGCTGAACATCGCTCTGTAGTTTGCAAAACGTCGTAGGTTAAACTAGCTGGCCGACCGGGCTGCGCGCGAAGGTCGGAGGGTCTGGGAACTTACAAGAAGTGGAGTAGAAGACCCGGATAAGGGGTCGGGGGCAGGGGCGGGGTGCCCCTCCACCTGCTGGGCCTCTGTCTCCGGACGTCCGGGGTGTGCCGTCGCCGGGGCCGGGGCTGGAGCATCTCCAGCTGGGTGTTGCGCGTCTCCGAGAGGAAGATCGGCGGCGTCGTGGTGACCTGGGTCAGGGCAGGGGGCGAGTACGAGTGCGGCAGGGGCAAGGGCGGGCCCCCCGTCCCCCCGACCCGGTGGTGGTGCGACTCCAGCAGCTCCAGCTCGATCTCCCCCTGGAAGCGGGGTTCGATATAGAATCCTAGTTCCACCCTTACGAGGGTCCCCGGGTATCTCACCTGCTGGGACAGCTGATGATGAGCGGTGTAATGGGTGGAGTGGACGGAGGGTGGATGCGCGTGGTGAAGCGCCGCGACGGGTCCACCCGTGGGGGCCGGGTACCCCCTGGGAGGGGCGCCGACTATGGAGCCGACCAGACCGTGCCCAGGGTGGCCGGGATGGGCGTCCGAATAGTGGTTATAGTGGTGGTGATGGGCTACCTGAGAGAAAAATTCATTCACCTTTCTTCCGGACGATCCGATCGATCCCCTCCCCCGGGAGGCTTTCCCAGGGGGAGGGCTTCCTCACCTGACAGGAATGAGCGAAGGCGTGCGCCCCGGTCGGCGCGTAGATGCCGTGCAGCTGGCAGGGGATCCTGTAGCAAGTGGCCTGGGGGTGCCAGAGGGGCTCGCCCCCGACGGCGACGCCCAACCCGGAGACGCCGACCTGGCCGACCTCCACCACCATGGGGCCGTTCGCGCCCTGGGCGGGATGGTGGTGTCCGGCACCCGGGGAGTGGTGCGGATGCGACTGATGGGCACTGTGGATCCCATGGTGGGAGCCGTGCAGACCGTGCGGATTGTGGTGGGCGTTGTGGGGGTTATGGTGGGAGCTGTGGGGGTTATGGTGGGACCCGTGGACGGTGGGGTGGGCGGCGTGCATGCCGGGGATGAAGGGATAGGACAAGGCGAAGGAGTCGGTGTATCGTTGGTACCGGTTGCGAACCGGGGGACTTCCCCTGGTGGACACGTGGTTCCTGGGGGAGCGTCGCTGAGGAGCGGGGGGAAGTTCCCACGGGGCGGAGGGGGCGTGCAGGGGGGGCGTCGGGGCGGGTGGCGTCGCCTCCCGGACCTCGATGCCCGACACCGTCCCGTTCCTCGATATCCGACGTCGCTTCCTCGACGGCGACTCGCTCTGAAATCGAAACACCAGGTGAAACTCCCGTCCAGGTTACCCCTCCTGAAACCCCCCCTGACCACCCTCAAGGGGGCGAGCACAATTCCGCGTTAATCGGATTTCCCTAAGACGACGGACGCGGGGATTTTATTTCTACCCGGAGACGTTCACCTTCTTTTTTCTTTTTTTATTCTGACAAGGAAGGTACCTGAGGTGTCCCCCTCCGATTTTGTTCATTTTTTAATATGTTATAGAGGACTAAAATCTAAGGGACCCGTGTTTTTTTTTTTTATCGGCGGATAAACACTTTTAGGGGGTGAAATCAGGCTTCAAGGTTGGCCGTGCAAGGGGGTGAGTTGGTGTTTCATATAGAGGCACTCGACCGATTTTCATGAAACAACCGTCAAAATGTAGGGAATGAAGAATTATGAAACGTGCATTTGGAATTTTTCGAAAAAATTCATTTTTAAGGGGTGAGACACCCCTTTGAATACTTCCTTTACCCCTTACGCGAGCAGTAATTGTTCTACCCAAATGAAACTTTTTTTGTATTGTTCTGGTCTATAAATTAACCAAGTTTCATCTGGATAGAGCAATTACTGCTCGCGTAAGGGGTAAAAGAAATATTCAAAGGGGTGGCTCCCCCCATAAAAATGAATTTTTTCGAAAAATTCCAAATGCACGTTTCATAATTCTTCATCCCCTACATCTTGACGGTTGTTTCATGAAAATCGGTCGAGTGCCTCTATATGAAACATCCAACTCACCCCCTTGCACGGCCAACCTTGAAGCCTGATTTCACCCCCTAAAAGTGTTTATCCGCCGATAAAAAAAAAACACGGGTCCCTTAGATTTTAGTCCTCTATAACATATTTAAAAATGAACAAAATCGGAGGTGGACACCTCAGGTACCTCCCTTGTGAGTGGCGTAACCGTCTGCGAATCGCTTTACGTGTTCCCTTCCCTCCAAAGGGATTTATTCTCCGCTTTCGGATTTCATCCTAAAAAAATGTGACTTTGCAACAAGGGGGATACTCCTCTCTCACCCCATAAGGTTCAGGGGTTCGTAGAAAGTTCGAACGACACTTACCTTCCTGCCGTCGTCCTGGCTGGGCTGCCGGTAATACGGCGGCGAGGGTTGTATCTGCACCGGACTCAAAGGCAGCTGACTCGTCGCTGGAACAGAGTTTCCACCTGCGTTTTCATACCCGTAAACCCTCCTCGCGCCTCGAGACAGGTGCACCCTGGGACATTTACCTTGGGAGGTCCTGCGGTACTCCACGTCGACGCCGCTGGCTCCCAGGCCAGGGCTCAGGTTCAGCAAGGGTCCTCGCATGGTGCTCTCCTGTGGGGAAAGAAAGGGGACCTCCGGATAGAGTTTTCATCGCGAGGAGATTTCATTTTTTGTTCATTTTTAAATATGTTATAGAGGACTGAAATCTAAGGGACCCGTGTTTTTTTTTTTTATCGGCGGATAAACACTTTTAGGGGGTGAAATCAGGCTTCAAGGTTGGCCGTGCAAGGGGGTGAGTTGGCTGTTTCATATATAAGCNAAACTGTCCGAAACTTTGACACGTCACTCCTGATCATCTAAGAATTGTCCCGACACATTCAAAATTTGAATTTTTCAAAAGAATTTCTTAAGGTGAAGTAAAACCCCCTTCAAATCGGTCGATTTGAATACAACACTTTTTTTTAAGGGTATTAGACCAAACTGTCCGAAATTTTGACACGTCACTCCCGATCATCTAAGAATTGTCCCGACACATTCAAAATTTGAATTTTTTAACAAAATTTCTTAAGGTGAAATGAAACCCCCCTCACATCGGTCGATTTGAGTACAACACTTTTTTTTAAGGGTATTAGACCAAACTGTCCGAAATTTTGACATCACTTCTGATCGTCTAAGAATTGTCCCGATACATTGAAAATTTGGATTTTTTGAAAAAAATTTTTTAACTCTAATCAAATTAGTCGATTCGAATACAACGCTTTTTTTTTAAGGGTATTAGACCAAACTGTCCGAAACTTTAACACATCACTCCTGGTCATCTAAGAATTGTCCCGACACATTCAAAGTTTAGATTTTTCAAAAGAATTTTTTAACTCAGCCCAGACCAGAACCAACATGGCGTCGAGCTCTCATATTTCGATCAGTATACAATTATCGAAGGCTCTGATATGAGAAACGAAAGGGTCAAGACAATTTTACGACAATTTAGAACACTCTGGTAATTGATAAAATCGAATCGTCCATTTTTTCCAAAGTCCAGAAGCAGCTGGATCGAGAAGGGAGATACGAGGAAAAAGTGAAAAAGTAAAGAATCACCGGTTCATTGAAATGCAGTCGCGGGCGAGAAAGCCGCACTTCCGCGCGAGGCAGCTGGCACCCGCACGTGCGGTACCGCGAGCGGAGAGCGACGGCATTTACCTCGTCGAGCACGAGAAATCGTACCTCAAGCGATCACCTTTTCGAAGTTCCGAAAGACTCAAGAAACGTAAAATAAACATATCGCTACTACATTATAAACTAAAAGAATTGAGCCTACGGTTATCCCGCATTCGGTGAATAACGCGCATACCCGCGTCGATGTGACTACAGGATCGTTAAGGTGAAGTGAAACACGTCGAGGAACTTGATCGACGTCGATATAGATTTTTCTAAATGCCTACGTTTTTATATCGACAGCTATATCGAATTATATTGGGTATTGTACCAAAGGGCATACTCCACCTGTCGTTTTCGTACAATAATTATAAAGAAATCGATGTGAAACTCCAGAAGTCCTCTGAATTCATGCTTTCTAGGGCCCTAATTGACCCCCTGCGCCATCTGTGATTTACAGGTGAATTAAATTTTCACTCCGAGACCTGGTATTCCCATCGTTTTAGCATAGAAGCGCATACAACACTTTTTTTGCCTCTATCCCGTTCAAATGCGAGTTTATCGATTACCAGAGTGTTATAAATTGTCGTAAAATTCTCCTGACCCTTTCGATTCTCATATCAGAGCCTTCGATAATTGTATACTGATCGAAATATCAGAGCTCGACGCCATTTTGTTTCTGGTCTGGGCTGAGATAAAAAATTTTTTTCAGAAAATCCAAATTTTTAATGTGCCAAGACAATTCTTAGATGATCAGGAGTGATGTGTCAAAGTTTCGGACAGTTTGGTCTAATACCCTTAAAAAAATGTGTTGTATTCGAATCGACTGATTTGAAGGGGGTTTCACTTTACCTTAAAAATAATATCGGGGAAAATTGGAAGAATATACGACATGCAAACGCATCCGCCCTCTCCGGCGTCTCGGGAGCTTATGCGGAGTCTCGGGGTACGCGCCTCGGGGCGCGCGTTCCCCCCTCTCCCCCCTCACTCGGCGCGCCTTCCCCCACTCGCCCGTCACTCGGCGCGCCTTCCCCCACTCTACCCTCACTCGGCGCGCCTTCCCCCACTCTACCCTCACTCGGCGCGCCTTCCCCCACTCCCCCTCACTCCGCGCGCCTTCCCCCACTCTCCCTCACTCGGCGCGCCGCGGCCGACGTCGATACGCCAGACCGCGGGCGGCGGCGGAAGAGGGAGGATCGTCTTCCCGTGTGCGTGCACGCGCGAGTCATGCGCGGACGGGAAACGCACGTACACGCGGACGCACGTGCGCGCCCGGTAAACAAGGGAATTAATCCGGCGCACCGGCCACGCAACTGCGAAGCAAGGCGTCGGGACGGGGCGTATCGACGTAGAACACGGGACGCGCGCACACGTGGAGGTGACGCGAGGGCCCTACTTAGAAACGGCGTAAAAAAAAACAAAAAAATGTTTATCGAGCCAGGGAAATATTTTCTTACCTCGAGGAGTTAATTATTCTATCAAATGTACACTTTTCTCTCGGGGGACGTTCATGCAAATCGGCTCGCGTTGCGCACTTGGACGACAGTTGCAAAACCGCCTCCCAGATGTATATCTCCGCCACCCACGATTTCTCGACTTCTCGATTTCTCGAAGGTAGGGGGGGGGGGCGCGACCGCTTTTCCTGTCCGCATTTTTCTTTTTCGGGCCCTTTCTCGCCACCTACGGACCCCGGCCCGAAGTTTCGACACGTGCTATGAGAAAAGCGAGAGATTTAAGGTGAAGTGAAACCCCCTTCAAATCAGCCGATTCTAATTCAACACTTTTTTTTAAGGGTATTAGACCAAACCGTCCGAAACTTTGACACATTACTTTTAATCATCTAAGAAATGTCCTGACACATTCAAAATTTGAATTTTTCAAAAGAATTTCTTAAGGTGAAGTGAAACCCCCTTCAAATCAGCCGATTCGAACACAATTTTTTTTAAGGGTATTAGACCAAACTGTCCGAAATTTTGACATCACTTCTGATCGTCTAAGAATTGTCCTGATACATTGAAAATTTGGATTTTTTGAAAAAAATTTTTTAACTGTAATCAAATTAGTCGATTCGAATACAACACTTTTTTTTAAGGGTATTAGACCAAATCGTCCGAAACTTTGACACATCACTTTTGATCATCTAAGAAATGTCCTGACACATTCAAAATTTGAATTTTTTAACTCAACCAAGACCAGAACCAAAATGGCGTCGAGCTTTCATATTTCGATCGATATACAATTATCGAAGGCTCTGATATGAGAATCGAAAGGGTCGGGACAATTTTACGACAATTTAGAACACCCTGGTAATCGATAAACTCGCATTTGAACGGGATAAGGGCTAAAAAGTGTTGTATACGCTTCTATGCCAAAACGATGGGAATACGAGGTCTCGGAGTGAAAATTTAATTGACCTGGAAATCACAGATGGCGCAGGGGGTCAATTAGGGCCCTAGAAAGCAAGAATTGTGGCACATATGTGCCCATAATTATGAAAGTGGTCTAAGTCATATATTTTTTCTTTCGAAATTACATTGAATTAATTTCCTTTGAAATAATATGGCGTGAAATAACTGATAAACTCATTTTCTTTTTTAATTTTCACTTAGACCACCTTCATAATTATGGGCACAAATTTAGAAAATTTCTCAGGGAGGCTCTCTCTCGATCGAGGCAGAAGTGACCGGCGACGAGAGCGTCACTCTTGATAGGCTATCGGCGTCGCGTCGCCCCCCCTCGGTTAGCGTCGATTAGGAGCGTCCAATGGCGACCCGTCTGAAAATTAAACAGCTGGACGAGCCGAGGGGAAATCCAGCGGGAAGACGCCGTTAAGGTGAAGTGAAACACGTCGAGGAACTTGATCGACGTCGATAAAGAAGATTTTTCTAAATGCCTACGTTGACGACGTTGGTTTTTATATCGACAGCTATATCGAATTATATTGGGTATTGTACCAAATGGCGTACTCCACCTGTCGTTTTCCTACAGTAATTATAAAGAAATCCAAGGAAAGCTCCAGAAATCCTCTGGATTCGTGCTTTTTGGGGCCCTAATTGACTGCAGAGGGACCCCCTGCGCCATCTGTGATTTCCAGGTCAATTAAATCTACACTCCGAGACCTCGTATTCCCATCGTTTTAGCATAGAAGCGCATACAACACTTTTTTTTCCCTTATCCCGTTCAAATGCGAGTTTATCGCTTACCAGAGTGTTCTAAATTGTCGTAAAATTCTCCTGACCCTTTCGATTCTCATATCAGAGCCTTCGATAATTGTATACTGATCGAAATACCAGAGCTCGACGCCATTTTGGTTCTGGTCTGGGCTGTTAAAAAATTCTTTAAAAAAATCCAAATTTTCAATGTGTCAGGACAATTCTTATATGTGTCAAAGTTCCGGACAGTTTGGTCTAATACCCTTAAAAAAAAGTGTTGTATTTCAATCGACTAATTTGATTACAGTTAAAAAATTTTTTCCAAAAATCCAAATTTTGAATGTGTCAGGACAATTCTCATATGCGTCAAAGTTTCGGACAGTTTGGTCTAATACCCTTAAAAAAAAAAGTGTTGTATTTCAATCGACTAATTTGATTACAGTTAAAAAATTTTTTCCAAAAATCCAAATTTTGAATGTGTCAGGACAATTCTCATATGCGTCAAAGTTTCGGACAGTTTGGTCTAATACCCTTAAAAAAAAAAGTGTTGTATTCGAATCGACTGATTTGAAGGGGGTTTTCACTTCACCTTAAAAATATATCCCCGAGCCCTGCCCACCGGACGTAGATTCCGGCAAGTATTCTTCGCGCCTTCGTACGGGATAAATAAATAAATGATTAACGATAAACTCCAGAGCTCTCTCTCTTCTCTCTCCAGGGTCCAATCTGGATAAGTACCCGTTATGGTAGCGAGGCGGAGGCGGAGGCGGAGGCGGCTGCGGCCCTTGTCGATAAGGAAACTCC